CAAGTTAAAAGCATAAAAACAGATTAAAAGTACAGGTTTGAGGCACAAGTTAAAAGCGCAAGATAAAATCATAAGTTAAAAGTACAAAGTACAAGCACAAGTTGAAAGCACCCAAAAACAAGCTAAAAGCACAAAAAACAAGTTAAAAGTACAAGTTTGGAGTACAAGATAGAGACACAAGTTAAAAGCACAAGATAAAAGCACAGGTTAAAAATACAAAGAACAAGTTAAAAGTACAAAGAACAAGTTAAAACTACAAGTTTAAAGAGTTAAAAGTACAAGTTTAAAGAGTTAAAACATAATTCCAAAGTACAAAGCAGAAGAACTTGATGTTAAAACGAAGGCTTAAACAAAGCCAAAACAAATTGAAAAAAAGGCCGATCAAGTATAAGAGTACAGCACGTGTGAAGACAAAAAAACAGAGTCGACAGAGCATTATTGGTTGTTTTACAAACCAATTTCCAAGACTTTTGGTAAAAAATGAATTTAATTCTCTTATGGTGTAAAGTGTGTTTACGTAAGGCCTGATGTAATTTACAATAATATTTGCGAAAATCAATTTAATTCTCTTAAGATCTCAGACACACAAACCCCTCGACTTTTAATGTCAGGTGATAAATTTTTGAATGGATGACTAACCAAAGTCAGACACACAAACCCCTCGACTTTTAATGTCACGTGATACATTTTTGAATGGATGACTAACCAAAGTCCGCTTACATGCCAAACCCGGGGGCTCGTAGAGGCACCCCATACAAAAAGCGCGACATACAACAAAACCCGGCCAAAATCATGGCAAATCAATTCTAATTCAAAAAATAAAAACATTTGCCGTATAATCCAAGCTTAATACATGCTCTGATACTGTGTAGTCCATTAGGCACGGTACTTTAACGCTACACTTGGCTGTCGCCCTTTTTTTCGTTTCTTGTCTTCCGTACTTCAGCTTACCCAACGCTGGCTTTGCTCTGCTCTGTTGCTTGCTGTTAGTCGCGCCTTTGCCATTCTCATCTGACTTGTGCTCTTACGCTCACCCAGCGCACTTGCGCTTCCTCTTCTCACTCTTGATCCTATTGCCATGCTTCCAGGTCCGTCCAACTCACGCTTCCTGGCTCTTGTCTGGTCAAGTCTGTTTGGACGAGCCAGGCGCGTCCAGCGTCACGCTCCTCAACCGAGTCTCTCAAGCACACGCTATTTAGTCCCTTAGCTTTAGCTCGTTTATCGTTGCTACCTGCTGAGAGCCAACCTCCCGAGCCAGCCTCCGGAAGTGCGTCGAGCTCGTCAAAGGTCGCAGTTTCAGGTGCTTCGCCCTTATGCTTCGCTGGTTTTTACGCTGACACTGCCTCTCGTTGCCCTTGATATTACGCTTACGTCTTTTCTCCTCTCACGCCTCCGTTCCCCTACGCGTACGCTTTCTATAACAGGACTGAACACAAACACAGGCTTTCGGGTGAGTGCCACAGAGCGCGTCAAGTTAGAGATCACTTGTCTACGCCCCCAGGACGGGTCGAGCTACTTCCCTCTGCTGTTGCTTGCTCGGCGAGCTTCTGTTTCCGTCTGTCGTCCTCCGCCCTTGCGCTTACACGACGCTCACGACGCTTATCACCTACCTACATTCACCCGGCGCTTACCTTACTTCCCTCTCCTCACACTCGCCTTTACGCCTCCGCTTTCAACCCCGCCTTACTAGCGCTTCCTCGCCCCTCCCCGGACTGATGCATGCAACCCTGAACGCGTCAAGCTATAGGCGGCTAACCTAAACCGCCCATTTCTGCCTTGCTGCTTACCCCCAGCACTCTAGAACTCGCCAGTCGTGTCTCCAACACCTACCTGGCCCCTACCGAAATATCAGAGCCCTAACTACGGTCTGTCTATGTTCTCACTGTTTGTGTTTCCAATTTACTTCCATTTACTTGTGCACTCGTTTATCATCAGCGTATATTGTAGTGACCTTTTATCATCAGCGTATAATGTAGTGGCCTTGCTCCTTGTCTCTTGCGGCGGTTGTTGGTCGTTCTTCCGACCCTTAGGCACGACGCTTATCAGACACTTACCCGACGCTTGCCTTACCTGGTTTGGAGCAGACGAGGCAGGTTTACCGTACTGTAACCAAGAAGAATGAAAGTGCACGAGTCCATTGGGTGCGCGCCCCCTATAGAAGTACATTGAAAAAAATCAGAAACAGGTTTCCAATATATGACTCCTCCAAGTACTTTAACACCTCATCAGTCATTAACTCGTAGCTTGCGGAGATGAATTCTCTCCAGGCGTTTGAAAGAGCTGATACCCGTGACCGGGCACGAGACTCTGGCCATAATACAAGCAAACGCAACCTCCTCTGCCGCAGAAATATCTTTCTTCTCTGCGGTCCCTTGGACACGGGAAATACTATAGTTTTCGAGGCCTCACCTGCGGATAGGTTGTGGAACGGCGAGGAAATGGCGGTCAAGTTCTTCTTGATTACAGAATGGTGTAGTGGCGGTAGGTGGCTCGGCAAGCGAGCCGGTGATTAGAGGACTCTAGGGAATAATTCCAACGCCGGTGAGGTTGTAGTATTAACTCATCACGCCCTCCTCTTCGCGGTAGAGCAAGCGGTATTGGTTCTGCATCGATTAATTTCGCCCAGCCGTTTCAAGCGGGGCATATGCATCACGACAAACTCGACTCGAAAGCATACATGCTACTCGCGCCAGCGTAGCGGACTTTTCCAGACTGTACAAGGTCGTGAAGCGCACACATGGTCTCTTCGATAATTGGATTGGTATAGTCAAATTGGTGGATGTACAGGATATTGATATATTCAGTGTCCAAACGCGACAAGCTGGCCTCAACCTGTTCGAATGTAACGGCGCAGGGAAGCGCCATGCGTTTGAAGAACTCGGTACTGGTAGAGGGATCGTGCATGATGAAGGGCGTGCGGGCTTTCCTCGTCGGCGTACAAGAGCCTTTCGTCAGAATCTGGAGTTTCTTTCCGGAAATTTTGTAGTTCTTGATGGCAGCCTCGATGATGCGCTCGGACTCGCCGTTATAGTGGTTGTTGGCGGTGTGCCATGTCAGAACAATGAAAATAAAAATGAAAGAAATAAGGAAGCAGGTATACGGTGGTGATGCCCACGCCGTCTGCAGCCTATAGGATGGTTATGGGAACTTCTTTTTCTAAATTCCGCCGTTTCCATTCCCTGGCTGCTGACTAAAGAGAACCGTTGATCATCGTCATCGGCAACTAAAGATAGTATATGCACTTACAGTCAAAGCCCTTGCACCCCAAGATTGGGACGGATGAATGCAGTCCCCTGTTCCCGAGCCTACACCGAGTGTGAGATAATCAAACTTGCACAGACAGAAGCAGAGTTTACATGCGCTTTTCGGTTTTTGCTTGCGCGAATTCATGGTCTGAGTCATAGCGGTAAATTCAGTAATTGATCAGTTGCAAATATAATTGAGCCGATCAACAACCATAGCAACAGATGGGCGTGATATTTCTGTCAGCAGTCTGACATCGATGATGATGATGATATGGCGATGCCCAATCGCTTATTCTAAAACTATAAAATGAACATCATGATTACCGTCCGTCTGCAGCTTTTACCACCAAATTGGCGCCGCTCATATTTAGCCAATGTCAACACTCTCCTTTTCTGATAATCATCGTATACGGGAGCTAGAAGAAAGGGACCATTTTGTCGCTTAGTGGCGCGTCGAATTTATTGCGAGTCTGTGTAGTCCCCAATATCTATACCTTTCTCAGCCTGATATTGGCCCTCGATTTGCCATATACACGCGATTAAATGGGCCGTGGAGATTTTGACGATCCCTGCTTGCCACTTGAAATGACTGGAGGTGGCCTCTTCCAACGCGTCTTTGCTTCTCTTTGCCCGTTATACATTGGCCACATCCTCACGTCCAGCATTTTAAAAGGCAGTCTTCGTATATCTGAGTTAAGAATATGCGTTTGAGAAAAAAGCTGATCTTGACTCATCTAGATTATCTCACGATCTCCACAGGTGATCCGGCAGTTCATTCGGTCACATACAGGCAATAGTTGAGCACGACGGACCGCAACATCGTGCTATTATAATGCAAGCGGTATTTGCAATCTCGTTCGAGGCCAAGTATATGAGTAAACTTCTACGTTCCCTGACTACGGAGATGATGCGACTCGGGATGCTTTAGATGTCTGTGACTGCCCGGTACCAAAGCGTAGATTCTGTCGATCATGATCTACTACCCTGAGGTGGGCAGGCAATCTGCAGAGAACTCGGGTTCCTCCGAGCGGTTTGCGTGTAAGGTTTACAATAGTAACAAATCAGCTAATATATTGACTGTACTTGAAAATGCGAAAATCTAGAGACAAAATTCGAATTTTGAGAGCTTCAGTTTGGGTTCACGCCACCACAGCGCCCCACGGAATGAATCATGGATCATCTTCACCTCCAGCGGCGCCGACGGGATGCGTGCGGTTGGTAGTATTCGTTATCGAAGCCTCGAATATAAAAGACAGAGCAATGATAATGTTGGATTGGCATTTATTCTCCTGTAGAGCGTCCGACCTGGTTAGAGCTTTTCTGCGGTCGGTATGGCTGGACAGGGACCAAGCGCTGCTTTTGCAAGGTTTGCCTTTGGCGTTGCTCAGTTTACCTGGCCTCTACGCTTTCTGGTTTACAAGTTCTCGTCGGGTTCATCATAAACCGTCATTTATCCTGCTAACGACCGTCGCATTTCTGCAATCAGCCATATAAGATCTAGCGACTTAAAAATACGTGCAAGTAGATTTTAATGATTAGTAATGGTGCATATTGCGTCCGACGTGGCTTAAACACGCAAGTAGAACGGCAAACTCTAATTCCCGCCTCGAGTATCCGTCTCAATATTTTTTTTAACTTGCTGCTGTTTTCCTCCATCGACTTCCTTCTCCCCATCCTTATCTTCACGTACAGAAACAATGGCCAACACACCGCACGGAGGAGTCCTGAAGGACTTGCATGCTCGCGACCTTTCTATCCGCTCTGAGCTTCTCAAGGAGGCCGACTCTCTTCCTGACTTGGCCCTCACTGAGCGCCAGCTTTGTGACCTCGAGCTTATCCTCTCTGGAGGATTTTCTCCGCTTGAGGGCTTCATGACCGAGAAGGATTACAATGGGTATTATTTATCGTGAACTTGTTAATGTTTTGTCCATCATAATATGCTAATAATTTGAAACAGAGTTGTCAACGATCTTAGACTAGCCGACGGCGCCCTCTTCTCCATGCCCATCAACCTCGACGTTAGCGCTCAGGAGATTGAGACTATTGGAATTGCCCCTGGTAAACGCATTGTTCTCCGTGACTTCCGCGATGAGTCCCCTCTTGCTATCATCACCGTTGAGGATGTCTACAAGCCGAACAAGGAGACCGAGGCTGTGAACGTCTTCCGTGGCGACCCTGAGCACCCGGCTGTCAAGTACCTTTACAACACCGTCAAGGAGTTCTACGTCGGCGGAAAGGTTCAGGCTTTGAACCGTCCCAACCACTACGACTACGCCGGCCTTCGCTACACACCTTCGGAGCTGCGTGCTGAGTTCAACAAGCTCGGATGGAACCGGGTTGTCGCTTTCCAGACTCGTAACCCCATGCATCGCGCTCACCGAGAACTGACCGTTCGTGCTGCTCGTTCGCGTCAGGCCAACGTCTTGATCCACCCTGTGGTCGGTCTTACCAAGCCTGGCGATATCGATCACTTCACTCGCGTTAGAGTCTACCAGGCTTTGCTCCCTCGTTACCCCAACGGAATGGCTCTTCTTTCCCTCCTTCCTCTCGCTATGCGTATGGGTGGTGATCGTGAGGCTGTTTGGCACGCCATTATCCGCAAGAACTTTGGTGCCACTCACTTCATTGTCGGACGTGACCATGCCGGCCCTGGTAAGAACTCCAAGGGCGTTGACTTCTACGGTCCCTACGATGCCCAGGAACTTGTTGAGAAGTACCGTGACGAGCTTGGAATCGAAGTTGTTCCCTTCCAGCAGATGACCTACCTCCCCGACGCCGACGAGTATGCGCCCAAGGACGAGGTTGCTCCCGGTGTCAAGACTCTCGATATCTCTGGAACCGAGCTCCGTAAGCGTCTCCGACTTGGATTGCCTATCCCCGAGTGGTTCTCGTATCCTGAGGTTGTCAAGGTTCTTCGCGAGTCGCACCCTCCTCGTGTTTCTCAGGGTTTCACCATCTTCCTGACCGGTTATCATAACTCTGGAAAGGACGCTATTGCTCGCGCTCTTACCTACACGCTCAACCAGCAGGGAGGTCGATCCGTCTCCCTTTTGCTTGGTGAGACCGTCCGTTCGGAGCTGTCTGCTGAGCTTGGTTTCAGCCGTGCCGACCGCCACAAGAACATCCAGCGGATCGCTTTCGTCGCTGCCGAGTTGACCCGTGCTGGTGCTGCTGTCATTGCTGCTCCTACGGCTCCCTATGATGACTCGCGTAAGCTTGCGCGCGACACCGTCTCGCAGTCTGGTTCTTTCTTTTTGGTCCATGTTGCTACTCCTCTCGAGTACTGCGAGTCCACTGACCGAAAGGGAATTTTTGCTAAAGCCAGAAAGGGAGAGATCACTGGCTTCACTGGTGTTGATGACCCGTATGAGGCTCCTGCTGATGCTGACATCACCGTTGACGTTTCTACGACCTCTGTTAGAACGATTGTCCACCAGATCGTGCTGCTGCTCGAGAGCCAGGGATTCTTTGGCAACTGATTTTTGAATGATGATGATTAAAATTGTTTAGAATTATTTCCTCTTTTAAATTTGTTAGCAGGTGTACAGTAATATAAAAGTGTAATGTGGTGGGTATTGAATAGAATCGCTGTAAGAAACATGATATCAACCAGTCGATATGTGCCCCGAGCTGCAAGCCCTAACCTGATACGCTGGAGAAGAACTACCCGCCTCGAAAAATTCTTGCAAGCCGTTTGTCCTTCTTATCGACCTATCAACTCGCATCGCTGCATTACAATTACCTTCGATATGGCTACTAATATTACATGGCATGAGGGCCTGACCCATTCTGAGCGCTCGGCTTTGACATCACAGACTGGTCTTACTCTCTGGCTGACTGGACTTTCGGCATCGGGCAAGAGGTACGTGTGCTGATATCAGGTAGAACACGGAGTCTATTGTTCTTGGGCAGCCTTTCTAACAGGGATCAATAGCACTATCGCTACTGCTTTGGAGCAGCATCTTTTGCAGAAAGGGATCAACGCTTACAGACTGGATGGTATGGGATGACCGATTGAGAACGAGGAGAGCTGATTGATTTCTGGCCTACGACGGCTGTGCTAACGTGCTTCAATGATACAGGAGACAACATTCGTTTCGGATTGAACAAAGATCTCGGATTCTCAGAGGCTGATCGTAACGAGAACATTCGCCGCATTGCAGAGGTTGCAAAGCTATTTGCTGATTCTACGACTGTCGCCATTACTTCGTTCATCTCGCCCTACCGCGCCGACCGAGACTCTGCTCGTGCGCTCCACGCCTCGGCCAACATCCCATTCATCGAGGTCTACGTTGATGTTCCTGTTGAGGTCGCCGAGCAGCGGGACCCCAAGGGCCTATACAAGAAGGCGCGCGCTGGAATCATTCCCGAGTTCACTGGTATCTCAGCCCCGTACGAGGAGCCGCTGGCTGCGGAGATCCACGTACGATCTGACAAGTGCTCTGTTGAGGAGGCTGTCGTGCAGATCGAGGAGTATTTGCTTAGCAAGGGTCTGATCAGCTTCAAAGCTTAGACAATCAGAGTCGATATAGAGTAGATAATGAAGTAATTGTGTCCAACATATGTCCTGACTGGCCTCTGGCTTACCTCGAGAAACCGCATTTTGACACTCTCCGGAGAAGTGCCTGGGATTGAGAAACATCGAATTAAGGTTTCAGGGGAAACTGTTACGCGCGCAATGACGCACAAAAACCATTCCCAAACGGGAAAAACTGCACCAAATAAGACTAGCGTGGATTGCGCAATTCTGTCCTCGAAATTTGCAATATTTTTTTTGTAATCCAACGCTTGCCTGGTGGAGGATTGCTCGATAAGCAGCGGGAACGGACTCCCTCCGTCGTCCTTCTCCTTCTCGCTCTTCCTCTTTTATACAATCCTGCTCCTTAGCTCTTATCGCACTTCCTCAGCCTATCAATCCATCCACACACACAATGGCCCCCGTCGCTGTCGAATCTTCATCTCTTCCTCCAGCAAACTCGCTGTCGAAGGACACAAAGATCTCTCTCACACCCGAGCATCTGAAGTTCATCAACTCGCAACTCCAGCACCTTGAGCCCGAGCAAATCATCCAATGGGCAATCCTCACGTTTCCCAACCTCTACCAGTCAACAGCCTTCGGCCTCACTGGTCTCGTCACTCTTGACATGATCTCCCGCATGCGCCCCGAGTACGCGAAGCAGCATCCTATCGAGCTCATTTTCGTCGACACCCTTCACCATTTTAAGGAAACCCTCGCGTTGATCGACAGACTCAAGGCTCGCTACCCGTCCGCGAAGCTGCACATCTACAAGCCAGAAAACTGCGAGACTACCGAGGACTTTGTCAAGAATTATGGTGACAGACTCTGGGAAACTGACGAGTCTTCCTATGACTTTTTGGTTAAGGTCGAGCCTATCCAGCGCGCCTACGACGAACTCAACGTTCGCGCCACTTTGACTGGCCGCCGTCGTTCACAGGGCGGCAAGCGGGGAGACCTTGACATCGTCGAAGTCGAGGAGTTCACCGGTCTCGTCAAAATCAACCCTCTTGCAAACTGGACCTTCAAGGATGTCCACAACTACATCAAGGAGCACGACGTGCCATACAACGAGCTTCTCGACCGGGGATACCGAAGTGTCGGTGACTGGCATTCTACCCAGCCGGTCAAGGAGGGCGAGGACGAGCGTGCTGGACGATGGGCAGGAAAGGCAAAGACCGAGTGTGGCATTCATGAGACCTCGAAGTTTGCAAAGTACTTGAGCGCAAAGAAGCAGAGTCAACCCGCAGAGGTTGCAGTCTGAAAGTCTCATTGTTGTTCATGTGCAGTCTTTCATTTATACCTAATCGTCATATTTCCCTTTTTGTTTTTATTTGTCATGGAGCTGGGTTGGGTTAATGTCTTGAAATGTTTATAATAATGCTTTTTCCTGTGGTCAATTGGTTGTTTAGCATGTGCAGTATTGGTCATTCTGTTTAGATCTAAAATTTGGGTGATTTGCGGGGGAAAATACAATCAATCATACTAAAATCTGGCCGAAAGACGATTTCCATGAGAACAGCGGTTGCGTATGAAATAGTAGTCCGGTAGTTCCTGCCGATGATGCCAAGTTTCCAGGGAGTCATTGCTAAACGATGCGGCTCGAGCTAAAAATACAATGATTAAGCTCTTACTTAATCTATTTACCCCTGAGTTACCACTCTTGTGTTCTGCCGGGCAAATCAAATCGCGGCCCGAACCCGAAAAGCATGAGTCTGGAGTCGACAGGTCACATCTCATCCGCGCCCTAGAGGCTTATCGACCGCGCAACTGTGCCTGTCAGTGAAAATGAAATGCCACAACGCTGTCTGTTGCTCACCGGCCCCGTCCATTGACACGCTCGTGGCCATCGCTTTATAAGCAGTCGCTGAGCCTGGTGACGTGGATCAGTCACGAAAGCTTTGAAAATGCTTTTGACCATTTAAGCAGAGCTGCCACAAGCTTATAACAACCCCTGTTCCTGTCCCCCTTGCCTGCGTCCCTCCCCTGTACCCAACAGAGTTTTGGCTATGACCTGATGCTTAAAATGTGCTGCGCACATTCTACTAGCGCTGCAATGCTTCCCCCGCTGGTAGCGATTTGGTTGAGCCTAGCACCAGCTTGCGTCTAGAGCGCGCATAATTCGCTGGCTCCTTTCCTCAACAATTGCTCCAACATGTCTGCTCTATCGTCAAAGATCGGCATTTCATTCTGAGGTTGACTGTATCCAGATATTCCTTGAAGAATCGCAACTGCCGGAATACCCTACAATGAGATATGGATACTTCCCATCCCTTTCACGATTCGAAAGCAAACGCTGTACGGCCGTCCCCACTCGACGATGTGGATCAACCAGTTTTTCATGACAAAAAGTCGGTGGTATCGTCAACACATAGCGTCGAGTCTTGCGAGATCGAACCGCTTGATCCCGAGATCGTATCATGGGACGGGCCGGATGATCCAACAAATCCAATGAACTTCTCTCATGCGCGCAAGCTCAGTATAGTCTTCACAGTATCGTCATTGACCTTCTCCGTAGCCGTGGCGTCTTCAATGTTCTCGCCTGGCGTACCAAGTTTAATGAAGGAGTTCAACCAAACCTCGTCTGTGCTCTCGTCTCTCATCGTCTCGATCTATGTTCTCGGATTCGCTGTCGGCCCGCTCTTCATTGCCCCACTCTCAGAGATGTACGGTCGCTCCATCCTATATCGCATCTCGACCGTGATATTCGCCGCTCTCACCTTGGCTTGCGGAGAATGCAATTCGTTTGCCGCAATCTTTGTCCTGCGGTTTCTTTGCGGAACCTTTGGAAGTACCTCGTTCGCACTTGGATCGGGATCAGTCGCTGATGTTACACCGGTTGAGAAGCGAGGAAGATATACAAGCATATACAACATTGGTCCAGTTCTTGGTCCTGCAGTTGGCCCTGTTGCGGGTGCTTTTCTATCTGCTATATCCTGGCGTTGGGTTTTCCGTGTACTTGGTATACTTGCTGCGTGCTTGGCTATCATGTGCTTTTTCACCTTGCCGGAGACCTACGGCCCATATCTTCTGTTGAGAAAAGCTAGACAGCTGAGACGGGAGACCGGGAACGACAGGCTACGAACGATATATGAGGATCGAATGGGGACTACTCCTCGGGCACGATTTGTACGGAATATAATCAGGCCCATGAAATTGCTGATGTTCAGTCCGATTGTACAGATCCTGTCTCTGTTCGTGGCTACTACATACGGCATGTTTTATCTTCTGTTTACGACATTCACCGAGGTGTTTGAGGTACAGTATGGGTGGGCATCAAACATAGTAGGTCTGTCGTATATAGGATTAAGTCTAGGTAGCTTGCTTGCTCTGACTATCATAATCATATACTCTGATAAGATCTTGCTGGTCTTGGCCGAACGATCGAAATCAAAGCAGTGCATACCAGAGCATCGACTACCAATACTGATCTTTCTCGCACCTACTTTGCCGGTCGGGTTAGTGGTCTATGGTTGGGGCGTTTACTGTAAGGCGCATTGGATAGTGCCGCTAGTTGGCACGTTTCTGATTGGCGTCGGTGTTCTATCCACTTTCTCACCGACAATCAACTATTTAGTGGATGCTCATGGGATTTATGCAGCCTCAGCAGCATCTGCTTCGATCGCCGTCAGAAGCCTGGGTGGTGCGTTTTTGCCTCTATCTGGTCCTGCGTTGTATCGCAGTTTGGGATATGGGTGGGGGAATACTTTGCTGGGATTAATCGTTCTTATTTGGCTACCGGTACCAATTTTGTTATACATGAAGGGGGCGGCGTTAAGGGCGAGGTTCAATCCAAGTCTTTGATTATCTTATTTCATGTGTTTTGACGGTTTTTCTGTTCGGTTTATTAATGACTACATGATTGCTCTTTTATATGTTTTGCAGTTCTCCAATTGTGAGTTTAATCAGGAGGCTATATGGAGATAGATATAATATTATGACACAAATTCTATTACGCTGATAATATTTTATGAAGAGCGAGCAACAGAGGTCTTGAATACTGGACGCATATTCGTCATTTATTCATGATTTGAACAAGCTGGGTAAGGTTTGGCTGATAACTCCCAAGCACATGTGCACACCACCACCAACGCTCACAAGCTATTGTCACTTCATCTGTTATTGAAGACCGACCGAAGTGGTTATCAAAACTAGTCATCTCTTTGAACAATGGTAAATATGAATGGCACATAATAATTTATGATGATGCTTCTATTTGGCGATATCTAATGACGCTGCTCTAGTTTGGAGGCTACTATGACGATGACGACGTCGAAATGACCGGGGGCAGCTTCCCCGTTGATTGGCGCCGAGCAGCTCAAGCTACGCTGCAATCCCGGAATCAGACATTTCGTGAATATTTCCGATGCTATCCAGTCGTTATGCTTCCTGGAACCGAGCGAGAGAATCTGAATTACGGCGGAAAGATAATATTACCGACGTCAGCGCTCAACAAGCTCACGAGACTCAATATCTCGTATCCTATGCTGTTTGAGCTGACGAACGAAGAGGTTGAGCTGAGCACGCACGCTGGTGTTCTTGAATTTATTGCTGAAGAAGGACGTGTTTATTTGCCACAATGGATGATGGAGCGTCTGGCGTTACAGCCTGGATCGCTGGTAGTGGTGGCAAGTACGAACCTGCCAATGGGCTTCTTTGTGAAAATTGAGCCTCAATCGCCCGACTTTCTTGACATATCAGATCCCAAGGCGGTTCTCGAGAACGCTCTTCGAAACTTCACTACACTGACGGTCGATGATATATTCGAGATCAAATACAACAACAAGATCTACCGGATTCGCGTGCTGGAGATCAAGCCGGCAAACAAGACTGGCATTTCCGTCGTCGAGACCGATCTTGAGGTCGATTTCGCCCCGCCAGTGGGGTATGTGGAGCCTTCTCGAATGAACACACCAATGTCAAACAACCCGTCTTTGTTGCCTACGCCAGATGGACACAGTATGGCGACACTTATTGGATACGCCGATCTTGTGGGCGCGTCTCAGTCATCTGCTTCGCTCCCAGCCACTCAGCAGTCTTCGGGCCATCGCCTGTCAGGCCGGCCAGTGGCCACGGGCTCTATATCAAGCACGCCGTCTGCGGTATCTGTGCCTAGTCTCGCAGATGCGATGCGCAAAGGCAGCGAGTTTGCTGTGACAGCGCGCGACAAGGCTGACAAGGACCGATCGATTCCAGCACCTCTGCGACTGCCGTTCGGACAGCTTTTCTTTGGGTACCCAGTCGTCCCTGTGAAGGACTCTACTGCGTCTGCTTGATGAGTGATTACTATATGAGTAGTATGTTCCTATGTAGACGTCACTTTAGATTGCTAGGGAGTTTTGTGAATGAAGAAGCCTTGTAAATAATAATTACACGAAGTCTTACATAATCGGAGTTAGTATCTGTAGGGTTTCCGTGTCGGCTACCAGGATGCCGAAGTGTAGCGATCCGGGGAACGCTCGAAGTTTCTAGTTGCCGCATAAACCACACGCAACAGCGAAGGATATGCAAAGTTGATGAAGTTACCCGGACCCCAGAGCTCTGTCCGAGTTCTCCGGGCAAGAATATTTCTCTGGAAGACCACCCGCGAACTTTGACCTCTTTTTTCTTTGTTTCCAATCGTCCTCTCGTCGATTTTTAATACAAGTTTTCTTGTTGATATTACAATCAACTGAAGAAGTCATGAACCGTTTCATTGCCAGATCAGCAACCGCTCGCCCTTCTCTCTCGCGCTCAGCGCAGCAGATTCTGCAGTCGCGACAGTTCTCTCACAAGGAGCTCAAGTTCGGTGTCGAAGGCCGGGCTGCTCTTCTGAAGGGTGTCGATATTCTTGCTCGCGCTGTCGCTGTCACTCTTGGACCCAAGGGACGCAATGTTTTGATTGAGCAGAGCTTCGGTAGCCCAAAGATCACCAAGGATGGTGTTACTGTCGCCAAGGTCAGTTAGATCTGCTGAGATGCGATTATTTTTGAATTAGTGAATTACTTATTCTAACGTATGTTTTCGTCTTATACAGAGCATCGCGTTGAAAGACAAGTTTGAGAACCTCGGTGCCAAGTTGCTGCAGGATGTTGCCTCGAAGACGAACGAGGTTGCTGGCGATGGTACCACTACTGCCACTGTTCTCGCTCGCGCAATCTTCACCGAGAGCGTGAAGAACGTTGCTGCGGGATGCAACCCCATGGATCTCCGTCGTGGAACCCAGGCTGCTGTTGAGAAGGTTGTCGAGTTTCTGCAGAAGAACAAGAAGGAGATCACAACGTCGGAGGAGATCGCTCAGGTGGCTACCATCTCTGCCAACGGCGACACTCACATTGGAAAGCTGATTGCCAATGCGATGGAGAAGGTCGGAAAGGAGGGTGTCATCACTGTGAAGGAGGGAAAGACGATTGAGGACGACCTCGAGATCACTGAGGGCATGCGCTTCGATCGTGGATTCATCTCGCCTTACTTCATCACCGACGTCAAGACCGGTAAGGTTGAGTTTGAGCGACCGCTTCTGCTGCTGTCGGAGAAGAAGATCTCTCAGTTGCAGGATGTCATCCCCGCGCTGGAGATCTCAAACAAGCTTCGCCGCCCTCTGCTGATCATTGCCGAGGACATTGACGGTGAGGCCTTGGCTGCCTGCATTTTGAACAAGCTTCGCGGCCAGGTTCAGGTTGCTGCTGTTAAGGCTCCTGGATTTGGAGACAACAGAAAGAGCATTCTTGGTGACATTGGTATTCTCAGCGGAGGTACTGTCTTCACTGAGGAGCTCGATCTCAAGCTCGAGAACATCTCGCCCGAACTTTTGGGATCGTGCGGATCGGTTACTGTCACGAAGGAGGACACCATCATTTTGAACGGCGAGGGTGACAAGGACAACATTGTTCAGCGCTGCGAGCAGATCCGTGCTACTTCTGCCGACCCTACCACTTCTGAATACGAGAAGGAGAAGCTCCAGGAGCGTTTGGCCAAGCTCTCCGGAGGTGTTGCCGTGATTCGTGTCGGTGGCTCGTCTGAGGTTGAGGTTGGTGAGAAGAAGGACCGATTTGTCGACGCTCTGAATGCCACCCGTGCGGCTGTTGAGGAGGGTATCCTTCCCGGTGGAGGTACTGCCTTGTTGAAGGCCTCGAGAGTTCTGGACGATGTTAAGACGAGCAACTTTGACCAGTCTCTTGGTGTTGCTATCGTGAAGTCTGCGATCACCAAGCCTGCGCGTACTATTGTTGAGAACGCTGGAGGTGAGGGATCGGTTGTTGTTGGCAAACTTATTGATGAGTACGGAAGCGAGTTTGTTAAGGGATACGATGCGTCGAAGGGCGAGTTCACCGACATGGTTGCGTCTGGAATCATCGACCCTTTCAAGGTTGTGCGTACCGCGTTGATTGATGCTAGCGGAGTTGCATCGCTTTTGGGTACTACTGAGTGCACCATTGTCGAGGTTCCTGAGGAGAAGGGACCTGCTGCTCCTCCCGCCGGAGGAATGGGCGGCATGGGCGGCGGAATGTTCTAAGTAGCCCCCAAGGAAAAAAAAATGACAAATATCAAAAGAGGGAGAGGACACAGGATTTTTGTATATATGATGAACGAACGAAAAGCAAATGTACAATCACATCTCTAATAGTAATATGACAATAATGTGCAAATAATGCGTTAAGAATGATGGAGGGGTGAAGCATAGGGTAAGGGTGTCCGAAAGCAGGCTGCTGGGAGCGCGGCGTGGTTGTTATGAATCAGCCAGCCACCGGCTTGTCCCACGTCAACAAACCCTCCATCGTATCATCATCATCGTCTTGTTCTTGACGACCACACACCGCTCTCCAGTTGATATTATTATAAACAAATCAACAGCTTACTGAATCAGAAATGTCTGGAGGCAAAGGAAAATCTCACGGAGGAAAGGCCGGTCCCAGAGAAGGACGTGCCCAGATTTCGCATTCGGCGCGCGCTGGATTGCAGGTAAGCTTGCGTCGCCGATGATGATTTTCGTATCAAGACCGCGCTGGAACGACAGAATAGCGAATGCGATGAGCGAGAGTGAGAAAGGACTGATGCACGATCTGGATCAGATATAAACAACATCGAATGCAAGCTCTATTCTAGTTGTGTTCCTGACCGCGTTGTCGCGTGCTTTACTCCGAACCTTTCTCTCTGCTTCTCTCTCCTTAGTTTATCTTGACTGCCAGCGTGCCAGGTCTTCTGCAATCGTTTACTAACTGCTACATCAAAATATAGTTCCCTTGCGGACGTGTCAAGCGTTTTTTGAAGCACAACTCGCAGAACAAGATGCGCGTTGGAGCTAAGGGTATGTTTCCGGTGTTTGTTGTGCTGTCTGTTTAGGGTTTATGGAGAATGCCTTCCTGTTACTGACGATGTTTCCTATTTTCACTCAAATAGCTGCGGTATATGTTACAGCCGTGCTCGAGTATCTGACTGCTGAGGTTCTCGAGTTGGCTGGAAATGCCGCGAAGGATCTCAAGGTGAAGCGTATTACTCCTCGCCACCTGCAGCTTGCGATCCGCGGTGACGAGGAGCTCGACACGCTGATCAAGGCCACTATCGCGTATGGTGGTGTGTTGCCGCATATCAACAAGGCGCTGCTCAAGAACGTTGATCCGAAGAAGAAGAAGTAGAGGGTGTCGGGTTTACCTATGAGGGCTTTGTTGTTTTGTTATTGTTTGCGCTGAGAGTGTACGATGACCAGAGTGGGCTTGCTTGTGTAATGTATTAGTAGTATTATTATTTCTTCTTTTATCTTTCTTTTCTTCTGTTATTCCTTCTATAATTCTATATTCTATGTGACCAGAGTTCTTGAAGATCTTTCCGACGCGCAGCCATTCGCAGCAGCTGGATTTTCCCGTGCCGGCGTGCGTCTGGCTGAGAGGGACGGAAGCGTACGCACGTGCTCGCTTCCGGCTGTGACTCGAGTCACACGTGTTGGGAGTAAATCACGTGTGCACCGCAGTCGGTGCTGGTTTGTTCCCAGCGCCAAACCGGCCTGCTTTGATCTTCCTTCCCCCACCAGCTCTTATTTATAGTCCCTCACTGCTCCGGCTTCCTGCTTCAGCGAGCGGAGGTCTCTTTCTGTATTATTTACTACGTCTCTCTTTTCTCCCTTCGTCCGTATCCCGACTCCACCATGCGTTTCGACGCCTCGATCCTGCTCCTCGCAGCCGTCGCTTCCTCCTCCGCCGCCCTCTTCGTCGAACCCCGCTCGCGTCGCCAGCAGGTCACCTTCGCTCTCTCTCCAAAGTCCTTTCGCCAGTCTGTCGCGGCCGTCGCTTCATCCCAGAAGGACCTTTCTTCATGGGTCGCTTACCAGTCTGACGTATCGTTCGAGGGCATCCTGGCCAATATCGGTCCAGACGGTGCAAATGTAGTCAACAGCGGTGTGCGTCCTGGTGTCGTCGTCGCCAGCCCGTCAAAGTCATATCCCGACTACTTTTACCACTGGATCAGAGACGGTGCTATTACAATACGCGCTTTGGTTGACCACTACGCTGCCACCGGTGACGCAAAGTCGAAGCAGATCATCGACGATTATATTGCTTCGAATCAGGCCGTCCAGCGGGTCTCTAATCCGAGCGGGGCATTCGAAGGCCTCGAGGGTCTTGGTGAGCCCAAGTTTCATGTCGATGGCTCTGCCTTTGTTGATAACTGGGGACGTCCCCAAAGGGTATGTTTTTCCTTCCTTCGTTCTTCCTCACCCCTTCTGTCATTATCTAACGCTGATCTAGGACGGGCCGGCTCTTCGCGCAATCACGCTGATCAACTACATCTACGCCCTCACTAATCGCACCTCCTCGCAAGCCTCTGATTACAAGTACATCTACGATCAGGTCATCAAGCCTGATCTGGAATACACTTCAAAGTTCTGGGCTCATCCTGGTTTCGATCTTTGGGAAGAAGTCAACGGTTTGCACTTCTTCACCGCCATGGTCCAGTTCAAGGCTCTGTGTCTGGGCGAGCAGATCGCAGAAGCCATGAACGACCCGGGTGCGGCAGAGTGGTACCGTGCGCAGTCGATCGGTGTCCGTGGATTTTTGAGGGCTTTTTGGGACGACGGGAAGGGTCATATCGTCGAAACGCTCGGATCTTCCAGATCTGGACTCGATTCTGCTATCATTCTCGGAGCTATTCACGGAGGATCGGAGTCCGTCTATCCTTTGCACTCCGATTCAATGATTGCTACTCTGCATAGCTTGGTCCAGGACATGCGTACGCGCTACAAGATCAACATTGCCGATATGGAAGATTTCAACGAGACAGCCGAAGACATTCCTGTCTCTGTCGGTATCGGCCGCTACCCTGAGGACGTCTACGCTGGTGGTGATAAGGCTGCTGAGGTCGCTGGCTCTGATCAGCTCGGAAACCCGTGGTTTCTGTGTACTGCAAGCGTGGCGCACGCTTTGTATGCTCTTGCTGAACACCTCGCACTCTCGGACAAGCACCTTGTCATCACGAACCTCACCGCTCCTTTCTACCTTCCTTTGATCCCTTCAGCAGTTTCCGCAAAGGATGCGGCATATATCGATTTCTCTTCGACGTCGAATGCACTCCCTACCGCGGTAAAGCTTGCCTTCGATCCTGCCTCTAAGGAGACCCAGGCTATCATCGCAAACATCGTTCGCTACGCCGATGGCTTCATGAACGTTATCCGCAAGCATTCTGATGCCGAGGGCCAGCTTTCGGAGCAGTTCGATCGGGACAATGGGTTCATGCGGGGTGCTAAACAACTCACCTGGAGTTTTGAGGCATTTTGGAACGCTGCGAAGATGCGTGAGAAAACATTCGAAGCCATCCAAAGGCGACGTGAGTTTTTCTCTATGCGCGCAAAGCTCTAAATGCCTCTCTCTTCTTTGAGGTCTTTTTATTCCAGCTCTATTGTTTTGGTTTTTTGTCCTATTTGTACTTTTTGATGTCTTGTCAAGGATGCGGCTTTTTTTCCTGTTTTAAAGGTGTTGCAATGGAATTTCATTTCTTTTGGAGTGGGTTTGGGCGCCTGACTGTACATAACACATTTTTTTGTCTTTTTTCTTTTCTATTCTTTTTGATGTAACTGTTAGCCAGGCGTTTCAGATAGTATATTTTTGTCACTCTACCTGCGCACTAATGAACGCATTATCCTTCCAATTCTTGCTCATCCTATAAATCGCTCGTAGCCTTGCTCTTGAATTTCCGGCCACCTCGATCTGCCGCTCGATATAGCAAATTAGACCCGTAGAGCATTACTGATAACTTCTTTGCGTCATCTGGATGGCCACCAATTGAGATCAAAAACACCGTATTCTCTTTTGGTACAATCTTGATTTCGTTCTTTTTAGTCACAATCAGAAAACTTGATTTTGTCTCGCGGACTATGATCCCTGCTATTCCAACCCGAGTGACGCATTTTGCCCGCATAACGGTCACAAACGCGCCATGATAATCTGCCGCCGAAAGCTTCTGTGTGTACTCCTGCACGTTGACAGGCTTTTCAGGAAGGTCAGGTAGAGGATTAATGCCCAGTAGATCGTTAATGTAAGAGAACCAAAGAGTGCATAGGCTAATGTACACATCGTAATTGCACGCATCCGGACCCAGTTGATAGAGCTGCGTGCGTTTCTTCTCGGCTGCAGACATCGGATTCGGACGCGTGATTGTGGTTGTTGTGGCTGCGCTGTCGATTTCTTCAGCATCGTAATCGATCTCGCGATCAGCTGTCACTAAGGAGAGGAGATATTGGTGGTGCTGATTGGTCCTTTTGGCTTCGGCGATCCGTTCCTCAGAGGTTTTCGGCCCCGTATTCGTTTTTTGCGTCTGTTGGTTCGTTTGGTCCCTTTGGTTTCTTTTCGGTATGTCTTTGGTTTTTGAGAATTTCTTTGAAGAGCTGTCTGTGGGTTTTGCTGGTGCTGATTCTCCGTCGTTCTCCTGATCAGTCATCTCGACATCAGCAGGCTGTGATGAGGTTGCTGCTGGTGGGACAGGCTGAGAATCCAAATCGCCTGTCTGTTCATCCGACATTTCCTTTGATTTTCTTCGGCGTAGATTTCGTTTCCGCCGCTCCTTCATCAGCTTTTTCTTTTTCAAAATACTCTGCTCCCTTCGTAGCTGTCGCGCAAGTCCTCGTGCTCGCCGCGAGTCTTTCATAATTATCCCAGCGGGCTTGGGAGCATTTGCTTTCTTCTTTTCTGCTTCCCTAAGCAAACCAGTCTTAATAATCCCGACGGCGCGGTTCTTCTGCAGCTTTACATCGTCTCCGGAATTTGCGGGTGGTTTGTCGGTAGGGTAGAGATATAGCGGCTGCTTTTCGATTCTCTTCTCGTAAACGGTTTCAGCTTCGCCAGGGCCAGTTTGACCAGAAAGATTGAGTAAACCTAAGACGTAAGATGACATCGACTTCCGATGTGGCGTGGATGATGATGAAGCCATACTGAATGCTGGTTTGACTGAAATGAGGATGGGAGGAGGTGAAGTAGAAATGAGTGGTGTGCGCAGGGAGATCAACACATTTAAAGTTTAAACGCATGCTTGGGATCATTACTTCGCCTCGACTCTGTTCAATTTGTTTTTTTATTGTTTTGGCTTGGAGCAGTCAATACTTTCTGGCCCTACACTATTTTGTTGTCAAGGCGACGATTGATGAGCTCACTGAAACGATCAATATCGACATCTTCGGCGTCCGGAGCGCCCAAGCGCACGCGAACCCAACCAGAAGCGTCAACCTCCGCGTCTACAGAGCCTGAAGATGTAGACGAGGATGAGCTGATGGAGCAAGATCTCCCCGGTTCGGCACCGAAGATCGCGCGAAGGAATAAACTACGAGAGGTCCAGGCTTACGCATCAGATTCATCTGAGGACGAGTTTTTCAGTTCGGCGAGGAAATCGCGCGCAGAGTCGTCAGGTAAGAAAGACGAGGATGGCGGTGCGGAAGACGACGACGACGACGATATGTTTGGCGGTGACTCGCCTAAAGAGAGCGGAGGAAAGGGAGCCGGTCGGGGCGAAGAAGCAGGCGGAGGCGGTGAGAGCTCGGACGAGGATGATATCGATGGAGTTTCGAAGCGGTCTCGGAGAGTGCGGTTTCTTGATATCTCTCAGATCGAAGGACAGGAGAGTGCGGACCAGGATGTCGTCGATGCTGAGGAGGCGAATGCTGAGTTTGAGAATTTTGTGAAAAGCAGGGCGTCGGCCACTGGGCTTGAGGGCAAAGGAAAGGAACCGGCTCGTGATATGATGGATCTGGATAATGAGGACGACAACAACGAAAATCAAGAAGACGAAGAGCTCGATCCTGAGATCGGCCTAACAGGATCGAGAAAACATGCTCCGAAAGTCGAAGCGTTCAACATGCGAGCAGATCTTGAAGACGGCGCTTTCGACGAAGACGGAAACTACATTCGAACCACGAGCGCGACCGACGAAAAAGCAGAGGAAGCACACGACGCGTGGATGACAGGGCTATCATCGAACGAGATCAAGGCTGCAAAAGCAGCAGACGATGCGAGGCGTGAGCGCGAGAGGCAGAATGAACTGCAAAGTCTACGTGAACAGGAGGAAGTCACTGCTGCTGAGCATATGGCCAAGCTCATGGAGCAGCTGGAGGTTGCAGAGACGCCTTTTGAGGCGCTGGCGAGGTTGGGGCCTGGTAAGAAAGTCAAGAAAAATAGGAACCGTCGGAAGGCTGCTGCTGCTTCTTCTGGGGAGACGGCAGAGGAAGCCGAAAAAGAACGCGCGCGGAAGACAAGTGTTGAGGCGATATCAGATGCAGCGGACAAGCTTCTGAATCGGGGTATGAAGGATGTATACGAAATGAGTCGTGAACAGCTGGCTAGAGCTTACGCGAGAGATACCGGTGAACAGTGGCGACCACCAAGGAGGAATAGTGAGAGTGATTAGTTCCAGGAGATCTGTTCTATTGTATTTTTAGTGATCTTTGTGAGAGATTTCGTTTGTGTAAATGCTTGATGTCTGTAATCTTGAGGATGTGCATGGTATGGATGATTTATATTCGAAGGATAACAAAAGCTGATTAAATGAGCTGATACCATATTTACTTTCGGAAGTCAGAGAAGACAACCACAAAAAATAGTAGTTAAGAGAATAAATAAAGAAATGGAAGGGAGTGGTGGCCTGGTGCCTGGATAATAATTTGTGTAGGGTTTGGACAGCCGCAGCTGTCTGACCGAGCGTTTTGCGACTAGGTTCGTTGTTACTGCCTGCGAAGCGTGCGAAGCCGACCTTTATTCGCGCATGCTTCTCCTCTGTGCTGTTTGCCAGAGAGGTCGATACGGCTTGACTAAATTGTCCAAAGAAAGGATTGACCAAACAGATTCAAGGAAGAATCATGCACAAACGACCGAAGTATCACGACAGGTGACTACAAAATGCTACTTCTGCAGGTGTTGATCTTGACGATGTGTTCGCTGCGCCAGATATCGGCAAAGGAATGGGTAGCGTCCAATATCTGCTACATTGGCGATATGGAAAGAGACTTCTGCTATAATCCCGAGTGGCAGACAATATCTGAAGAAAGCTACTGGCGCGTGGACGAAGAAGAGAAGGTTATGTATTACCACGTACCTCAGAATGTTATGTATTACTACAAACCGCACGAGCACAGTCGAGGAGGATTCAGTTCTGTGGACCACAAGTCCACAAGTGGACTTGCTCTGTCGTGGCTTGCATTGAGTCGACGTCCGTCAGATTGGCTTGGTAGCTCCTGTTCTATATTCAACAGTACTACTACCCTCGAATGGGTGGCATGCGAAGGGTTACACGTTGTGGGATTTCTCATCGCCAGCTTGGGTGTCAAGACATTTTCGTCTCTGATATCCAATTACATCGTCAAACCGTTCTTAGGTCGCAGTCCAGACGTGAGTATCGGCTTTGGTGATGAAGATGAAGAGGGGGATCATATGCGTGTATCAGTATCAACTTTCAGGGACGGTGAATCAGTTTCGAGGACGTACTATGATGTTGGGGAGTTTACGGCCAATTGTGAAAAGCAAGATTACAGCGTGCAGCTGCGAGTCGATATGGATTCAGGCGTTGCGGAGACAGTATGTGTTTCCTGGTATGATGAAAGGGAGAAAGGATTTGTTATGAGTGTAAGATGGACACACAGGTTATCTACAGATGGCGATGATATAACTTTTATTGGTTGAAGAAGAAATAATTGACTTGATATGACTACTACTAGTGAAGTAGGCAGTGAACTGAAAACATTTTCTTCGAGCTAACTGTATACACTGTACTTCACTAAACATCGCTTACATGCGTCAAGGTCTCTGCTCATGCACAGTGACGGCGGACTTCCGGGCCGGATTGCGCAAAATCACACTGGACCTGGCCATACTCACCTGCAGCGAGGGTGCTGTTCGGAGGAGTATTTGCGAGGCGGAAAACTGTCCTCTTATCTTTGGAGCTGAAGGTGGCCTATGAACGGTCATTGTTCGCCAGCCGGATATGCAAGCGAGAAAACTCAATTTAGGGCGTTGGCCAATCAGCACAGTGCTGGGTGCGTGCGCACGGCTGAGATATATTAAAAAATACTTTAAAATGAAGGGCGGGCCCGCTTGGCAGGGCAGTCGGCTCTACACAAGCGAACTATGCGCGCCAATCCAATGATCACGAACCGGCTCCTGTTGGGACTGGTGTGCCTAGTGTGTTCTGCAAGCGAAGTTCTGGCCAAGGACTGGGTGGCGACTGATATCTGCTACACCGACGACCTCGGGAACAATCTTTGCTATGATCCTGTGTCGTTGACGCCTTTCGAATACATTCATTATGACAGCGTCGGTAATGAGACTGTCGTAAACTACGACGTGTCGCCTTCGCAGATGGGAATCGACTACATGAACTACGTGTACGGTACCGATAATGTTACGCATGCGAGGCATCTATTTGGAATAAACAAGCGCGCTTCGGACTGGCGTGACTGTACCACTTATAGAGGCAATCTTCGATGGGCGGCTTGTGAAGTCTCTCATGGAATAGGACCTCACGTTGGCGATTTGGCTGTTACTACGCTGGCTGTCGTGAAGTTGTAACAAAGTTGTCTTGCATGGCGAGTTCGGGTTGTCGTCGACGGACATAGTTTAGTGATGGTAATAGATAATAGCTTCGGAGGTTGAAGCTGATGGTCGCAATAGCATGGAGGTAGTGATCGTTGATCGTTGTATCTGGTTGAGCCTCAATAAGGTCTACGATCGAGGTCAATTGCTTGACGAACGAGATATGGGAGGAAAGGTCAAGGGTTGTGGAACATCGTAGGGTGTGTGTACGGCTACCTACTACTACTGAACTGAACTTGAGACGAGAATTACCGGTGAACAGTGGCGACCACCAAGGAGGAATAGTGAGAGTGATTAGTTCAAGGAAATCTGTCCTATTGTATATTTAGTAATTTTCAGTGATCTTTGTGATTTAATTTGTCTGTGTAAATGCTTGATGTCTGTAATCTTGAGGATGTGCATGATCTGGATGAATTATACTCGAATGATAACCAAAGATGAATAAATGAGCAGATACCCTATTTCCTTTCTGAAGTCAGAGAAGACAACCACAAAAGATAGTAGGTCAGAGAATAGGTAAATAGAAGGAAGGGTTGGTGCCTGGAAGGAACAGCCGCAGCTGTCTGACCGAGCGTTTTCCGATTAGGTTAGTCGCTACTGTGAAGCTGACCTTTATTAGCGCACCCTTCTCCTCTGTGCTCTTGCCACCCTCTGTGATCTTGCCCGAGAGGTCGAAACGGCTTGACTAAATTGTCCAGAGAAAGGATTGACAAAAAAGATACAAGGAAGAATCACAAGCACAAACGACCGAAGGATCACGACAGGTGGCTACAAAATGCTACTTCTGCAGGTGTTGATCTTGACGATGTGTTCGCTGCGCCAGATATCGGCAAAGGAATGGGTAGCGTCCAATATCTGCTACATTGACGATATGGAGAGAGACTTCTGCTATAATCCCGAGTGGCAGACAATATCTGAAGAAAGCTACTGGCGCGTGGACGAAGAAGAGAAGGTTATGTATTACTACGTACCACAGAATGTTATGTATTGCTACGAAATGCACGAGCACAGCAGAGGATTAAATGGACTTGCTCCTCTGTGGCGTGCATTGGGCCGACGTCCGTCAGATTGGCCTGGCAGCTCTTGTTCTACATTCAACAGTACTCCTACGCTTGAGATGACATGCAAAGGGTTACACGTTGCGTCCTTCGTTGCGGGATTTCTCATCGCCAGATTGAGTGTCAAGGAACTGTCGTCTCTGGTATTCAATTTCATTGTCAAACCGTTCTTAGGTCGCAGTCCGGACGCCAGTATCGGCTTTGGTTATGATGATGAAGAGGGGGGTGATATGCGTTCCATGCGTTTTCCCATATCAACTTTAACGGACGGTGAATTAGTCAGTTTGATAGCGCTCTATGATTTCTGGAAGTTTACGGCCAATTGTGAGAAACAAGATTACAGCGTCGAGATGAGAGTCGATATTATTTCACGCAACGCAGAGACCGTATGTCTCTCTCGGTATGGTGAAAGGGAGAACGTATCTGTTAGTGCAAGATAGATAGACAGATGATCTACAGATGATGATGAAGTAGATCATGTTAGTAGTTGATGAATAAAAAGTCATCATTCAGATGACTGCTGTTAAAGTAGGCAACTAACCGAGAATATCTCCTTCGATGCGTGCTGTGTATACACTTTGCCTCACTCACTAAAAATCGCTAACATGCGTCAATCTGCTCAACTCCCCGCCCGGATTCCCTCAATATCATGACAGTGTCATATTCTCCAGCAGCGAGGTGCTGTTTTCAGGAGTTGGCAGTTCTGGTCCAACGCTCATTCGTAATCAGCCGCATATGCAAGCCAAGACACTCAACTGAGAGCGTTGGCCAATGAGCACAGTGCTGGATGCGTACGCACGGCTGAGATATATCAAGAAAATAACAAAAGAAATAACATAAAATCAAGGACGGGCCTGCTTGACAGTCGGCTCTACACAAGCGAACTATGCGCGACAATCCAATGATCGCAAACCGGCTCCTGCTGGGACTGGTGTTGCTAGTGTACTCTGCAAGCGAAGTTCTGGCCAAGGACTGGGTGGCGACTGATATCTGCTATAGCGACGACCTCGGGAACAATCTTTGCTATGATCCTGTGTCGCTGACGCCTTTCGAATACATTCAACTTCAGAGCGTCGGTAGTGAGACTGTCGTAAACTACGACGTGTCGCCCTCGCAGATGGGAATCGACTACATGAACTACGTGTACGGGACCGATAACGTTACGCACGCGAGGCATTTATTTGGAATCAGCAAGCGCGCTTCGGACTGGCGTGACTGTACCATTAATAGTGGCAATCTCCAACGGGCGGCTTGTGAAGTCTCTCATGGAATAGGACCTCACATTGGCGATTTGGCTGTTCCTACGTTGGTATCGCTGATAGACGAGTTCATCTCCAATGCATTTACGCAGGGTCGCGCCACAAAGAATCCCCGCGATATTTGCTATAAATACAACAAAGATCAGATTTGTGTGTCATGGTCGACCTCAAGCAGCAGCAGAATGCACTCGACGACGTACTATGATGTTAAGATGTTTGCCGCCAATTGTATAAAACAAGCGTACAGTGCTGCGATGAGAGTCGAACTGTGCTCTGGCGTCTCGCAGACAATCTGTGTCTCGGACAGAGCAAAGGGTTGCTCCGACTCGCCTCAATCATGTTTCGAGCAAATTGAAATTGAAGAGCTGCTATAGAAATTGATTGGCGTTATGAACTTACCTTGCACGAGAGTCGTAATAGCGTTACACTAGTATTATAGGTAGTAGTAAAATTGTATTATGTATATGATATGTCAATAATCGATGAGGTTATCTTTGGCAGATAAGGTTGGAGCTAGACTCCACTTGGATCTGACAGGAAACGTCAGAGGTGTTTTCTGTAGGGTTTGATGATTAAACTGATGACAATTGCAAGGGGAAGACTCCTTACACAGCTATAAATTTTACATCATATTGCAGCCTCCTATTTGCGATGATATGAATAATAGCGTATAACATATCTCAAACATATATATGTCCTCAATCAATCAATATAACTGATATCAGATCAGTTTGGTATCCCTTTTCCTTCAACCAGCCGGCAACAACGGCCGCGTCACGCTCAGCCCACGCAGCATTTCTCTTGATTATATCCATGCCCTGACCAACCGATCGCTCGTATCCATGAGTATCCTTGTCGGCAAAGAACTTCTCAATATCTTCATACGCCTTCATTGACGAGAATCCCGCAATAGCTAGAGCTTACGTGTCACGAAGATGACTAATTAAGGTTTATCTTCTGGTTCGACCTCGCAAACCTTACCGACTTCTATCGCCCGACAGCCAGACGGCCCCACAAGGCCTCGGCCGGATAGATAGGAAGTTGGAAGTAGCTACAAATCATACGATGCCAGGATCAGACCATTCGCCGGATCTGGCAATCCTTCCGAGTAGGAGCAGGGGAAAGAGATAAGAAGTAGATATAAAAGGAAGCCGGAGTAGCCAGCTTCCTTGAACCCATCTTTAACCTAATTTATCAACCTATTACGCTTCCACTGCAAACCTAATTCAACTATCGCTCAATGTCTTCCACCAACAACCCCAGCCCTCTCGACCAAGCTACTTCGTCACATTACGCGAGAGATACTGATGAACACTGGCGACCACCAAGGAGGAATAGTGAGAGTGAGAGTGATATTAGTAGTTCAAGGAGATCCGTCCTATTTTATATTTAGTGATTTTTAGTGATATTTCTGATGATTTATTTATTTTTTCTGTGTAAATGCATCGATGTTTAAAAATCCGAGGATGTGCATGATCTGGATGATTTATATTTGAAGGGATAAACAAAGCTGGTTAAGATAAGCAGATACCATATTTTCTTTTGGAAGCCAGAGAAGAGAGAAGACAACCGCAAAAGATAGTAGGTAGTCAAGAGAATAAACAAAGAAAAGGAAGGGAGTGGTGGCCTGGTGTCTGGATAAAATTGTGTAGGGTTTGGACAGCCGCAGCTGTCTGACCGAGCGTTTTGCGATTAGGTTCGTTGTTACTGCCTGCGAAGCGTGCGAAGCCGACCTTTATTCGCGCATGCTTCTCCTCTGTGCTGTTTGCCAGAGAGGTCGATACGGCTTGACTAAATTGTCCAAAGAAAGGATTGACCAAACAGATTCAAGGAAGAATCATGCACAAACGACCGAAGTATCACGACAGGTGACTACAAAATGCTACTTCTGCAGGTGTTGATCTTGACGATGTGTTCGCTGCGCCAGATATCGGCAAAGGAATGGGTAGCGTCCAATATCTGCTACATTGGCGATATGGAAAGAGACTTCTGCTATAATCCCGAGTGGCAGACAATATCTGAAGAAAGCTACTGGCGCGTGGACGAAGAAGAGAAGGTTATGTATTACCACGTACCTCAGAATGTTATGTATTACTACAAACCGCACGAGCACAGTCGAGGAGGATTCAGTTCTGTGGACCACAAGTCCACAAGTGGACTTGCTCTGTCGTGGCTTGCATTGAGTCGACGTCCGTCAGATTGGCTTGGTAGCTCCTGTTCTATATTCAACAGTACTACTACCCTCGAATGGGTGGCATGCGAAGGGTTACACGTTGTGGGATTTCTCATCGCCAGCTTGGGTGTCAAGACATTTTCGTCTCTGATATCCAATTACATCGTCAAACCGTTCTTAGGTCGCAGTCCAGACGTGAGTATCGGCTTTGGTGATGAAGATGAAGAGGGGGATCATATGCGTGTATCAGTATCAACTTTCAGGGACGGTGAATCAGTTTCGAGGACGTACTATGATGTTGGGGAGTTTACGGCCAATTGTGAAAAGCAAGATTACAGCGTGCAGCTGCGAGTCGATATGGATTCAGGCGTTGCGGAGACAGTATGTGTTTCTTGGTATGATGAAAGGGAGAAAGGATTTGTTATGAGTGTAAGATGGACAAACAGATTATCTACAGATGGCAATGATATAACTTTTATTGGTTGAAGAAGAAAAAATTGACTTGATATGACTACTACTACTAGTGAAGTAGGCAGTGAGCTGAAAACATTTTCTTCGAGCTAACTGTATACACTGTACTTCACCTAAACATCGCTTACATGCGTCAAGGTCTCTGCTCATGCACAGTGACGGCGGACTTCCGGGCCGGATTGCGCAAAATCACACTGGACCTGGCCATACTCACCTGCAGCGAGGGTGCTGTTCGGAGGAGTATTTGCGAGGCGGAAAACTGTCTTCTTATCTTTGGAGCCGAAGGTGGCCTATGAACGGTCATTGTTCGCCAGCCGGATATGCAAGCGAGAAAACTCAATTTAGGGCGTTGGCCAATCAGCACAGTGCTGGGTGCGTGCGCACGGCTGAGATATATTAAAAAATACTTTAAAATGAAGGGCGGGCCCGCTTGGCAGGGCAGTCGGCTCTACACAAGCGAACTATGCGCGCCAATCCAATGATCACGAACCGGCTCCTGTTGGGACTGGTGTGCCTAGTGTGTTCTGCAAGCGAAGTTCTGGCCAAGGACTGGGTGGCGACTGATATCTGCTACACCGACGACCTCGGGAACAATCTTTGCTATGATCCTGTGTCGTTGACGCCTTTCGAATACATTCATTATGACAGCGTCGGTAATGAGACTGTCGTAAACTACGACGTGTCGCCTTCGCAGATGGGAATCGACTACATGAACTACGTGTACGGTACCGATAATGTTACGCATGCGAGGCATCTATTTGGAATAAACAAGCGCGCTTCGGACTGGCGTGACTGTACCACTTATAGAGGCAATCTTCGATGGGCGGCTTGTGAAGTCTCTCATGGAATAGGACCTCACGTTGGCGATTTGGCTGTTACTACGCTGGCTGTCGTGAAGTTGTAACAAAGTTGTCTTGCATGGCGAGTTCGGGTTGTCGTCGACGGACATAGTTTAGTGATGGTAATAGATAATAGCTTCGGAGGTTGAACCTGATGGTCGCAATAGCATGGAGGTAGTGATCGTTGTATCTGGTTGAGCCTCAGTAAGGTTCGGGATTGAGGTCAATTGCTTGAAGAACGAGATATGGGAGGGAAGTTCAAAGGTTGTTTCATGATATTGTAGGGATTCGTGTACGGTTACCTACTGACCTGACTGAACTTAAAACAAGAGAAAGAATCGTTACAGCTATGAATGTTCTTCTGTACCATCTCGATTTCCTATCTTCAATAACAACACAGAAACCCTACACGTATAATAATATATCAAACATACACCTTCAATCAATATAAATCAGTTTAGTATCCCTTTTCCTTCAACCAGCCTGCAACAACGGCCGCGTCACGCTCAACCCACGCAGCATTGCTTTTGATTATGTCCAGGCCCTGACCAACCGATCGCTCGTATCCATGAGTATCCTTGTCGGCAAAGAACTTCTCAATATCTTCATACGCCTTCATTGACGAGAATCCCGCAATAGTAAACTTAATAAACCGGTCAAGAATAACCATGTTGCCCGACATGAGACTGTAGATAGTCTCCCAGTTGGTCTTGACAAACTCCCACAAGAGCCAGCGAGCATTGGAGTTTGAAGCCAACGACGCAGCGAGAGTATGCAGATCCTGAACCGCAACCTTGCCCGAAAGGAGAAGATCGAGATCATCCTTGATCAACTTCTCCTTGCTCGCTTTGCCGATAGCAAACAGAGCAATCTCCTTTCCGTCAACGGACGAAGGTGTCAAAACCTCTTTCAAGATAACGTCGTAAACTGCCTGAGCTTCCTCGTCGGTAGCGTCTTCCTGGCCAATCACAATTGAGAAGACGGCGCGACGGAGGTTAGGATGAATAGCGCTCTTGTCTCCAGCGGCATATTTGGCAAACTGCGCCTTAGCCTCCGCAACAACCTCTTCATCGCCAGCGTTACCCGCAGCAGAAATCAAAAGCACTCGGAGCTGAACGGTAAGGTAATCGTCCGAGTCCTTGAACTCCCAGCCAAGTCTCTTAACCATAGGAGAGACAAGCGAACGGGTGAATGCCTGAAGAGGCGCCTTCGACTCGGGAACCTTCTCAAACCAAACAGACTTGAGAGCGGCAACACGCTGGAAAACCTCGGACCAGACAATGTATGATGTCTCGTTTCGCATTCCGTCGACCAACTCAAAGATTCCAGCGGTGGATCCCAAACCAGCGAGAGCCATACAGGAGGCATCAGCAACAAGACCAACCTTGTCAGTCACCGAAAGCTTGTCAATAGCACGCCCAAGCTTGGCAAGACGCTCAGGAGGGTAGTTGACCCGGTACACACCCGTCTGGTTCTTGTTGAGCTTGTAGAAATCGTCCGGTCCGAGACCGGTCAAGATAGTCTCGCGGTTTGAGAAAGCAGACACGCCCGAAATAGCAGACGCAGAACCGGAATCCGTAAAAATTCCAAGCGGGATCCACCACTGTGTGTCGTTCTCCTCCGGCTTCACGTCGCCCGCGGCCAAAAATCTGTCCTGGCGAAGCGAGACACCGGTCTCGGACTCAGTCACAGTGACAACAGGGAAACCAATCTTGGTGATCCACTCGCTCATGATCGAGTTCACATCGATGCCTGAAGCGCGTCCGACAGCATCCCAAAGATCCTTGGTCGTGGCATTTCCGTACGCATGCTCCTTGAGGTAGGTAGAAACTCCCTTCAAGAAAGTTTTGACGCCAAGGTGCGAAGAAATCATACGAATAGAAGAAGCACCCTTCAAGTAACTAATGGCGTCAAAGATCTGGTCAATGTCGAGCGCAGACTTGACAGGCACCTCGATAGGATGAGACTGGCGGAGCGAGTCAAGCCCAAGAGCGCCCTGGAGAGAGTCAGACACAAAAACTCCAAAGACATCCCAGTCAGGGTAAAGGTAGTCGATGGCAAGCCATCCGACCCAGGTAGCAAATCCCTCGTTGAGCCAGAGCTCGTTCCACCAAGCCATCGTCACGTAGTTACCGAACCACTGATGAGCAAGCTCGTGGGCGACAACATACGAAACACGGTTCTTGTATTTCGCATCACTCGTCTCGGGATCAAATAGAAGTGCGGTGGTGCGGTAGGTGATAAGACCCCAATTCTCCATGGCACCGTGAGAAAACTCGTGCACGGCGAGCAAGTCGACCTTCGGAAGCATGTAGTCGATCTCAAAGATCGAGGAAAAGTAGTCGACAATCTTACGCGCATCTTCAAGAGCGTAAAGACCCTGCTTGACGATACCCTTGGTAGTGTACACACGCACAGGGATCTTCTTACCATCATAGAGACGGTCGGTAAACGCCTCGACGTACTCAAAGTCTCCCAAAGCCCAGGCCAAAAGCTAAACATTGACAGTTAGTAAACATAACAATATCTATAAAGATATTGGATCACATACGTAGGTACTCATGACGGGAGTGGTTGCAAACGTGACAGTCTTCAGCTTTGTGCCTGCAGTACCCGCCTTCTTGCCGTCTTCGGGCGTCTTGCTTGACACCTCCGGCATATTGCTGAGAGCGGTCCATTCCTCCGGAATGGTGATTGCAAAGTCAAAAGTGGCTTTAAGAGCAGGTTCGTCAAAGCTGATCCGATTCACAGTTAGCATGGTGTATTACAAAAGACAGATGCTGACAGACTTACCAAGGGAAGGCACGACGAGCGTCAGTGGCCTCAAATTGAGTGGAGTACATGTATGCCTCTTTCCCGTCGGCGTCGGTGTACTTTGAGCGGTAGAAACCAGCCATCTTGTCGTTCATCGTACCAGCGAACTCGATGGTGATGGCAGCGCGAGCAGCCTCGGTCGGGATTGGCTCAGCGAGAGTCAGCGTGACGACCTCGGCCTTAGTATCGGTGTCAATTGACGAGACGGCAATTTCCGAGGTAGCTGCAATCATCATAAAACCCAAAGTCAGTAAGACGCACAAATCAGTTATTACAATAGAGATCAAAGACGATTGATCTTACTCTTGTTCAACTCGAGCGAGACGGCGGCCTTGATGACGTCGATCTCGCGCACATTGAGCTTGATCTCAGCGGCCTTCTCGAGCACGTCGACATCGATCTTGACGGCGCCCTTGAATGTGAAGGCAGAGAAGTCAAGATCGTAGATCAAGAGCGAGTAGTGAGTCGGTTTGACGACGGCGGGGAGGATTTCGCGGTCCATGGCGGTGGTGGTGATTGAGTGGGGAGGATGGGTGGGAGGAGAGCGAGCGGTGAGGCGGAAGAAGGAGCGAACCAGATTGAGCTCGCGGCGGGTTTTGGGTTGGGACAAACTCCGGCCTCGTCTTTGTTTACGCCCCGGGACTGCTTCCTCTTTTCATTTTCCGTATCCACACCCCCACCGACGACATGATGCTCTCGCCACCTGTTTTAGTCCCTCGGGATGCAACCAGCTTATGGTATAACCCATCAGTAAAGCCACACACACTTTTGCGCTCACGGCCACGCACTGCATACCTCCTCGGGCCAACCTCTCTAGTCTCTGATGAGCTCCAACATGATCTACTCTTTTCTGAGCAACCCGCCAACGAGGAGCAAGAATTTTTAAATTCGCTTGAAGCTGATGAGCTGCGATACGCAAGACAAGTGGCTTCTATCCGAACATTTGGCTTTACCTTCCTTCGCCCGCCTGGGTTTACCAAAACGGAGCAGGCCCTTCTTGAGGAGCAGGCCATGTCGGACTCTGCCAGTGAGGACAACGGCTTCATGGAGAATCCCAACGGCGAACTGGTAATGCTGGACACTGATGGTGCAGAAGCGATGGCGGAGGACGAACTGGAAGATGCGACCGACGACGGTGAAGCCGATGACGACCTTGAATACGACGACGACGTGGGTGCCGAAGATGTCGATGACGGTGAAGAGGCGCTCGACGGCTGGCGACGAAGGCAGCGGAGACGAAGGGCAGGCACCGCAGCAGAAGAAGAGGCCGAAGTTGATCTCGATGCAGAGATTCCTGACGGTGGTGATCTGGGTAACTACGAGGACGACGAAGCAGACGAGGAGGACTACGAAGAGCAGGATCTCTCGCAAGCTATGATATCTGAGGTTGAATACGAAGAAGACGAAGATGTTACTGTTGACAGCGATCTGGCAGATAGTCATCTTATGCGCAACAGCTCTAGAGTCTCTACAGTGCCGGATGCCGATGAGGACGTGGAAGTTGATGATGACGATGACTACGACATGGCTGTCGAGTCTGATTAAGGGTTTTTGATTTGTGAGGATGTTTTCTCAGATAAAAGGCGTTTGTTGCGTTTCGGGTTTCTGTATTATATTTTCATAATGTTCTCTTGTGAGAATTATGTAGTTTGCATTGAAGAAGAGACCAAGGAGAGATCAGAAGTATTACCAAGACCTTACCTAATCAATGCGGCTCATGTCATCATGACGTCTGGAGTATATAATGAGATCTAATCTCACCTCCCTGCTATCTACCTCACCATCTACTTCGTCACCTTTCCCGCAAATGCCGCTATCCAGACCGCGACTGCGGCTGTTTAAGCTGAAGTTTTGGGCACCTTATGGCACTATCAGAGATAAACCCACCGTGGGTGCTTTCAGCCCACTGCGCCCGCTCCAATTGCGTCCACCGCTGTCACTGAATAGCGGCTCCCGTCGATCCTTCGTGATCCCATACGCCAAACTTGTTGAGACTACCGGATTGATCGAAAAAGCAGACAACGAAGGTCTGCTGTATTTTGACAACATCTATCCTGTCCGTCATAACCTATGGGACTTTAGGCAGCAAATTCTTTCCATCGCGTCAAAGTTCGAATCAAAGAATATACTCGCGTTCATGCGTGAGAACGTAATTCCAGAAGATCTTCCGATTTCTCTTTCTTCGGTAATTCCCAGGCCCAAAGATGGTGGTGTGATCATCAAGTTTACAAACCACAGCTCTTTGCCTGAGTCTGAGGTTGAGAAGAGGATCCAGGAGCATGTCGAGAATCACACGTTGAGACCGTGGTTCAATCCATTCCGCACTACTCGCTCGTTTGTCGTTCGTGGATCTCCTTGGATCGAAGATCTTCATCGTTTTCCGTCTGCTCGAGTTCGCGTGGAGTTTGAGGGCGCGGACGTTGATCAGGAGACTTTGTACTTGCTCTTTCGGCGATACGGATTGATCCGCGACATCACCCCGCTTTCGCCCGCTGTGAAAGATCTTCCGCGGTACGCTACGATTCAGTATGTTGGATTGCGAAGTGCTGCATCGGCTAGAAACTGTCTTCATGGGTTTGTTGCGCCTAATGGCACTAAGCTACATATCTATTACGACAAGGCGCTGAAGAAGAACATGATCCGCGAGTGGTTTTTCGGCCATCCCAGGATTGTAATTCCTGCTCTAGCGGCTTTGATCGCTGCACTCACCGTTGCAATCTTTGATCCGATCCGCACTTTTTTCATCAAGCGCAAGATCACCAAGAGCTATTCCTTGACTGAGAACAAATTCTTCAAATACCTCAAGGAGCAGACAACGTCAGCTTTGAACGCCATCATGACAAATGGTGGACTGGGACGATATGTGAGAAGGCAGAATGCCGAAATGCAGATCGGGTTTGCAGACCGGCAGGATGTCGTTGAAAGGCTCAGGTTTTTGATCAGCGAGAGTCCAGAGACGTTCATTGTTGTACAGGGTCCGAGGGGTAGCGGCAAGGTTGACCTGGTTAGAGAATATGTGGTTAAAGATGGAGACAAGTGCGTATACACAACATTTGTTATACTTTCTGTTGCTTAATTTGCTAACATTTTGATTAGTACGCTCACTATCGACTGCCAGCGCTTGGTCGAGACTCGTACGGAGGCCTTGTTTGTAAAGGAACTATCTGCACAGACAGGTTATTTCCCAGTGTTCCCGTGGATGAACAGCGTTTCGTCGTTTGTGGATTTGGTTGCCCAAGGTCTGATCGGTCAAAAGGCGGGCTTCTCCGAGACCCTCGATGCACAATTCAAAAAGATTCTCGAAAATACTGATACGGCAATCAAGGAGATTGCGGTTGAAGCGCATAAACATGCAGTTGGCGTTGTCCACCCCAAAAACCAGAACAGCGTTGACGCTTGCAAGACTATGGATCTGATTGCTTCCGAAGATGTCGATGAAAGTCAAAGCGAGAGTCGGAGCGAGGACTTTTATATAGGAACTGGGATCCCAAGACCGGTGATTGTCATTGAGCATTTCCTTCACCAGCGGGACAAGCATGAGACCATGTACCGGACGATGGCTGAATGGGCGGCAGGGTTGGTTGCTGCCAAAGTTGCGCATGTGATTTTCGTTACTGATGATGTTGGGTATTCCAAGTTGCTCCAAGAGGCAATGCCGAATACGGTTTACAACACAGTGAATATCGGCGACGCTCCCCCCGATCTAGCAAAGTCATTTGTCAGACGTCAGACAATGGCGCTCCCGGACACCGGCACAGACCGCGAAGATACTTTGAAGGATCTTGACAAAGCATTGGAGCCATTGGGAGGGCGGATGACTGATCTGCTTGCACTTATCCGTCGCATCTCGATTGGAGAGACCAGCTTACAAGCTGCGGATGAGATGATCAGACAGAGCTCGACAGAGATCATCAAACGCTTTCTCAAGTGCGGCTCTGATATAGCTTGGAATCCTGAGCAAGTGTGGACAATCGTCAAGGGTTTAGCGACAGCTGAGGATATCCGGTATAACCAGCTACTGGCCGACCCGCTTTTCAAAGGAAACAGTGATGTGATTGCAGCTCTTGAACACGCCGAGCTGATTACTGTTACCGAACGCGACGGACGACCCCACGCAATCAAGCCGGGAAGACCAATTTACAGGGCGGCGTTTAAGCGTTTGATCCAGGACAAGGGACTCTATGCCGACCAGGAGATTACGCGGTTGACCTCAATCGTGGGAGTTCTGTCTGCCGGAATTTCAAAGGATGAGGACGAATTGGTCAAACTGTCTGCTTTGTTTACGCCAAAGGGACCGGCGGTGGATGTTAGTGATCGCATGAGATTTCTGGCGGATGATATTCAAGTGCGGCAGAAGAAGATCAGCCAGTGCTATAAGCAAATTGAGGAGCAGAAGAAGGTTATGGCGGTTGTTTATTAGATAGAGATGTTTACAGTCTTTGACTGATAATGCAAGTAACAATTAAAGATCCTTATACCAAACGTCCCGTAGCCGTTTCAGTACGCGTTTTCCCTTAGCTTCGCTCAGCTTGTCAACCAGTGTGGCCTCAATAGCTGTCCACACATCTTCTCCAATATCAAGGCTATCCGCCTCAGTCTTGACATCTTGCATAGGCTCAGGCGTAGCCGCTTTCTCAGCGGCCGATGTACTCTCGGCGGCACCTTCCTCGACCGCGGAAACCATAGCCATCAACGCAGCCTTTCCTTCCCCGTCGACGATCTCTGAGACAGTCTTTGTATCCGGAACCACTTTCCCTTTGTTTATCAGTTTAACTGTGCAGGATATCTTGGCTTCGGCGGAGACTTTGGTTTTTAGGGTGAAGATGGTGTCGGTGTAGGACGCGGAGACGGTGACGTTGAATTTGGGTGCTCTGAGAGATTTGATTGTTATTGTCGCTTGCTTGGAGTCTGAAGCAGTTGCTGTGTCGGCTTTGCGACGCTTTGGGTTTGGCATTGGGGATAAGATAACCTGGGAAGCAAGATGTTATTAGCATTTGCTCAGATATTGAATGGAGGATCGATTCGCAGAACGTACCAAGCCAGGCTTGGATCCGAGAGACTTTGGATCCTGGACGTAATCTTCGCCATACTTGATCGGCTGATTAGACAAAAGAGAAAGAAACGCCTTTGAGAATGTGAGTTCGTCGACTTGCGCCATGATGTGGATTGTGTCTGATTGCAATTACGTGTGAGGATGTCGAGGAGTATAAGAAGATCAGAGAGATTCTGTCAAGTTGTCTGGGTGAACACGTGCAGGGTGTCTGTTTAGGGTTTTATAGATACGCGTCTGCAATCACAGTAGCTACGTCTGCGTCATCAGCATATCGTAGTCACTGTCGAGGCATACTTGACTGTTCATCGATATCTTTACTCAATCAAGATGATTAGAATACAATTACTACTCTGCTTGTTAATAGCAGGCTTTGTGTCTGCTAACATTGAGCAAGTCCGCTTCTTTGCGCCATTCTCGACTGCTCCTCCTACTGAATCCGACGAATGGGCGCGGTCGATACCCGCGACCGTCGAACTGTTGTCGATGGAGAGTCCTTCGGCAATTAAGACGGTCGCTCCTCAATTCCCAGATAGAGAGGATGTGCGGTATATGACGGAGGAGTATTACTATCTGACGGATATTGTCAAGGGATCGTTTTATGAGTTTCGGGTGTGCTGGCCTGCGAATGTATGATATGATTGTTTCAAGCTAATTGCGTCGCGTATGGCTCATGATCTAACCTGATTTGCGATTCCTAGTACCCGTTAGACTTGGAAGTTGGAGTGGTAAAGGCTTCAGAACTGGACGAGAGCTCGCCGCTGTATGTTCCGGCCGAGACCGCGAACGTGATGTACGCGTATATCAAGTACTCTGCTCATTACTATTCCCATCATAAGGAGCTGATGGAGCATCCTATTCCCGCGCCGTTTGAATTGAGTAAGATACCAATCATTTTTAAATTGTTTGTCTAATTTTGTATCTTGCTGACAAGAGTAGTTCTTTCGAAATGCACTTTCTTAGTGGTTCTCGGCGACTCCGTCGTGATGCAGAGCTTGCTTGTGATTTTAGGCATTCTAGGATGGAAGGTCACGTCGCTATGGTACTACCGAATGTTACGACAGATCTCAACGCTCGACTACTTGGCCAAGGATGCTGACAAGAAAGAATGATGTCGATGAGAGGATGTCGCTGACGCCGGCGATTGAAAACTACGATATGAAGCGCAATGAGCGTAGACACTGAAAAGGAGTTTGGGAATTGCTAATGTATAATACAATGTACACCAAGAATGATAGAAAGACTGTATATCTATTGGTATATCTATTGATCAAACGATGTCGAATTGTAGTCCGATAGGAACAGGAGATTACAGAGCCGCATAAGCGCATAAACAACTGTGCACTTACGTAATGACGATTGTGCAACACCGCCCCCAGCCTCCTTCTCACAAATTTGGACTCTTTTCGTATTCCATCCATCACATTCCTCCTTTGCAATCCTTTTGAATTCTCCAATTCTCTTTTTCTAAAACACGCACAATGGTAAGAGTTGATGCCTTTAACTGGGTTTGGTGAATTAATTGGATAGCGACCGATGAGACGGAAGCTGCACTGTGATGATCGGACCGGCGCATTTGCATTAGCCAGGGGAGCATGATCCGACTCTTTCCATCGGTTTTAGGAACACGGGGGTTGAGACGAGTATGAAGCAAGTCTTTATAATATAATCTTTGTGATTTGAAGAAAGATTGTGCTCTGCTGGATTGTCGTTGTGGTGCTGTATTTCGTTGGTGTTCGGTGTTGTTGCGGTTGTGCATGGTCCGTCGTTCAGCTGTGGATCTTGTCAGCTAATCGGTCGCTATTCGATAATGTGCTCTAATCATAACAAACTACTAACCGATCTTAATAGTCTCGATCCGGGTACGCTTTTAGTCTGGTTTGACTCTACAAAAGCAGTAAACAGCCAAAATACTAATCTATCAATTTCCATCTCCAGTGTCGCCCTTAGCAACGAGTGCCAGTCCGTTTTCCAGGAGCTCAAGCTCGGAAAGTCGCTCAAGTTCATCATCTTCAAGCTGAACGACGCCAAGACCGAGATCGTCGTTGACCAGAAGTCGACCAGCTCCTCGTACGACGACTTCATCGGCGAGCTGCCCGAGAACGACTGCCGATACGCCGTCTACGACTTTGAGTACGAGCTTGGTGCCGAGGGCAAGAGGTGAGTTCTTTAGCCTTTTTTTCTATAATGACATGGAAGAGATGATGTTGACTTTATATAATCTAGATCCAAGATCTGCTTCTACATCTGGTCGCCCGATACCGCTCCCGTCCGAGTACGTCATCATACTTCCCTAAAAATAAGTGCTTCAAATGCTAACAAAATCTCAATTACAGAGCAAGATGCTTTACGCCTCGTCGAAGGATGCTATCCGCCGTGCTTTGACCGGTATCTCTTCTGAGATACAGGGCACTGACTTCAGCGAGGTTGCCTACGAGTCTGTTTTCGACAAGGTCTCCAAGGGTGCTGGCTCGCACTAAATTCTTATTCAGTAAATACTCTTTTTGAGCTATTTTTTTGAGTTTTACTTTTATCCCACAATGTTTGAATATTCTTTTGTCTGCGTATGTTTATATTTTTTGTCCCAAGTATGATTTGTAAGGAAACACTTGATACGGAGATGCGGAAAGTCGAATGATTGTACGAGAGAAAAGTATTCACGCACATATGCAATGCAATTAGATTTTGTATTATTCTATTTTAATCTTGTAGTCTTGAGTAGTCTGGGCCTGTAGAGTTGGTTCGACGAACGAACAGGTAATCCTTCATGAGGAAGCGACATGACCTCGATTGACGAAGGCCATACCTGCCGCGCGCCCAAACCACTATTCTTTATCTGAGCAACTGCTTACAGATCATGATTTCTTACGCGTGGCCCGGGTCCAGATATTCCTACGGTGGAGGGTTTCACACTATACTCGAGTCTTAAAACAGAAGGATGGAAGTTCGTGACCTTTTTACATAGGGTTTTCTGGTCGTCTGCTCGTCTTTCTTATGACGGGATGACTACATCTTACACTCACATAATCCTTGCAAGGATTTGGTGACCTAGATGGATGCGAGAACTACTAGTTCTAAAGTTCAAAATTGAGATTCAAGATGTCATTCATATAGATGCGTAGAGTTAGTTTCCTTGTACAAACAGCAGAGTATCTCTAGTCTAAACGAAACCGTAAACAGGCTTGCCAACATACGGCTCCTCCAAGTACTTTGACTCCTCCTCAGTCAAAGATTTGTAGCTTGCGGAGATGACTTCCTCCAGGCGCTTGGGAGAGCTGATACCCACGATCGGGCTCGAGACTCTCGCCATGACCCAAGCAAGCGAAACTTCCGCCATAGTAATGCCCTTCTTCTCCGCCGTCTCCTGCACGCGAGAAATGATGGCCTGCGAGGGTTCACCTGCCGTTTGGTCGTAGAACAGCGGGGAAGCAGCGGCCAGAGTCTTGATGTTTGCGGAGCGGTCGGTGGTGGTGGTAGGCGGCTTGGCGAGCGCACCGGCGGTGAGCGGGCCCCAGGGAATAATGCCGACGCCGGTGAGGTTGCAGTACTGGATCATCTCGCGCTCTTCTTCGCGGTAGAGCAGGCTGTATTGGTTCTGCATCGAGATGAATTTCGTCCAGCCGTTGCGGGCGGCGCATTCCTGCATCATGACGAACTGGAAGGCGTACATGCTGCTCGCGCCGATGTAGCGGACTTTGCCAGACTGCACCAGGTCGTGGAGCGCACACATTGTCTCTTCGATCGGAGTGGTGTAGTCGAATCGGTGGATCTGCAGGATATCGATATAGTCGGTTTCCAAACGCGCCAAGCTAGCCTCGACCTGTTCGAAGATAGCGGCACGGGAAAGGGCCATGCGGTTGGAGTACTCGGTATCGGTAGACGGATCGGGCATGACGAAGGGCGTGCGGGGATTCTCCTCGTCGACGTACATGTAGCATTTCGTCAGGATCTGGAGTTTCTTGCGGGGAATGTTGTATTTCTTGATCGCGGCCGCAATGATGCGCTCGGACTCGCCGTGGGAGTAGTTGTTGGCGGTGTCCCACTACATCTGTCAGCATAGTGAAGACTAAAGTGATAGCAATAGGGAAGCATACGGTGGTGACGCCCATGTCGTAGGCAGCCTTCAGGATAGGAAGAGCATCCTCTCTTTCAAGCACCCAGGGTTGCCATTCCTTGACTTGTAAACGAAATTAGTACTTTACATCATAATTCATCATCAATTGATGCTTGTACATACAACCAAAGCTCATGCATCCCAAGATCGGGACAGAAAGACGCAGTCCACTGTTTCCGAGCCTACACCGAGTGTCAGCCAATCGGACTTGCGCAGACAGAAGCAAAGTTCACACGTACTTCTTGTATTTTGCCTTCAAAGGAGTTGTAGTATCAGCCATAGCGATGATTGAGCAATTGATCAGTGACAGAGAGAATTGAGCTGGTGAAGGAGGGAATTGTCAGCAGGGACTGCGGGAAGTGGAGATCCCGAAGCCGATGATAAAGCACAAACTTCATGATAAGAGCGAGAGTTCGTTTTCATGCAGAATATGTAACCAGTTACGTAACATGTAAATTCAACCGAAATTCAATCATTTATTCCAAGTATTAACCAAACAAGCCAAAGCCAAAACATGTATTGAAAACCCCACCAGATAATAAGCAACAAACGACAAACGACATGAACTTTTTTTTCTCTAATCTAACTCTTTTCTGCGTGAAATGAATCGTGAGTGTATTAGTCGCTGTTCTTCTTGTGAACAGAGGCAGCAATACCTGTCTTCTCGTCCTCCTCGTGGTGCTCGAGTTCACCAGTTTCGGAAAGCTCAGAGTTCTCGTGCGATTCGTTGAGGAGCTTGAAGTAGTACTTGCGCTCGTCGCGCTTGAAGAACCAGAGAACGACAAAAGTCCAGAGGATAAGAGTTCCCGAGATGACGGCGCCGAAGATGAAACCGGTGTGGTACTCGGGCGCAGTGGAACTCTTCCAGAAGATACGCGGGGTCCAGGCTGTTGACTGCTGCGCGATCGTGTTGACGAGAATGAGGATGACGGAGCGATACTCATCATCGTGGCGGACGATATCGTTGATCCAGCCGTAAAGGACAGAAGACATCGAGTTCGAGGTATACTGGATCAAGAACGCGTACCATTTCGCGTGCTCAGGCACCTTCCAGATAGCGAGGATGACCATGTTTGTCCAGTTGAAGAGCTGCGGCAGGCAGAGGAAGAACCAGCGAGACCGGAAGATGTCGGCGCCGAAGCAGGAGATTATGACGTACAGGATTCCGAGCGCGGGGGCGATCGCAGAGATGGTGTTGCGGCGGCCGGTCTCGAAGCGGTTGAGCGACTTGAGCCAGAGAAGGAAGACTCCGTAGCCCTGGGCGGAGGAGTTCCAGAACAAGGTATCCCAGATGGCGAGGATGGGCAAGTGCCAGGTCGAGAAGGCGCGCTTGATGGTAGCCCATGAGAAGCCCTTTGGTTTGCCGGTTCCGTTGCGCTTGGCGCGGCGACGTGCGATGGCGGCGTCTTTCTCGTTGAAGAAGTAGGAGTGCATTCTGTCGGGAGTTCCAGGCCAGATGAAGAAGCCCATGATGCCGACGGGGATGGTGATGATGGCGTCGATGATGAACATCCATCTCCAGCCAGCGAGGCCGTGGACGCCGTTGAGGTTGTCAAAGATAGCACCCTGGAGCAAACCAGCGGTGGCCGAGCCAAGCATGAGTCCGATGTAGAAGATTCCGCCTCGGCGCTGAATCTCATGGGCCTTGAACCAAGCGCCAAGGACATAGTGCACGCCGGGGAAGAAAGGGGCTTCAGCGCAGCCGATGAGGAAGCGGAACGCCATCATCTCGGCTTTGCTCTTGGCCTTGTACTGGGCGAGGGTGAAGAAACCCCAGATGATGTCGAGGCCGGGGATCAGGAGCTCCATGCGGACTTTGGGGAAGAGGTAGAGGAAGGGAAGTTGGAAGACGACGCAGCCGACGTTGTACATGACCTGGAGATCAGTAAGGTCGCTGCCGCCCATGTTGAGATCGTCACTCATGCCGGAGGTGTAAGCGTTGTCTGGAGCTGTTAGGATGTGCTTTTCCAGAGAGATGAAAGAGAAGTATACATACTGACGTTGGTCTGGTCCAAGTTCTTGACCCAGTAACTGAGGAAACAGTACGAAGTGATGAAAAGATCAAGCTTCATGATGTACCTCCGCTCTTCGGGGGTGTCGGTCTCGTCGAACCAGTGATACCACTTGTGGGTGGTGCCTCGTCGCTCGTAGAGGTCTCTGTACTCGTACTCGTCAAAGAACTTGTACCAAGGTCTCTTGGCGGGCAGGGGAGCGATTTCGAGGAGTTCTTGCTCATCGACCGAGATAGGACGGACGCCTTTCTCGACAGAGCCGACCTCGCTTGAGGAAAGCTCGCTGGAAGTCATGGTGGAGGATGAGAGCGGCAGAGAGGAGGAGATGGGAGTGAATGGAGAGGGAGGAGGATGCAGAGAGGGAGGAGGGTGCTCTAGTTATAGCTGGAGAGCACCGCATAGCATTTATGGCACCACAGGAGAAGAAAAAAGCAGAGAGGGAGAAAATACCCAGATAGGTTAGTGGGGCGCTGTGAACGATGGCTTTGCGCATATTGCGTGCTCATCCGGGCTGCTCCGCGACGAGAAACGAAGAGAGACGGTGTTTTAGGTTAAGGTCGGGCGGTTGGCTTGTTTGGCGGGAAAAGCTTTGCTGGCTGCTGCTTTGATAGGAGAGATTAAAGGTTGGATTTCGCGGTCTGGTGTGGAGTGCTGAGAGTGCAGGATGTAGAAGTCGAGTCTTTTGCACTGAAGGAATGCTGCAGTGTTATGATATTACTATCATCACAATACACTTATCTATACGACTACAATAAGCACACAGCTCCTACAATACCTGACACTTTTGTCAATATCAGAGCCCGAACCGATGAGGACAAAGTGAGCGCACGGTCCACGATAAGCCGCCCGCTAGTCTGCGGCTCAGTCGCGCACGCAATCGAGCACGTCGAGATCGCAACCAGCACGTCAACCTTCGCTCGCCCTCGCGGCCCAGTCTGTGTGGTGCCGGACGGGGGCTGATTAGGTCTGATATCGAGTTTATTCTGTTGCTGGGGGGAGAGATTAGATAAAAGACTTGGCGGTGTGGGTTGTGGGTGCTTGCTGCTTGCTGCTTGCTGCTTTAATGCGTCTGCATCCACGTCCGCTCTTCGACAATACAATCCTCCTCGCGACTCAGTCATCTGCTACTCATTAGTGACTCGCCTGGTCGTCGTCTATGTGGCGCTAAAGCATTCTTCATGTAGTCATCGTAGTCTCCCTACCGCTACTAGCAGCTCTATCAACGCCCGGAGGACCGTGTGCAGGCAGACCAAGAAACTCGAGAAAAGAAAGAAAACTGCTCCTCTGCGCTTCTAGCCGATTGCGTGAACTCCGGGCCGTCTGGCCGCGCTGGGACTTACTGTGATGGGAAGTTTCTGTGTTTGTGATGAGCCTGTTCTTTTTGAAAATCATTCTCTCCAGAGTGCTTTGAGCACCTCCAAATCCACGCACCTTACGGTAGAAACAGAAATATAACAATAAACATCAACTGAATCAGTCACAGCTACTTTTAATCAGTTATCGCAAAACAAATACACGGGTCGGAGTCGGATGCCTGCCGTGCTCTGACCACCCGTTCGCCATTTCGCCTTCCATTTGCACATCTGCACATCCGCTTCCGTTTTTCGCCCACTTGCTCTGTCTGGCCAATCGCGTCCTCTCTATTCTCTTACTCTCGCTCGCCTTGAGGGATTTTTTAATGTTTTGTATCCGGAAGGGTCCGCGATGATATGAAATAGGGTGCCGTGACAGGTGGTGACGTTGGTGGTTGTTTTTAGGATGGTTGGCGGTCTCTGTGGCGTCGTTAGTCTTACTGTTAGAATATTCTATGGCTGGCTGCTAAATTCAAGTCCGTAGATAACAACTATCTCTTTATAACAATAGTAGACAGCGCACTAATCGACGACCGCATTCAACTTCGTCTGCTCCCTCGCCCACAGCGCAGTCGTGCCATCAATCTTCGCCAACAACCTCTCGACATGCTTCCCAGACCCAATAAACCGCATCGCCTCCATCGCCGCCAAATGCCTTGCCGCGTGCGCCTCGTAATGCCGTTGGATTATATCCCGCGCCTCGGGGGTGTTGCAATTATCTAGGTTCATTGTGCAGTCGTCTTGCGGACAACTCCACGGCTGCGGTTTTACTTTCGCCAGCGCGGCTTTCGACAGCGGTTTGAGACGGAAAAAAGTTTGCAGTCGACGTTGGATGTTCTCGGTGACGGCTCTGAACATCGCCTCGTCGGCCGATTTCTTCAAGCGCATGCCGTCGTCGGCTGAGCCTTCTTTCTCGTCCGCGTCGGCGATCTCCTTCTCCTCCGTCAGCAGCAGACCGTTTTCCCGCCCCGCATCTGCAGATCCAAATATCGACGTAGCAGACTCTTCCAGGTCATCTTCTACAAAATCAAGGCTCGCAAACGGCGTAGGTGAACCAAACGGTCGGAGTTTCGAGACTGCTTTTTGCGACTTGCGGGTCGGTCGGATCTCTTGCTCGTCCTCTTGTTCATTTGTGATGATGATCTCGTCCTCTTCCTCTGTGGATTCTTCCGCGTTCTTGTCTTTCTGTTTAGGTAGTCTGCTTTCAAATACGGCCTTGAGGCGGGTCAAGTACGAGGTGTATGCAGCGTACTCCTCCGAATCCAATATGCTTTCTCTATTACTCTCAAGTAACTCAAGTATCTCCCGCAGATGCCCGCAAAAGACCCTCAAGTTCGACGCCTTATCAACAAGCTCATGCCACATCTCATCCGTAAACAGCAACTCATCTTCCAAGAACTGCTTCACGGTCTCGAGAAACTCAGACGACGGCGGATCCACAATCACAAGACCGCTAGACTTGGGTCCGTAGAGGGAGAGCACGTGGGCGGCTGCTTTGAAGATGTTTTCGCTTTTGTGGTCGGAGAGGTGGGAGAGGAGGTCGGAGACTGTCGAGTATTCTTCTTTTTTGATATCTGTTTCTTCGTCGTCGTCGTCGTCGTTCTCGCGCTTGCGTTTCTTGTGAGCTGAGGGTTCTGATTTGATCTCTAGATCGTCGTCTCCTTTCGCACTCTCGTCGACAATCTCCTGCACATCGCCGTCTTTCAGCTTCATCGCAAGCTCATCGAAAGCAGCGCCATACTCATCCGACAGACCAAATGCCGCCAGCAATAGACTGTCCTCCCAATATTTGTCTTTCAACAGTCGGGAGATGATGAATCGATCATGTTTTTTGAGAAGGCCAAAGAACTTTGCCTGTTTGAAATCTTCTCGGTACTGCGGGGGTCATAATTAGCAAGAGGAGATTGTATGTGGAGAATATAGAGAAAACGTACGTAGGTGTTTAGTTGATCAAAGAGGGTGGTAGGTGTGCTTTCCTGTGGAGAAATATCGGATACCTGATCAACGATCCAGTCTGCAAAGCCGCGACAAAATTAGAAAAATCACAAGCGCATTTATAAACCGAGCGTGCATACTCCAAAACCTGGTTTTCTCGATAATCTCATTATATACATCTGTATACGCAGGAGAAGGTGACGCGCATTTATACCAGCATGCTTCACCGAGAATCTGGAAATCAACGTCGTCCTCCGCGCCTTCAGACTCTGATTTTCTCAAGACGACAGTCGTGGCGTTTGATATTCGTATCCGCGCGCCTCTGGGGTCTTTATCTGCGTAAAGAGATGACCACGATGCAGTGATCACTAATAGAAAATCAGCTCGGTTCTCACCCTGATCTTCTGGAGGATGAGAAAAAACATACCAGGCTCACTCTCAGTAACAACCTGCTCGACATCTCCCTCGACCGTAAAACTCCCGACGTCATCCTCATTCTCAGTCTCGGTCACGTCCGCGATCTCGGTCGTGCTGGCTTCTGCGTAGACGCAGACGTTTGTGAGGACGATGCAGGGCCAGCTTAGCACGTCGAGGGAGGGGTCGGGCGGGTCGAAGAGAGAGAGTTCGGGGATCGAGGAGGTGGGTTGGGTGGCCATTTTCTGATGTTCAGAGCATCTGGATTGTTGTTTGAGGAGGGGAATTGGATATTTGGTGGAGATCAATGGGTGAGGGTGGTTATCTTTTGTCGATGGATTAAAGTGTCGTTGGGAGTTTAACGCTGATGTTTGTCTCCTCGACAGAACACCACAATTATTCAAGATTATACACAATTACTATACTCTACATCTACATCTACTCACAACTATAAAGGAAAGTAATATTTCAAACACTCTCATTTATTGCAATATATATACACATTTGAGATCCACGACTCAAACGAGAAACATGGGAAACAGCAAAGTCATGGAGATCAATGGCGCATGTAGTGCACAAGAAGAGTAATTTGAAGTAATCTACAAATAATATGCTATATTTTTGAGCAAGTACAAATGAAGTAAACTTAAATGAGATGCTTTGACCTGTATAGAAAAATTAGTTAGTAAGCTTCATCGCTTCGGGATATACATCATCGGGAACAAGACTGACCTGAAGAACTGTCGCAGGTAGGCAACCTGCCACACCGAAAGTGCCAACAACGAAAACAAAGTGCCGATCGAGAAGAACTTGACGCGCGCGTTCGTGCTCTCATTCGTATCTCTCAATCTCATCTCGCGCGCTTTCAGGTACTCCATCTGCGACACGACCTCGTCAATGCTCTCCTCGATCCGTCGCAGCTCGAGCTCCATCGGCTTCAACTTCTCGGTCTGGCCTAGCGCGTTCCAGTCCCGCGCGTCGGCGCCAATGTCAATGTCGAGATCGACCTCGCGCGAACCGCCGGCGGCTTTGCCGTCGACTTGGATGTTTTCAAAGCAGACGTCGAAAGCGGCGTCGGCGAGGGCGGTGAAGACGTAGCGTACGTCGCCGGCAACGTCCTGCGAGAGTTAGCACTAGATCACTAACAATAAAAGTAAAAGCACATACCTTAGGACGACCGTATTCATTTCCAACGGTATCAATGATCTAAACGCAACCAACAGTCAGAATTTACTCGTCACAAGACCGCGCACACGCGTCAAAACAAGCGCTCGAAACCTACCCGCAGGTTCAGAACCTGGCCATCACCCTTCTGTCCGTTCGTCTTGACATTGACGATAACCATTGCATCTCTCTGCACGAAATTGCGAATGCATCGCTCGCTGGGGTGTCCAGCTGGTCGCGTATGGACTGCGAATTTGAGGGCGCTGGCGTGGGCCGCGAAGACGAGCAGGAGCAGGAGCAGGGTGCTGCAAAGAGCGGGGAGTGAGTGCCGTGAAATCATCTCGCTATCTGCCTCTTCTCAGTGATCTATCTGATGCTCGGTGATGATTGTTGCTTCACTGCGCAGAAGCGGATGGTTTGTGTAGATCGAGATGCGACGTGTAAACTGCATCCCTTCTTGCTGTCCTCGGCGTCATCTTCACGATCACGTGCAGAGTCACGTGTATACACACACGTGACAAAGTAGATGACAGAGTGGTTTGCTCGAGAAAGTTCTGCCAGTCAGGAATTACATAAGCACCGCGATTCCTGAGCGCGACATAAATTTTACGGTCGGCCCTCGCGAAGTCTTGATCTCCACACAAAGAACAGGTTCAATTGCTTCTTCTTGCTCGCTCTCAATAATGGTGTGTATACTGAGTGAATGCTATGGCTAGAGGCATAGAAGAAGAAGAAGAAGAAGAAGAAGAAGGCTAACAGTAGATAGGCCACCACTCTTCGCTCCATCCGCGGACTCACCCCGCTGCTCGACCGCATTCTCGTGCAGCGCGTCAAGGCTGAGAACAAGACCGCGTCCGGTCTCTACATTCCCGAGAAGAACGTCGAGAAGCTGAACGAGGCGAAGGTGCTTGCGACCGGACCGGGCGCGTTTGATCAGAACGGAAAGCTGATGCCGGTGTCGGTCAAGGCTGGCGACCGGGTCTTGATTCCGCCGTTTGGTGGAAGCACTGTCAAGGTTGGCGATGAGGTGTGTATATCTTGCGAGTTGCATAACAGTGAGAGGAAGCGGGTTACTGATATATATACTACAGGACTACATTCTCTTCCGGGACCACGAGATCCTCGCAAAGATCTCCGAGGAGTAACCGTCTCGAAGATATAAAATATACGCACGCCACGACCTCGAAACGAAGAAAAGAAAAGAAAGATCTAGGCACTGAATCAGAAGGAAGAGCGTATACGGAATGAAGAGTACTCTTGATGAACGAAGGGCACTCCTGATTAACTATATGCCCTCTCTCCAGTTTGTAATTATATACTTCTCTGCCTCTTGTAATATATTCATATAACTATAAACATCATCGTAAATCCAAGCCTACAGCTCAGGCATCCGCACCGCCTCCGTCTTGCTAAACGCCTCCACCTGCGCCTTCACCATCTCCAAAATCTTACTCTTCTGCCACTTCTCCGGCACGGGCGAACTCGGGTTCCCGGTAACCCAGTAGTAAATATCCCAATCGTACTCGTCCAAGAACTTGTCGTACTCCTCCAACTCGGCCTCATTGAACTCTTTAAGGTAGGTAGCCGCGAACCGCGACAGAATCAGATCGGTCTCGAGAATCCCGCGCTTGCGGGATTGGTAGAGCAGGCGCGCACGCTTGTTTTCAATCGGTTCGTTGATGCGCGGAAGTGGCTCCAGCTTGAACTCGATCTTCACCGTGTTTTCGTCCTCTTCACCGTCTTGCTTCTCCTGCTTCTGCGTCTGCTGCTGCTGCCGTGCAAGAAACGCAGGCGAAGAGGTTTGCAGGCTGCGCGATATCGTCGCCGTGTTGACGATATTCCGACACCTCGCCGCTCTCAATGATCTCAAAATAGCTGTCCGCTGCATCGTATTCTCTTCTTCTTCTTCTTCTGCTGCTGCTTATTTATCTCTTCCTGTCCTTTTCTTCCTCGAAGTCTCTTGTCCCGAAACCAAACGTGAAGATTCCGGCACTCCGCAATGTCAGCCGGCTCCAACTCTCCTCCAGGTGGTTAGGGTACCATCTAAACCTAACCCGCTGACTTACCTAAGCGGATCTTTACCGTTTCCAGTAATACCATGTGCAATTCAGTTGATAGAAGTAAGAAATAGGTATTAATACATTAATCGAAGAATCTGCTAATAAATAAAGATACAAAAATACAAAATACATAAAGAAGAAGACCTACCCATGCGATATGTAATAAATCTGAACTTGCACGGTTTGCCGATGTGCTTTGGAGACTAATTGTAGTGTATGTGCTCTGCACTGCACTCGTGATGATTTTGATTATTATTGTTTATTGTTATTGATTATGTTATTGATTATTAAGGGTTTTTCAGTATGTGTTGAGAAGCGTTACATTACTTCTACTTTGTTATCTTTAGTTTGTCTTTAGCCACTTCTTGTCTTGTAACCTCACATTTGTCCAGCGCCACCTTATAATAGGGACGCTCCCTCTGTTTGTTTATTCTCTAGTCTTTACGCTCAATACATACTTTTCCCTAGTTGATATTTGGTCTTATTACTTAAGATTGGAATCCGCAAATATTACACTAATGATACAAAAAACGCAAGAAGAAACCCGAATAATAATACAACTTTGAGAAACAAAATAGAGAAAAAAAAAGAGAGCTACACCCCCCGCTCATTACTCTCGCGACTACTAAACGGCGTCGGGAGTTCAAACAGATTCCCGCCGTTAATCAACGACGAAAGACGAGGACTTTGGCCTTGCTGCGGCTGTTGGCCTTGCTGTTGCTGTTGTTGTTGTTGTGGAGGAGGACCGGGCTGGAAGAATCCAGGCGGATGAGGAGGTCGGGACTGGAAAAACGGATTGGGCAGCATCGGGTTGGCTTGTGGGAACATAGGCGGCGGCGGCGCGCTGACGTCCTGGCCGCCTCCGAACAGCGACTGCGGCGGTGGCGGAGGCGCGGGGGTGACTACGCCCTTTGCGCCGGGGTATTGCGGCGGGAAAAGAGAGTGCGAAGGCTGGCCTGCGTAGCCTGGTTGCAGGCCTGGTAGCTGGGGAGGCGGCGCGGGAGGAGAGGGATTGTGGTGCAAGACGGATGAAGGAGCAAGGCTGCTCCATTGACCCGGCTGCACCGGTGCTGCTGCCGACTGCGCCGGCGCCTGTGAGATCTCTGGCATAGCTTGTGGACGAGGAGCGTTCGACGAAGGAGTTCTAATCTCCGGAGGCTCGTCGTCGTTCAACAGGTTTGCGATATTCGACATCTTTGGCGGCGCTCGGGCAGGAGCGGGAGCAGGAGCAGGAGCAGGAGCTTCAGACGTCGGCCCTGACGATCGCGACATTATACTCGCCAGTCCCATCCTCGAATCATGCACCGGCGCTGCTGCTGACGCAGGAGGCGCCACGCTAGCAGCCGCTTGCGTGACCGGCGCCACGACCGGATTATTCACGACCGTGTCCATGAAAAATCCCAATCGCGGACCTCGCTGAGCAGGAGCCGGAGCAGGAGCCGGAGCTGCTGGCGCTGGAGCCTGTGCAGGCACCGCTTCGAACGGCCGCGCGACCAGACCCGGTTCAGGTTTCGGCGACACCTGACTCGACGACGCAGTCGACGACGGTGCCGTCGCGCTCTGCTGATGTTGTTCCATCTTCTTGCCCTGTCTCTCCTCCGAGGCTCCATCGCCAGCTCGCGCAATCGTAGACGACGACCCGCTGTCCTCTTCCTCGTCGCCGCCTTGGATACGTTGCTGCGCTTCGTAGCGCTTGCGGACGGGAACTGGCTGCGATGGCGGAGCGGGCGTAGGTTGACCGCGCGAGATGAGCATGTTTGCCTCGTGCGTGACTCTGTCCCAGCCGAATTTCTCGGCGTTGCGCGCATAGTAGTTTTTGACCTACACCTGTTAGCTCGAGCTCAACTTCTTCACTTCAAATATAAACACATACCATCGTCGTCGTCTTGGCTTTCAAATGCTTCGACACTTCCTCCCACTGCGTCCCATAGCTCTGCAACAATTTCGGAAACAGATCCATCTCGTGCACGCTCCAGTAGCTCGAAATCAGGTTGTTCCGCTTCGAGCTTCCCGAGCCGCTTGATTGCTGCGTGGTCGTGATTGTTGTGCCGCCCGCAGAGACCTGTGTGTGCTGCAACTGCGGCGAGGTTGAAGGTTGATGCGGCTGCTGCTGCTGCTGCTGGACGCCGTACGGCGACACAGCAGGACGGAGAGTCCCGTCAATCATCATCACCATCTCGCCATCGGGTTTCTTGATAACCTGCTCGCGGTGCTGCTGCTGCTCGTATGCGCGCTGCTGTTGCTCGTAGATCCGCTGCTGTTCTACCGCCTGCGCCGCCGTGGCTGCCATCTCAATCTCTGCTCGTTGATCAGCTTCGTCAGGCGGTTGCTGCGGCTGCTGCAGTTGCGGTTGCGGTTGTGGCGCGGAGGGTTGTTGCGCGGCGGCACCTTCTGCGGGCGGGAACCCATCTATGCCGCCGAAAAGGCCGGCAAGGGCTGAGATCGCGTCTACTTCCCGATCTTTTAGGTCTCGCGAGATTTGGTCGACGGGTTGTGGCTGTTGATACCCTTGCTGTGGCTGCTGTTGGGGCTGCTGTGGAGGTACAGGTTGCTGAATAGCTGGCGGTGGGTATTGGTAGATAGGCTGCTGTTGCTGAAGCAACATCTGCTGCTGAGCATATTGATCATATCCAGGACCTTGCTGTGACATAGCCGGCACCGAAGAATACTCCTCGCCCTGATTCTGCATGACAGCTCCCCGTCCCTTTCCGACAACACCCTTCTTTCCTCCTCTCCCGCGTTTCGTCTTTGTCTGCTGCTGTTGCTGCTGTAACTGCAATTGCTGCTGCTGCTGCTGCTGCTGCTGCTCAAACCCGCCATCCTTCTTCTCCCCAAACACAGGGGCAGCAGCCCGTCGCGGTCGACCACTAGATCCAAGCTCAAGCAGCGCCGCAATCTCCTCATCCGGCATCCGATTCGACGACTGCCTAGCATGCGACGACGACGACGGCGCGACCTCCGCGACCTCCTCCGCCGGCGTCGAATCGCCGGTGCGATTACCGCTGTTGTCGACAGTAGGTCCGTCGAGGAGTGGCTGTTTTCGCGGCTTTGCAGCGCGCGGCGCAGAGGTTCCGGCGGATTGTGCGCCGCCGCGAGTTTTTCTGCGGCCTTTGCGGCCTCCCGGGCCGCGTCGCCGGCCTGCGATCGCCATTGATTTGTAGTCGACTTCTTTCTTGGTGCGGTAGTAATGCAGCACGCATTCTTCGAATGTGCGGGTGTACCCCATGTGCCTGGCGATGAAGCCAAACTGTTTCGGATGCAGTTTGTAGCCCTCGCAGAACAGACGATGTTCCTCTTCTGTAAACACGTCGACGCCGTCGACGACGAGGCGCTCGAGTGGGATGTTTGGGTCTTTGACGATGTTGTTTGTGTCGACGTAGAGCCGCTTGCGGTCGTGCTCATCCAGGATCATGTTTGGAATCCGCGCGCTCGTGAGCTTGGCGCGGTTTTTAGGATCGAGCTGTTCTTCGCGTTCGAGCGAGGCAAGGACTTCCATAAACTCTGCTTCGCTGCGGACCGCGTCGCCGACCGATCTGCGCGCACGTCTGAAAACGCCGGATTCCTCGTCTTCTTCGTCGTGAGCGGGCTCGCTGCTCGGTTGCCCTGCCGCGCTGGAGCTGTCGCGGGATTTACCTTTGGACGATGATGACGCGGCCGCGATTTCGGCGTCGAGCGCGCGGCAGCTGGCGATCCATGCGTCGTACAGGACTTTGTATTCCTGCTGGAGTTGGCGGCCTAGTTCGTGCTCGCGTTTGCGTTTGCCTTGGATCACGCTTGTGATTGTCGGCCGGAGCTTGTTGAACGAGCGGATGTTTGGCGCGTAGAATCTGTATTCTGTCAGGAGCTTGAGCGGGGGGTTGGCGAGGTACTTGAGGGGCTCTTCGGTGACTAGTTTTGGAATCACTGCTTCTCTGCTGCGGCGGTCCACGGGAGGTGGTAGCGCATCTTCCATCTTGACATCAGCTTGATTTTGAGTTGTCTGGATAAGTTCTTCCTTTGTCTCGCTCGCAGTTGCAAGAGTCATCCGCTCGTCGTCTTGTACCTGCTCTGGCTCGGACTCTGGCTCGGGCGTCAGTTCCGGTGTGGAAACAACTTCTTTGAGAGCCTCGCGCTCGCGCTCTTTCTTGGCGATGATCTCGTCGATGCGCGACTGCAGATCTATCATTGTCTTGTCAAGGTCCTGCATTCGTGAAATGACATCGTCCTCGTTCAGTCCGTCTTCCTCATCTTCGTCGTCGAAATCTTCTTCAGGGGCTAGCGTGAGTCTTGGTCGAGCGGGAGCTGCGGCAGAACGAGAGGGCGCGGCAGGGGATTCAGGCTCTGCTGATTCCGCGGCGTCTTCTTGAGAGGGTTGTGCAGGCGCAGGGGAGGCGGAGGCTGATGGCATTGCTGATGACAGTGCGGAGGCAGACTGCTGCGGGATGGGAGGTGAGGGCGAGGCATGAGAGACGGAGGGGGCGCGAGACGGTTGGGCAGAGACAGGTTTTGAGTCCGAGTGCGGAGGTGGCGAGGTGGAGTATGTTTCAGTTTTGACCGGCTGCGATAGCAGTAATTGCTGCTGGTGCTCTCTTGCTCTCAGACGATCTTGCTTTGGCTCTGTTGGGGGATGAGAATAGAGTGGGCCGGGTATTGGGGAGGGTTTGGCGGGGGGAAGGTGGATGGGGTGCCTGGATGTTTTGAGAAGTAGTCGTACTGTCTGCTGTCGTGAGGTTGTGGTTGGTATGGTTGAGGAACGCCTGGAGTCACTGGGAGAATTAGTATAGCTGTAGATGAAGTAAAGAAGATGGACATACTTGGATTGATGTGTAGCTTATCAGTAGGCCTTCGGTCATAAGGAGAAAGCGGCTGCTTTGGACTGATGGGCAATCGCTGACCAGCAGGAATGAACGGAGTCGGCCGAGATTGCGGCGGTCCATGGAACGACGGTGGCGATCTCGTGAACCGCTCGCGGTCGCGGTCTCGTTCGCGGTCGCGGTCCGAGAGATATCGCGCGGGCGGACGGGGGCGAGAATATTGGACAGGCGCGGACGGGAGCGAGTTTAGAGACGGGCGTCGGTCGTAGTATGAATCTGCGGAGCGCGGACCGTAGTCGCGGTCGCGATCTCGCAGGTCACGCACGTCTCTGATGTCTCTGATGTCTCTGATATCTCTTCCTTCGCGGTCGCGATCCCGGTCGCGGTCTCTGTTGTCTGTCCAGTAGTCGCGGTCGCGGTCCCGGTCGCGATCGCGGTCTCGGTCGCGGTCTCGGTCTCTGTCGCGAATCTCACGATCGCGATCACGGTCGCGGTCCCGGTCACGGTCACGGTCGCGGATATCACGTTCTCTGTCGCGGTCTCTGTCTCGGTCGCGGTCACGATGGTCCCATGCAGCTCTGTACTCGCGGTCTCTGTCTCTGTCTCTGTCCCTGTCGCGGTCTCTGTCGCGGTCTCTGTCTCTATCTCTGTCGCGGTCGCGCTCCCAGCGGTAATCGCGATCCCTGTAGATAGAAGGTTTTGTGTACGCAGAGCGCGGACCGGAAGGTATACTCTGGGCGGAGGTGTTTAGCTGGGGCAGGGCGGAGTGGGCAGGGTGGTGTTGGCTGTGGTGATGCTGCTGCTGCTGCTGCTGCTGTTGTTGTTGTTGCAGAGGTATCTGCTGCTGCTGCACAAACTGCCTCTGCAGCGAGTGGAAAGCACCCGGCGGCGATGGCGGAGTCTGCGGCATTGCAGAGGAGGAGGGAGGAGGAGGGAATTGGGGAAGAGGAGCAGCGGAGGAGGCACAAAAGAGAAAAAGGGCCGGAGCTGAACGCGGTGATGACCTTCAAATTCATCAAACCTTGTTTGGCTGACCCAATTCGAGATGCGGATGAGTGTGGTTTGGGAGTGTGTGTGTAGCTGCAATTATGAGTAGTTTTGCTTAGAAATAGAGATATAGATATAGAACAGTCTACATATTACTCTCTATATTGTTATTTCTTCTCTTATTGCAGTCTACAAACCGGGTCGGAATTCCTTACGACCCAGGTCAGCAGAAATCTTCAAACCTTAATCTAATTCATCCGCTTTGTTATGTGATTACGTAATTTTGAAGATCTGTGAAGTTGAAGAAGTTGATGATTTAGAAGCAGTTGTTGTAGTTGCAGTTCAATTGATTGAGGATTTTGAATGTTGAATGGAGGAGTTGTGGTGGAAGAGAGAAGAGAAGAGACCGCTTTGGGGGTGCTGACATTGGTGAGGGTTTCTGGCCGAGGAACCACAACCACAACCACGTCTCCTCTGAGCTGAACGAAGGAAGCACTGCACATCAACATGTCGTCCTTCTTCTCGTCGCTCAGTAAGCAGTCCTCCGTCGACACCGCCTCTCCGTCCTCAGGCAACTCGTCCTCGACAGTGCTCAAGTCGACGCCGACCGGCGCAGTCCGCCAGGGCCGCTCGAAAGATGTAAAGTACAAGACCGTGATTGTGACGCGGCAGGTCGTGCGCGCGCCGGTGCAGCAGCAGCCGTCGCAGTCTTCGGGGCGGGGCAATTATCAGCAGGAGATTCTGCGGAGATTGAAGAAGAGGAAGAAAGATCGGGTGACGGGGAATACGGGGGAGAAGGAGAAGGAGAAGGAGAGAGAAAAGGAGGAGAGGGCGGAGCGGAAGAGGGCGGCGAAGAGCGAGAAGAGTAAGGGCGGAGAGAAGAAGGGGAGGAAGAGTAAGGCAGAGTCAAATAAGAAGTCAAAGGAGTTCATCACTTCTGATGACGAGCTCAGTGATCTCGATGAGGATGATATTGTCGATGACGAGGATGACGAGGATGAGGATGAGAATGATCTCTCGGGAAGTGACGACGAGGAGCAGGCGAGGGCCAAAAAGCCAAAGCTCTCGCCGTCCGTGGCAGAGTGGAAGGCGGACGACTCGCGGGTGCTTTTGAAAGAAACCATCTTTGAAGCCCAGACCGAATCACCCCAGATCATCCACTCATTCGATGTTCTCAGCCACGAGACTGCAGGCTACACCTCCCTCTTCGCCGACGAGGAGGACGACTTTATCGATCTAAAGTACCCCGGCATCGCCGACTTCACCGAACGCTTCTACCTCGGCGCCCCCTCCAAAGACGACTACGACCCGGTTGCAGAAATAGCAAACATAATGCAAGCCACGGCGCAGTTCTACCTGCCGTACGACGAAGCGCAAAAGATCCACACGTCCGACCTGCAGGACTGCATCACGCGCCGGATCAAGCGCGCGACGAAGCGCAAGTCGCTGTACGCGTTCAAGACCGCGATTGAGGAGTACAACAGCCTGGTCGAGGAGACCTTCCACAATGCAGCCAACGCAGAGAAGAACAAGCAGCTGATTACAAAGTCGCTCGGGGGATCGCGGGAAAACATGACTGCGTTCGCGCACGAGATCTTGTCTGAGATTTACGGCCGGGTCGTGTCGCCGCACGTGAGCGAGCTGCGAAAGTACGAGGCCTTTTCGTCAAACGTGTACGGCGAGCTGCTGCCAAAGTTCGTGACCAAGATCTTCCGCGAACTCGAGATGGACTCTGGTTCGGTGTTTGTCGATCTCGGTTCGGGAGTTGGGAATTGCGTGCTGCAGGCCGCGCTGGAACTTGGCTGTCGGGCGTACGGATGCGAGATGATGCCGCGGGCGTCTGCGCTGGCGACGAGGCAGGAGAATGAGTTGAAGGAGAGGTTGAAGTTGTGGGGGGTCGAGCCGGGAGAGACTACATTGCTTGCGGGGGATTTTGTCACGAATGAGGAGATTGGGGGGGCACTTGAGAATGCTACTGTGCTGGTGAGTCCTATGATTTATTTAACTTGTTTGAAGTAAGACTGACAGTTATAGCTGGTGAACAACTACGCCTTCGATGCGGAGCTGAACAACAGTCTGGTGAACATGTTTCTAGACCTAAAAGACGGGACAAAGATTGTCTCGCTAAAGTCATTCGTCCCTCCAGGCCACAAGATCACGCAGCACAATGCCGAGTCGCCAATCAACCTTCTGAAAGTCGAGGAGCGCGAGTTTTACTCTGGCTCGGTCTCGTGGACGGACGCGCCGGGAAGTTATTATGTGTCGACAGTGGATCGGTCGAGGATGAAGAAGTTTGCGGAGGGGAGTGCGAGTGCATAAAGTCACTTTTCTTCAGGGTTTTCTTCGCTCTTTTCGCTCTTTTCGCTCTTTTCTGCTTCGCGGTGACGGACGGAGCGATCGAGACTGATAACAGTTAGTTAGAATAAGACATGTAAGAATAAGGATACAATAAAAAATAGATATATACTTCTCAAGAAACGCATTAGCATCATTCAACTTCTCCGCCTCGCGACTAACTCTCTCCATCCACCTCCTCACCAGCTCGCGATTCTCATTCTGCAGCTTTGCAGCGTTTTCTTCTGCGATATTGAGCTGGATCTGGTAGGTGAGGATTTCGTCCTGCAGCATTTGGATCGCGCGGGAGCGTTCTTTGAATTCTTCGTTGCGGGTGCGGAGTTTTGAGTCGAGGGTGGTGCGTTCTGCGCGGAGGGTGGAGATTCTGATGGTACTGTGAGTTTAGGTGTTCTTGTAAGAGAGGAGGAGGACGTACTCTTGGGATAGACGGGCGTTTGTGGATTTGAGATTGTCGATTTCGGGGGAGGTGAGAGAGGATGAGATACTATAAAGAGATCAGTCTATGAAGTAGAGAAAAGAGAAGTAGAAGACACACGGTTTATCTGCCTCAGCAGCAGTAGCGCGAAGGGCGAGTCTGTGGACTGTGTAGATATTGTAGATATTAGCAGTGATCTCAGAGAAGTGAAGAAGAAGACACACATGACTCAAAGAGGTCGAATGACTGCTTTTCTCTTGCATCTCTCTCGTCAAGAGCAGCCGCGAAAGCCAGGCGCCAGTCGGAGTTGCTGTTGCTGTTGCTGTTGCTGATGCTCATTGCTGGTTGATATAAAGATGAGATGATATAGATACAGAAGAGTAGAGCAGAGCAGAGGGTAGTTGGGAGTATTACTAATCCATGACATAAGGGTGATCATGAAAACGCAATACGCTCTCCGGATGACGATTAGGGTTAGGGGGCAGGGACCCGGCTGCCGAAAGCGGAAGGCGGTCTCTTATCCAGCGATTAGAGTTTTCCCGCCCCGGCGCCTTCCTCGCAGCTTCCTCGTCGCTCGTTGCCTGCTCTGTCCTGTCCGCCACCTGTTTGTCTGCTGCTCTTGAGAAAGAATAGACAGAGGATAGTCTGTTGCTGTATACTGCTGGATATAGAGAACCTGCTCTTGCGCACTCGTACTTTTACTCTATCGTTAGATGTCTTCCCGGAAGAAAACAATGCTCAAGGTCAGTAGTTATCTCCGCTGTTCTTCTTCTTCTATCCTACTCTGTTGTTGTATCCAATTCACCTGCTAACCCCCTCCAGGTCATCATATTAGGCGACTCGGGTGTCGGAAAGACCAGTTTGATGTTAGTTTTTCTTATCGACCTCTCTCATCCCTCTACTCCTCACTAACACAATACACCAGGCAACAATACGTCAGCAAGAAGTTCAGCAATCAATACAAAGCCACCATCGGCGCTGACTTTCTCACCAAGCAGGACGTCCGTGTCGATGACCGTAATGTTACCATGCAGGTGTGTCTACGCTAATCCCCTCTTCATAAAGAAAACAACAGCTAATACTAAATGACATAACAGCTCTGGGACACCGCCGGCCAGGAACGCTTCCAAAGTCTAGGAGTCGCCTTCTACCGCGGCGCCGACTGCTGCGTCCTCGTCTACGACGTCAACAACGCGAAATCGTTTGAAGCCCTCGACAGCTGGCGCGACGAGTTCCTCATCCAGGCCTCACCCCGCGACCCCGAATCCTTCCCCTTCGTCGTCCTCGGCAACAAGATCGACGTCGAAGAGTCCAAGCGGGCGGTCTCACAGAAGCGCGCGCTCGCGTTCTGCCAGGCAAAGGGAAACATCCCGTATTTCGAGACCAGTGCTAAGGAGGCTATCAACGTCGATCAGGCGTTCGAGGTCATTGCCCGAAACGCGCTCGCGCAGGAGGAGTCGGAGGAGTACAGCAGCGACTTTTCGGATCCGATTAATATCCATCTTGATAACGATAGAGGCGGGTGCTGTTAATTACATTATCTACATTCCAGATCTTATTTCTTAAAATCAAAGAAGAGCAGAACAGGTGGAAGAAGAAGAGAAGAGCAGCATATAGTATATATCAACCTTACCCCGTTCTTGTATCTTCATCATCTTCACTTGTTGATTATATATTTTGCTCATCGTCTTGTGTTGTGTTGTCTTTGTCTTTGTATCTTGTATCTGTCCTGTTGTTCTTCCGTGTGATGTGCGAACGCTGTATTCTCATGCTCGCTCATGCCCTTTTAATCAGTTCTCCTTATTTGTCTCGTTTTATTTTTTGGTCTTATTGCAGGGTGTCGGCTATAAATTCTTTATTATCAACTCTTACAATCTCAATTAATACGCTTTCAATCTTCTGCTTATAACAACCTCTATCTCCATCTCTCTTACTCCTCCTCTTCTATCTCTGATATTGGTCACGTGCACGCAGATAAGATAAGTCATGATTAGAGTTTATGGCGTGACGGGCCAATGAGAGGGGGGAATCAGCAGGGTGAATAAGAGGAGGAGGAGGAGATGTATAAAGAAGAAAAAGGAGGAAGATGAGGAAGAGGAGAGGAGGAGGAAGAGGGAGAAGGGATTAGGGAAGGAGGGCGAGGAGGAGGAGGAGGTGAGCTCAGATTGCGACATCGATGCTCTACTTTATAAGTAGTCTGTGCTTTATTCAATTCTATTTCTTCTTATTCTTATTCAATTCTATTCCTTCTTCTCTTCTTATTCTATATTCCTTCTTCTATTCATTCTCTGATCTCTTATTCTCAGCCTATAACAATAACTATTCTCGACTATCATCAGCAGTGTCCCAAATAGGCATCCGCCAAACTCTAAAATTTCCCAACTCTCATCTCCATTGCTCATCCGCGTGCTATCTGTTCTCACAGCCATCTTGACCATCTCTTCATACAGACTTGTTGAAGAAGCAGACTCGCAATCGCGCTCGTGATTGTATTCTCTGTTGTCTGTTGGCTACAGTAATTGTAGAGACTTACTCATCTACTCTACTCTACTGATATAGCGATGCAGAGCGAAGATATCAGCAGCGCGACCGAAGCTGCTGCTGCTGCTTCCTCGCTCGGAAACGGCAACGAAGGTGTGCGGCCAGAGACAACAATGGCTCGCAAGCGGAGAAAATGGAATATCGGCCTCTTCCTCCTCCTTCTCGTCGTGCTCTTATGGGTCTCCTCCAGTTTCATGATAAACGTACGCATTCTCTCTTCTCATGCTCTCCATCTAGCAGAAGCAGATACTGACAACCCCAGGCCATCTTCGAAGACGACTCCTACAGAAAACCGTACCTGGTGACGTACCTCTCCACCGCCACGTTCTCCTTCTACCTCCTCAAGCCCTACTTTGACGGCTCGCTCACTTTTGCAAACGATAAACACAAAAACGTCTACCGGCGCGCAAACTCCGACGAGCACGAGGCTGTCGCGCTGGAAGTTGAGTCTGATGTTCCGTCTGCGTCTGATAGCCAGAATGACTCCCGCAAGAGCACTTCTGCTCCACCAGCCTCTGACGACCACCTCCCAGCATCTGAAGAGGAGGAAGAAGAGGAACCCCCCGAGATGCTCACCGTGCGCGAGACAGCCAAGCTCAGTCTGCAATTCTGCATCCTCTGGTTCACCGCAAACTACTTTGCCAACGCCTGTCTGAGCTACACCACCGTCGCATCCGGCACCATCCTCGCCTGCACTTCCTCGTTCTTCACCCTCCTCATCGGCTCCCTCTTTGGCGTCGAGCGCTTCTCGCGCCGAAAAGTGCTCGCCATCGCCGCCAGTCTTACCGGAATCGTCTTGATTTCCACCCAAGACTCTGCGTCTGAAGACGAGTCGAACCCGCTCTCGACCACCTCGATCGTCGTCGGGGACCTCATGTCCCTCGCCTCCGCCGCAATCTACGGCCTCTACACCACCTTACTCAAGCTCAAGATCGGCGACGAGTCCCGTATAAACATGCAGATCTTCTTCGGCTTCGTCGGCGCCTGGAACACCGTCCTTCTCTGGCCGCTCATAATCTTCAACCACTTCTCCGGCGCCGAGACGCTCGAGATGCCGCCCACGAGCTTCGTCTGGCTCGTCCTCTTTGCAAACTCGCTCGTCACTTTCTTTAGCGACTATCTCTGGATCGTCACTATCTTACTTACCTCCCCGCTCGTGGTCACGATGGGTCTCAGCGGGACGATTCCGTTGGCGGTCGTGGGCGATGTCGCGTTTAATGGGGTGCATGTCTCGCTGTGGTATTTGCTGGGGCGGTGTTGGTCGGGTGTGCGTTTTTTGTTATAAATAGAGATGAGGAGAAGGAGCATCATATTGTGGAGGAGTGATAGATTGCATGGGGTGTTAATATAGTTGGAATTACTTTGGATGAGAAGCATGTGTAGATGTGTGCAGTAATTTATGACGACTAAGATGTTCTACAGCTGTTGTTTGTTCTAAATAGAGATGAGAAGGAGCATTATATGTTAAATACAAGTAGAACTACAATTGGATGAGAAGCATGTGTAGATGTTAATATACAGTATATATGACGACTAGAATGCTCTACAGCTACTGAGCGGTTTTTGTTCTAAATAGAGAAGAAGGAGCATCATATTGTGGAGATGAAGAGTATTTTTCAATTCGATGAGAAGCTTTGTAGATCTTTATATACAGTATACTAAAACATGAGCTTCTGCTGTAGAGTATTACTGAGTAGGAGTCTGCCGACTCCTAACAACCTCCTCCGCAACCTCCTCAATACTCAACGCAATATTCTGCCGCTTCCCACTCCCCCCTCCTCCCCGTCATCAAACCCCTTCCTCAACTTCATAATCCTCGCAAACGCATTCTCCAACAACCGCACCCTCTCCACCAACTTCTGCTCCCGTTCCTCGACCTTCGCCCGCTCGCGCCGTTCAGCTGCGACCATCTGATTCGCTTCCTCGAAGAGCGATTGCGAAAGTTCTTCGAGTTCGCTGTTTACGTGCTTGTTTTTTAATTCGGCTGCTTCCCGCAGTTCGCGCTCTTTTCGGACAGATTGCTTGAGGCGGTCGAGTTCGCGCTGCAGGAGCTGGGTTGTCGCGGGGTCGGTTGTGGAGACGGCGATGGGGGACGCGGGTAGGGAGGAGGCGGCGGTGTAGACTGACTTTGCGTCGGAGGACGATGATGTAGAAGAGGAAGAAGACGTCGAGAGCATATTGTTGTTGTTTGCGGCGGCGGTGGGGTTGGTCTCAGGCGAAGAAGAAATCAAAGGGAAGCTAGGGACCAAGCCGGAGTAGCCTGTAGGGAGGAGAGTGGTCGCCATTAGCGCGGAGGAGAAGGGGATGTAAGAGACTGAGCGAGCAAGGGAGAGCGTACGGCCTATTATTCCGGAGGAGTCGGGGGGTAGTTTGGGGGATTGTTTTATGAGCTGTTGCTGCTGCTGCTGCTGCTGTTGCTGCTGCTGTTGCTGTTGTTGGCGCTGATATTGCTGGACAGAGACCGCAGACTGCGACTTTGACAGCGCGGACTCTATACTTGCCGACGAATCGCGCCGGGTCGGGGACGAAAACATGGCGGTCGGGGTTGTTTGTGAAATCTGCGGGGGCGCGATACCCGCTATCGACGACAGCCGTAGGGAGCTCGATTTCCGCTTTGCCTGGTCTAGTTGGCCTTGCAGCGTATTCGCCCGGCCGGCTATTGCACAAAACTAGTCAGTAGAGTTTCTAGAAGAAAGTGAAGAAGAGTGAGACTTACAGGAGGCGGAGAGTTGGATCGAGAGCTGCTCGACTTTTTTCTGGAGCTCGCGGACGAGGTCTTTCTTTGCCTGATACTTTCTCTTCCGTAGCGCTTTCGCCCTCGCTTTTCTCTGATGCCGCTTCATTTGTCGGAACTGCTCGTCGTCGTCTGACGTATTTTCGTACGCAGCGGGCGCACTATCCTCAGCAACTTCCGAGTCTGAAGAAGTACTCGAGCTCTCGTCCTCGCTCCACGAATCACTTCCACCCTGCTCATCATCCCCCGAGGCAGGCGACATATCCTCCGCCCTATCCGGCATCATCAAAAACGGCAGGTCAACCGCAATCGAGGTCGAGCAGGTCGGACACAGGACCGAGAGGTTGACCGCTTTCGTGGAGCTGCCTGCTATGCTGGAGGTGTCGGAGTGGGCGTGGGACCGTCTGCTGGTGATGCTTGCGGTCTCGAACGAGGGCGTGGACACCAGCGACGGCTGCTGCGAGGCGCTGGGTGTGTCCATTGTAGTAGCTGACGGAGCAGATATAATACTGTATTGTCTTGTTCTATTGTCTCGTCTTATTCTTCTGAGTGTGGGGGTCGACGTGGTGATGTTCGGGACCGAGCGATGGTGAGCTTATCCGTCAGAGACAAGGTTTAAACTTTATTTCTGATCTCGAATTGCCGTTTCTGGATGTTTCCTGGTTCTGTTAGTTGTCTACTTGATTCTACTATATCTCTATAGTTATGTTGTTGTAGAAGATGTAGAAGATGTGTATGATATCTGTTGATGTGTGTATATGTACATTTATGTAATTTGTCCCGTAACTCCAATCACCACCCTCATGATCCTATCAACTCTGATCTATATCAGCCTTGCTCTATATCAGCCTTGATCTATCAGCTCTCAGCTCTCAACAGATTTACACTAATTCCCACCCCTCAAATTCTTCCACCTCCGTTTACTCCCCCCTCCCGCATGCAAACTCGCAGAAGCCAACGCAGCCTGCTGCGCCGCCTTCGCCGTCTCAAGCGTCTTGATCTTCCGCTCGACCGCGGCCACATAGTCCATCAGCACCTGGCTCATCTCCTTCCGCGTGGCGGACGAGTCAGCCGCGAGTTCCATTAGAAGCTTGTTGGCGGTGTTGGAGATTAGTTGCAGGATGTCGGTGCAGGCGGGGAGGAGGCGGTCGATGGTGTCGGAGAGGGTGTCTGAGATCTTTTCTTGGGCGAGGCGGTCGGTTGTGCTGGAAAGTGCTTAGTATATCATACATTGTAGTGCATTTTGTAAATCGGTGGAATAAGCACTTACTGATCTAGAGCAACCTCGATATACAGCGATCCAAGCGACTCAATCAACACCAACAACAGATCCTTCGCATACTGCGGTCTAAACACACCTCACATCAGCCCCATCCTCCCTCCTCACCCTCTCCTCTCGTCAAACAAACAACTCACATCTCAATCTTGGAACTCAACTGCGCAGCCCTCGCAACCGACTCCGAAAGCCACCCGACAAACAGCCTCGCGTCGTCAAGGCTCGGCACCGCGTCTGCCTCGGTCGCGTCCATCGAGCCCGGATAACTTGCCGTGCCGCCTGTTGATGTGCGCTGTGGTGCTGCTGATGCTGGCTGGTATTCTGCCATGTTGTTTGATCTTGAGGTGTGAATGAAGGAGTATCTGATCTGTTGAGATGGAGTCGAGTTGATTCAGGGGCCGTCAGCGCGCGGGTCTCGTGTCGGATACCACTCCGCACACCTCCCAGCTACATCGCGAGTGTATCTCGACATCAATCTCTCTTATATACTGCTGAGTCTCTTGTATACTACTGAGTAGAGTAGAGAACTCGATGGACGTGCAGATGCAGGACGCAGCGCAGCGTGCGTTTGAGATTGAGAATAACATCGAGACCGTCGACGCAGCGCGCGATGCAATCTACCAGTTCGACGAGGCCGCCAACCGCGAGATTCTCAAGGCGAAGCCGTGGGTTACCGAGTGCGTTCTGTTCTTTCTACTTTTTGAGATACTGTGAGGAGTGTAGTCAGGCTGATGGAGATGGTGTATAGTGCACAGTACTTCAAACGCGTGCGGATATCAGCGATCGCGCTGCTCAAGATGACGATCCACGCCCGCTCAGGCGGCGCGATCGAGGTGATGGGCATGATGACCGGCAAAGTGGTCGGCGACTCCTTCGTCGTCATGGACGCGTACCCTCTACCGGTTGAAGGCACCGAGACCCGCGTCAATCCGCAGGCCGAGGCGTATGAGTACATGGTGGGTTACATCAGCACGCTGCATAGTCTCGGACGCAAGGAGAATATCGTCGGGTGGTATCATTCGCATCCGGGATACGGGTGCTGGCTTTCGGGAATCGATGTCGGCACGCAGAGTCAGAATCAGCAGTATCAGGACCCGTTCCTAGCTGTTGTCGTATGTCTTCTTCTTCTTCTTCTTCTTCTTCTTCCTCTACCCTCAGATACGTCAACACAGACTAACAGTTAAAAACAGATCGACCCCAACCGCACCATCTCCGCCGGCAAAGTAGAAATCGGCGCCTTCCGCACCTACCCCGAAAACTACAAACCCCCCGGCGCGCAAGAATCAGAGTACCAAACCATCCCGCTCGCAAAGATGGAAGACTTTGGCGCCCACGCAAGCCAGTACTACCAGCTCGAGATCAGCCATTTCAAGTCCTCGCTCGACACAAGACTGCTCGAGTTGCTCTGGAACAAGTACTGGGTCTCCACGCTCTCGCAGTCGCCGCTGCTGACGAACCGCGAGTACGCGTCGCAGCAGATGCTGGATTTGAGTAGAAAGATTCCGAAAGCAGAGAGCGCGATCGCGTCTGGGTCGGCCTCGGCGTCGGCGGGGTTGGCGGCGCAGGGGCGCGCGGGTAGACAGAGGAAAGAAGGCGACGAGTCGGAGCTCGATAAGATCCTGCGGGATACAAACAAGATCGCGTCTGAGGAGATCCATGGGCTGTTGTCGCAGACGGTTAAAGATCGGATTTTTAATAACTTGAAAACAGTCGCTTAGCTTATAGTGGTAGTAAGAATATATATATATACATCACACCGAAACACCCTCCTTACTCTCCTTCTTCTTCCACAGATCCCTTCCCTTTCCACTCGCAAGTTTATTCAACAACGTATTATTACTCCGCGCAGCTGCCACCGTCGCCGCCGGCCGTTTCTGCGCATAGTAGTTATTAAACCGCCACAGCATCGCGCCATTCAACTCCTTCAAGTTCCGCTTCTCCATGTCGATGTACTGCCGGTTCTCGATATACGGCACAAACACGTCCTGCATGTTTTGGTCGAGCAGCATCGCGAGGCCGCCGCCGGCGTCGATGTCCGGGTGCAGGATCTCGAGGTCCGGGTGCAGGATCTCTTTCAGGTCTTGGACTAGTTGGCCGATGTAGGAGTGCGCGTTTTGCAGGGTGCGGAGGTAGGCTAGTGTTGAGATTGATTTGGCGTGGGAGAGGATTAGCTCGATGCGTTGTTGTATCTACTACTGTTAGCTGGGCTCATAACATAGAATATAGCAGGGGGGACATACCGTCTGGGCGAAAAGTCGCTGGAGAAAGACTCGCAACACACTATCAGGATGAGGAAAAACCCGTTTGATAATCTGCGACTCCTTCTTGACCGTAATCCTAATCTCGTCCAAGAGCTCGACCGTTGCCGGATCGAACGGCGGATCCTCGCAGTTTGGATCACACAGATCCTGCCAGATCAGATCGTCGTCGCGCACAGACTCGTGCAGCAGCTTATCCTTCATGATGAAGAAATCGTGCTGGTTGACAAAGATCTTGATGACGCTCGAGCCGCCGTTGAACTCGGTCAGGATCTCGGCGACGGCTTTCATGGAGGTCATGTCTGCGGCGCGGTACGCGCGTTCGAAAGCTTTCAGCAGTTCCATCTCCAGCATCTCGGCGTATTTCTCGATATTCGCACGCGCGACGTCCGCGTTCGAGATCTTTGTGATTTTGCGCGCGACGCGGAGTAACTGGCGCACGGTGATTGCGCACTGGCGCTGGTCGTCGAAGTTTCCCGTGCGCATCTTTTCGACGACGTAGTTGTCGTTCTCGAGGAAGGAGATATAGCATTTGATGATGAAGCTCGAGGAGGCGGCGCGGTTGCGTTGGCGCGAGACGAGGTCGACTGCTTCGCCTAGCGCGGTCGTGGTCGAGGCCACGTCGGAGACGAGGAGGTCGAGATCAGAGAATTGGCCGGTTAGTGTCTGTATTCATGTCAGTCCTTGTAGATGATAATAGAAGCAAGAAGGAGGTGCATACATGGCATTGCGCCTCGGTCTTCAAGATCGCAGCCTGATGCGCAGCACCAGCCTGCCGCGCCTCAGTCTGGATCTTTTGCTCGCGACTGTTGAGATCTGCGCTGATCTGCGCTAGCGCATCGAGCGAGGCTTCAAACGCGCGAACATACGGTCTCGGATCAAGTGCTGTGATATTGTCAGTGATTGTTGATGATGTCAGAGTGTGGGAGAGATGGTGCTAACCTGCCGAGCGACTGTTGCTTTCTTGGATAGAGCGGTCGGCGGTTATGCCTTCGATAAACTCCTGTACTGTGATTTGTCTCTGTAGACCAGTTAGCAATCTTCATCTATCAGCAACAAGCAAGAAGCAAGAAGAGGAAGTACCAGAAACGTGTCGAGACTGAGTAGATTCTTGGTATTCGGATCAAGATCGTATATCGACGCCATAACACCTCTCTTGTCAGTCCTGTGTTCTCTCTTCTTTCTCTCTTCTGATCTCTGTGCTGTTATTCAATATCTCTGCTCTTGTTCTCTTCTCTTTGTTTAGTTCTTTGTTTAGTTGGTCGATGTCAGTGCAGATGCCGTCGCTCCGGAGCAAAGGGGATTTGGGACTTGTTTGTGACGCCGCTGGTCTGTCAGTGATTATGTAATATATCTAGTTGATATTGATAACTGTGGCATCTACGCAGATAACTGCTCAAGGGTTTCTATTAGTATAGTTTGTATTGACATACGTACAGTATTTACCATAGTATTAGTCCTCCTCCTTCTCCCGAGACTCTCTAGACTCCTCCTTGTCCTCATTTTTGGACTCATTTTTGGACTCATTTTTTATCCTCGCTTTTATCCTCGCTTTTATCCTCGCTTTTATCCTCGCTTTTATCCTCGCTTTTATCCTCGCTTTTATCCTCGCTTTTATCCTCGCTTTTATCCTCGCTTTTATCCTCGCTCTCAGGGACAGATTCACTCTCAGGCACAGATTCACTCTCAGGCACAGATTCACTCTCCGGGACATATTCAGCCTCCGGCCCATTCTCCATATAAAACAGCGCTTTCTTCGCCCACACCTGCACCGGCAGCTTCTCAATCTCTTCCGCCAAAATCACATTCTTACCCACGGCCCACTCGCCCTGCCTGACTCTCGACAGATGGCGCGTGTACGCTTTCGTGCCCATCGCGGTCCCGAGGTCGTGCACGATCGAGCGCACGTAGGTCCCGGACGAGATCGTCATCCGCAGGTGGACGATTGGGAATTTTTGCGAGGCGGGCGGGGTGAGCAGGACTATTGGATCGGTGGAAGTCGTGATGTCGGTGGCAGTCGTGATGTTGTCGAAGTTGTTTTTTTCGCTGTCGTAGTAGCGTTTGCGTTTCCTGGATGACAATTTCTGCGCTGCTTCTGCTTCTTCTTTTTTTGCTTGTAGTTCTTCTGGAGTAGGTTCGGGAATCGGAGGCATAGGCTCGCGTCTGAGATTCTCAAGCTCAAGCAACGCTCTCAAATCGTTCTTCTCTGTCAACACCTTCAACGCCGCCTCGCGAAAGAACCGCTCTCGCAGCCGATCGGCGTCGGAAGCAGAGACGATGGGGGTCGGTATATCGTGCTCGTACATGATCTCTGACGTGGTTACGATTTCGTGGATCGCGGCTTTGCGCGGGGTGATGCTGCGCGGGAGGTCAACACCGTCACGGGCGTATTCGTGGAGTGATTTGCCCTTCATTTTGAGCGCCGAGTAGCTGCAGTGTTGTTAGTAGTCTGTTTATAGTAGAAGAGGAAGAGGGAGGCGCACATTGGAGGGATTTGCTGGATTTCACCGCGGAAGAGGTCGAGTGCTTGTTCGAGGGATTCGGGGGTGACGCAGGCTGTGTCTGCGTATCCGAAGACTTTTCCTTCTCTGTCGTAGGTAGTTGTAGAGGCGCCAAAGTGGGCTACAGCGTTGTAAGTCTAGAAGAGTGATGTGAGTAGAGAAGAAGTAAAGAGCAGAGAAGGAGGACTTACTTTCGTGCACTCGAGATACCTCTTCAATCTCGACGTCGCGTCATTAAGCGCAATGATCATAACCCCGTCCGCCGCCGGATCAAGAGTGCCCCCATGCCCCGCTTTCACCAGCGGCAGCCGTCTCTTTTTTCTGTAGTTGATTTCGTGGCGGTCGCGGATGCGGAACTCGGGGATGTTTTCGAGCTGGCGCAGGATCTGAGCTAGGTACTGCGTCGAGGTCACGCCGACGGGTTTTTCCACGGCGAAGACACCTGACATGGGGATCGAGGTCGAGGAGGTCGAGAAGAGGGATTTGGAGAGGGAGAGGTGTTTGAGGAGAGGAGGAGGGCGGAGGAGAAGCATTTGTCTTTGTCTGTTGAGAGAGAAGTGATGTTGAAGAAAAAAAAAAATAAAAAATAAATAAATAAAAATAAAATAAAAATAAAAATTGGTTTCTGTAGGGTTTTAATAGTAGTCCCTTATCTATTATTGTGTGTTTATAATACAGTCTGGAGGATGTGTTTGTATTCTATCTGTGTTTATTGTATTTATATGTATTTTATCTATTTTATGTAATTATTCTGAATTAAAGCAACCAGAAATACCAGCAATTGACTCAATAACCACACACACAAACAAACAACGGTCCGACAACGCCCCACTTCGACTCTGCAAAAACTCACCGCTCCTCCTCCTCCCTCCTCTTCACCACCTCCCCAACTCTCTTCACCACCTCTCCTCATCTCCTTTCATCTACATCTCCACAATGATCATCGGACCGGCTATGTTCCCCATGCTCTGGTTTATCGCCAAGGGCCTCTGGGGCGAATACCACAAACGGCCTCCGCTCTGGCTCTCCTACGAGCCCGAGCAGTTCCCCGAGGTCACCTACTACGACACCGTCTGCGACGTCGTCCGTCCCGAGGTGTTTGGCGGCTGTGAGGATATCAGGATTATTGGCGATTACGCAATTGTCTCTTGTGATCCTTATCTCAAGCAGAGCAACTTCTTCACCGTATGCCACCACCTCCTCTACTTCACTCAACATCTCTTATCTACATACTAACTCTCCCAGGGATTCACCCCCAACACCCCCTCCGGCGCTGTCTACATCTGGAACTACGTCACCGACGACACCCCGACCCCAATCGAGCTCCCCGCCGACTTTGGCGAGTTCCGTCCCCGCGGCGTGCACGCGCGCCAGCTCACCGACTCTTCCAAGATCCGCCTGTTTCTCTCCAACGCGGCCTACAAGAACGCCTCGGTCGAGGTCTTTGACTTTGATCCCGCGACCAAGGCCGTCGTGCCCTTCGCCTCGCTCCACCACGAAGAAGCGATCCTCGATCCCGCCGCCATCGTCTCGATCTCGGACGACCAGATCTTCCTCACAAACACCCTCGGATGGCCCTACAGCACGCTCGGAATCATCGAGGCTCTCTCCGGCTTCCCCTTTGGCTCGATCGGATACATGAACCTGACCGACATGACAAACATCACCGGCAAGTCGATCGGCGTGCAGACCACCCCCGTCGGCATCGAGTACGTCGACGAGTGGCTGTACGTGACCAGTCTGCAGTACGGCGTCTACGGATACCAGCTCTACATCCCGCCCAACGACCTCGACCCCGAGCTCGTGGCCGAAAACAAGTCGCTCGGCCGCATGCACTTCTACCCCGGCGAGCGCGTCTACCGCACGCCGTACCTGCCCACCCATCTCTCGTACTCTGAGGAGCTCGGTGGTATCGTCTCTGCCGCTATCCCGTCCTACAGCGGCGAGATCAAGGCATGGTACGGCCGCAAGTCTGCGTCCTGGGCCGGTCTGCTCGTCGATCGTGCGCAGGAAGACGGCAAGCCGCTCGTAGTCGCCGACTCCGTCACCTCCGGCCTGCGCTCGAACGACCGCAAGTGGCAGACTCTGTTCTGGGACAAGACCGGCGAGAACTTTTCGGGCCTAAAGTCGATGACGATCGCGAACGGCCGGCGGTTCGGCGTGTCGCCTCACCAGGCTGGTGTCTTGATTTGCAAGACGAACGGGCTGGAGCCGGTCGAGGTGCCGGAGAAGGCGGTCGATACCGAGGAGCAGAAGGCGCAGACGAAGGAGAAGCGTAGCAAGTACCAGCTTGAGCATTTGAATCTTGCCAAGGATGAGTTGTAAATAGGCGATGATGTTTAGTTTCTGAAGAATTATATTATAAATTGTTATTAGAAGACTGCTAGTGTACACTACTCTGACTTTTTCTCGGCCAAAGTCTTTGCTTTCAACTCCTCCTCGTACGTCAAAAACCTAAGCGACCGCTCAATTCCATCCTCGAGCTTAACAATTGGCTCGTAGTCAAGATATCTGATAGCCTTGTTAATGTTGAAGTACCTATTCGCGCATGTAAACGACACTCTAAAGCGCGTAAACAGAGCCTCCTTTCCGCGCAGCTTTGCGACCAGCTCAGACATGTACGCGAGGAAAAACCCAACCGGTCTCGAGATCTTGATAGTGAACCCCGGAACGACGCCCTTCATAGCCCAGACCTTCCTCGGGACGGTGAAGAAGTACACCGGCTCGTTATTTGTGATGATGAACGGCTCGCCCGCGACTCTCTGCGACGTCTTCTCGTCGACGAGTTTCTGCGCGGCGAGGACGTGCGCGTGCGCGACGTTGCCGATGTAGGTGAAGTCAAAGATGTTCCAGTTGTCGCCGATCTGGAAGCGCGTGCCGAAGGTGTAGGTGACCTCGGCCATGTTGGGGATCAATTGACGGTCGCCCGGGCCAAACATCGCCGACGGCCGGAGCGCGACGGTTTTGAAGTCTGCGGAAGAGGCCGCGAGGACCATTTTCTCGCCGAGCGCTTTGGTCTCGTTGTAGGCGTCCATCTGCTTGTCCGGCATGGGCGTGGACTCGTCTGCGTTGCGGAGGTCGTCGCCGTTGTAGATCACGGAGGCGGAGGAGGTGTACACGAGGCCTTTGATGATTCCCTTGAACTCGGGCTCGGTCGCGACGTCGATGATGGCGCGGGTGCCGTCGACGTTGACTTTGTAGTAGATCTCCTTGCCCATGCCGTGGATGGGCGACGCGGAGTGCACGACGATATCGGGCTTGACGGCGCGGTAGATGTCGCGCAGGGAGGAAGGGTCGGTGATGTCGCCTTTGTGGAAGACGATAGTCTCTGGGTCGAACGAGTAGAACTCTGGCGGGATGGCGGGCAGGGGACGGATGTCGAGGACGTGGATGGCGGGAGCGGGCGAGAGCGCGGCGAAGCGGTCGACGAGGTGGCAGCCGAGGAAGCCGGAGCCGCCGATGATGAGGACTGTGTTAAGAACCATTGTACTGTGTTCTTTAGAAGAGTCGAGTAGAGAGTAGAGAGTAGAGTAGAGGATAAGAGAGGAAGAGAGCAGAGGAAGAGAAGTGGAGCGCAAGAGTTGTTTAGGTTTCGCGCTCGAGGCTCACGAAGCCTGGGCTTTATCTGTTATCGGTGTTCTACACATTATTATCTCCTGCTGTAGTATTTGCTATGAGGATGTTCAGAAAGTGTGGATAGATGCAATTGCTATTGCTCTGATGTAATTCATTGTTGTGTCGTCAGGTGTTGGTGGTGGTAGGTCAGTGTGCAGTGTTATTGTGTCTGGCTGCTCAACAATTGTATCTTATAATGTAACTCTTCATTTGTAAATCTTCTGATGTGGATCTTCAGTAAATCTCTGATGTAAATCATTGACATCAGAAGATTGCTCAATTGACTTTACTGGAGTATATTCAAAGATACAAACAAACAAACAAACAAACAAACAAACAAACAGATACACATCCATTAAACTCCAAATAAGCACAAACTAATCTACACATACCCTCTCAACACACAGCATCACAAACTCTTGCGACTAGTATTCACCGCCTCCTCGCGGGGCACGATATCAATCAAGAAATCAAACATATCCGACTTTTGCAGCGCGTTCGCGATATCGGACCGCTGCAGCGTGCGCCGCTTGTTTTCCTCCGCGTGGATCCAGGCCCGCATCGTGAGCTCGGTGATGAAGATGTCGCAGCCTTTGGCGAAGAGGATCGGGGCTTCGGCGGAGATCATCTTGACGTCTTCGTCTGCTTTCATTACTTTCTGTTGAAGAGGTGTTAGTCCACTCGACTGTGAGAGTAAAGAGTATAGATGACAAGAAGATAGAAGCACCTTTATCCGCGCAAGAGGCAGCTGATGGATCTTAAACTCATGCTCATCCCGCTCAATCGAATTAATAGTCTCCTGCCAATAACTCATCATGATATTCCGATAATGCCCGGACAATCCCTGCGCGACATTCGCAAACGCGCCGCCGACAAAGGTAGCAGCCGGCGCTCCGCCTGAAGCAGCGACCGCCGCTGCTGCGCCATAATGCCCGCCTGACTCGAGGATCTGCTCGTATTGCACTTGTTGGGCGTCGTGTGGTTGCTGCTGCTGCTGCTGCTGCTGCTGCTGGTCCTGGTCTTCTTGCTCTTGCTGCGCGACTTGCTGCGCTAGCTGCTGTGGATCATCGTCGGAGTACATTAGTTCAATCAATTACCACACAGTCACAATACAACACAATAACAACACAATAACAACAAGAAATAGTAATACTCTTCAAAAAAAGCTGATTGTTTACAGAGCAAATGTGAAGCTCAAAAAGCCCGAGCTTCTGGACCCCACGAGCCCCTTTCTGCTTACAGAATAACCCTACTCCCAAACTATAAATCTTTTTTTTTCTGCCTCTACTTCTTCTTCTCTTCTCCTCTGCTTCTTCTTCTGCTTCTTTTCTATTAGAAGTAGAGGAGAACAAAAGATGACAGAAGAGAAAGAGATGTATGAGCTGACGGACGCGGATGTGCTGGAGGCCACTGCACAGATTGAGCAGACCTCAGCCCGAGCTGTTCTTGAGAGGTATTTCTTCCTGCTCTTATTCCTCTTCTAAACAGACAAGATACTAACAGTGTGAAGAATACCGAGACTCCAAGGCCTCTACGCCGAACCTGAAGAGTACCTCCAAAACACCTCCGGGATAGTCAAGATAAACACAAAAGCACTGAGCAGCGGGTCTTCTTCGAAAGTCGAACTGCGCAGTGTTGTGGATTACTCCAAGATCAAGAAAGATGCAAAGATGGTGTGTTCTCTTGTTCTTTCCTGTTGTTGTATGATGAGAAGGAAGAGGAGATGATGAAAACATAACACCAATGATGGCTTGATACTCTACCGGTTCTTGTCGCTTTATGTGATTATTTATGTCATAGTTACCCTGATCCTTCTTCCTTCTCTCATACAAGAGCAGCTTCTTCTTATATATAAGCAGATGCTAACAGCTTACAGGCCAAGGAAGACACCGCGGGCGAGAAATGGTTCGACATGCCGAAAACCGAGATGACCCCCCAGATCAAGCGGGACCTGCAACTGCTCAAGCTCCGTCACGTTCTCGACCCGAAGCGCCACTACCGTCGACCAGACGACAAGGCCGAGATGAAGTACTTCCAGCCCGGGACGATCGTCGAGGGGCCGACAGAGTTCTTTAGCGCGAGGCTGACGAAGAAGGAGAGGAAGCAGACGCTGGCGGATGAGATTATGGCGGATGAGCGGGCAAAGACGTATTTCAAGAATAAGTATGAGGAGATTCAAAAGGCAAAGACGTCGGGTGGAAAGAGGCATTATAAGAAGGTCTTGAAGAAGCGCCGTTGACCTTTACTAGTCCTCTGCTGGAAGAGGCATCTGTGTATATACAACTGTTTGTTTTTGGAGTATGGTGAGGGCAGGAGTTCAGGATCATATCATAATACTATCATTTATCATTACATACTACTCAACCAATATCTTTTTAAACACCGACCCCCAACTCTCCTCCGCCTCACTCGGCACCGTGATTGCGTACGGAAACGGATTCCCATCCGCGGTCGTAATCGACGGGATATGCGCCTTATTCCCCCCGCGAACTCCACGATCTGCATCAACACATGCTGCAGCTGCGCTTCGGCAGCACAATCAAGCCTCGCCCGGTCATGCTCGTTCCGCGGCGGGGGTTCGGCAGAGACGGTGATGGTCCATTGTTCCCAGCAGACTTCTTCTTCGGATTTCGAGAACCATGTGTTGCGGGTTTTCTTCTCGTAGAAGGAGAGCAGGAGTTGGGATTTTTTGCTGGTGGGGGAGGGGAATGTGGAGTGTGCAGGGAGCGCGGAGATCGTGAATGTTGTCGTTGTTGCTGCTGCTGCTGCTGCTGTTGTTGTTGCGTACGGGCGCAGAGACGAAGGGTTATCTGCTGCCAAAGAGTGGAAACTCGAGGTATTCTCCGCATCCATCGCAGCAGCACCACTGCCTATACCCCCGCAGCAGATCCGCCGCCGCCGTCCTGATTATGATTCGCGTCCAACGACGCCACAAGCTTTGCGACTTTCTCAGCAATCAGCGCGTCTAGCTCTGCGTCTTCGACAGCGGGGTATGTGACGTCCAGGACTTCCTGCGGTTGTGCGGAGGGCTTGACGGACGCGAAGAGGCGGTGGAAGAAGATTGTGGAGATGATTGCTGGGTGGGTTAGTGAGTGTGGTTTAGAGCGAGCAGGGATGGAGGAGATACCTTTGAGCACGTCACGGACAAGCAGCCGGTCCAGAGCCACGTCGACAGTGACCAGCAGCATCTTCACTCTCAACAACAAGAAGAGATCAACCTCAAGAAAGAAGCAGCAGCTGGGAAGTTGCTTCAAAGTTGAATCCGCGGACGAGTGAAGTGGCCGCCAGATCTGGAACCCGAACCCTGCTCTGCCCCACAGCGTGCGGCGTGTACGCTACGCCCCACTGCTATCGTGCAGATAAAAGGAAGCCTTCACCCAGAGATGAGTGAGAGTAGAGCAAGCAGAGGGAATGGCGCACCGGGGTTTGTTTAACGCAGAGAGGTTCCAGGAGGGTCCGTTGACGAACGATCTGAGGTTTGGAGCGCAGACGCAGATGCAGACGCAGACGCAGACGCAGACGTCGCAGGAGCAGCTGTACGCGCTGACGAACGCGATCAAGAAAGCGACGCTGAAAGATGATCTTGCGCCGAAAGCCAAGCATGTTGACTGTGAGTGTGCTTCTTTTTTTAATGTGATAAGAAGAGGACGCTGACGAGTGGGTAGACTGCGTGGAGTATACCTGGCGCAACGAGACCGCGCTGTATTTCTGGTCGCAGATAAAAGCGCAATCAACGGGCGCGAAAGGCAATAGCGTACGGATATTCAAAGCCCTTGCGCTCGCGCACAGAGTCATGCAGGACGGACACCCTACCGCGCGGAGTATGGCCCCGCGGTATCTGGACTGGTTCGTGGGCATTAGTGAAGATGAGAGAGCGCAGAAGGGAGCAGGAGTAGAGATGGCGGGGTTGGTGAGGGAGTATGCGGGGTGTTTGGCGGAGAAAGTGAGGTTGCATTCGCGGTATGCTGGGTTTGATGGTATATCACTCTGAAGTGCTGCTATATTCTGTGTCGTGCTTGCTGATTGAGAACAGGACTCCTCCGTGAGATTGAAGGGACACCGACGTTATCCTCCGCGCAAAACTACTCCCTCGCGCTCGACCTGCAAAACATGCACTCCCAGTTCTCGAAATTCTTCTCAAATCTGCTCACACAGATCTCCGCCGACCGCAGCGCAAAGTCCCTCGACCCCTCGCTGCTGTGCGTGATTAAAGAGACAGCGGGGGTGCAAAGACTCGCCACGTCCGTGCTGAGATCGGTGTATAGAGAGGGAGGAGAGTATGATCTTGCTGCGTTGAGGGTGAAGTACGAAGAGCAGCATCGGGAATTACGAGAGTTACTCGCTCTATGCTTGCAGCAGAGTTTATTTACCCAAGAAATTGAGAGTCTGGAATTTGCAGAGGTATGTCTTTTTTATTCTTTGTAGGAAGATAGAGCTGACGGTTTAGACACCGCCTGATGTACAGGAAGAAGCGCTGCCGGCGTATGAAAGAGTGCCGGAGTACCACGACCAGCATGATCCTCCGGCTTACGACGGTCGATGATGGTCATAGATTGTTAATACACAAATACAGTAGATGCACGAGAAATCTGCATTCAGCAAGCGGGCGAGGTGGGTAATAGAAAGGAGCTCCGTATATCGATCAAATAGATCAGAAACAGTTCCACACTCAAAGACCTGCAATGACCTAAATACACCTACTCACCTTCTAGACCCTATAAACTACCACCTTCCAGACCTCCATAACTACTCATCGTCAGACATATTCAATCGTTGAATCAACCAGAATCAGAACAGGTCTTAAGCCAAACCACGTGACTCCCCCGCGTACTCTTCGGTTGCCATCGACGGATTCAGCCGAGGCTTCAGGCACCATCTTCTCTACTTCTCTCGACACAGCACCACCGGGAAATAAGAAGAAGAAGTAGAAGTAGCAGCAGAAGAAGAAGAAGAAGAAGAAGAAGAAGAGAGAGATGCAGTTTATACACCGACACCGGCGGAAGATAGCGGCAGCGGTGGGTGTTGCGACGGCGGGGTATTACGCGTACACGTACCTGAAGACAAAGTTGGAGGACTGGCAAGCCTCGTTGACGAGTGGAGTTACGAATAAAGAAAAGTGAGTCCCCTCCTTTTATATATCAGAAGAGGAAGAGGAAGAGGAGGTGCTAATATGAGCTGGGGGTAGTTTGAGAAGACGGTTCGAGCAGAATCAGAACGACGCGTCGTTCACGGTCGCGGCTTTACTTTCCTCGCTGACTGATCCGCTGATGGAGACGATGCCGGTCGAGGAGATCACGCGGGAGTTACAGGCCAAGCAGCGGATCGCGTCAGCATCAGCGTCAGAGACGGGATCTGTTGCGTCGTCGTCGGTGACGGCGGAGGAAGCAGCAGGGGGAGGGAAGGCGAGGAGTAAGAAGGAGATGTGGGAGGAGATCAAGATCATGTCCGTCACGCGGGCAGTATCGATGATGTACGCGACCGCACTGCTCATCTTCTTTACGAGGCTGCAGTTGAATCTCCTAGGGCGGAAGAATTATCTCGACTCGGTGCTCTCGCTGAGCGAGGAGGTTGCAGAAAACGAAGCGGAGGAAGAGGAAGAGTACAAGAGGCAGCAGAAAGAGGTGGTTGATAATGAGGTCAATCGCCGGTTTCTGACGTATAGTTGGTGGTTGCTGAATAACGGATGGCAGGACCTCGTTGCTGTCGTGCAGCGGGCTACTATCAAGGCATTTGAAGAGTATCTATAACCTCTCTCCTCCATCTGATTTTTCTACAAGTCATGCTAACAGCCGACAGCGTCTCCCCCCGCTCCGAACTCACATACTCCGACTTCTCCTCCCTCCTCACGCAAGTCCGCGCATCCGTATCCTCCCAGACATCACCCTACCTCACCCTCCTCCTCCCCCGCACCCGCTCCGAAGAACACAACGTCCTCGACCAAAACCCCGACCCGGATTTCTACTCCACCCCCGCCCTCGAGCGTCTGATCACCCCGCGCTTAGACAGTTTACTCGACGAAGCAAAAGATCTAATCGAGAGTCCTAACGCCGCGGGCGTGGTCGCGGGGTTGCTGGATCAGGCGTTCGGCGTGCTGCTGTCGAGTTTGCAGGTCGCGTATTTCTACGACGAGCAGCAGCAGCAGCAGCAGGAGAAGAAAGTCAGGTTGGCGAATTTGTTGGCGGGGGTCACGAGGCAGTCGCATGAGATGACGATCGCGAACAGTCAGGCGAATCAGTATCTTCTCGTGAGTTCCCTTATATCTGTATATGTGTGGACACGTGCTAACGATAGAGAAGGCCATGAACGCGACGACAGAGTTGAAGATGTTTAGCGCGGTGGTGTATTCAAACTACGGGACGCTAGGAAGTTTAGTATAAAGAGAGAATCATATTGACATGCACAGACAGAATGGCATCGACTACAAGTAAAGATCATAGTATATACGTATACAGTCGCAACGACAGAGTTAAAGATGTTTAGCGCGGTTGTGTATTTAAACTACGGGACGCTAGGAAGTTTAGTATAAAGAGAGAATCATATTGACATGCACAGACAGAATGTCATCGATACAAGTAAAGATCATAGTGCACACGTATACAGAATCCAATCAGTTCGTTACATGAACATAGTCACAAGACAAAGAAGTAAAAGTAAAGAATATATAGGTTATACTAGCAAAAGCCCACACGACGCTGCATCAATAGCACTGCCATAGTCAGCACGCTTAGATCTCGACGCCGGTGGAGACGCCAGAGGCAGCGGCCTCGGCCTGGGCTTTCAAGTTGGAGGCGACGGAGGAGACGCCGGCGGAGGAGACGAGCTTGGCGGAGATCGGCTTGACGACGGCCTTGTAGACGGTCTGGGCGCCGTGGAACTGGGGGAGGCCGAGGTAGAGCACGAAGATGACCTTGAAGAACCAGTAGAAGGGGACCCTGGCTGGTGTTAGTGAGGGGGTGAGAGAGGGGGAGGTGAGGGATGGCTTACCAGTAGAGGATGGCGCGGCTCCAGAACTCGATGACGGAGAAGAAGGCAAAGACGACCCAGTACTAGAAGAGATTTGAGAGATTAGCAGAGAGCAGAGAGAAGAAGAAGAGAGAGAACATACGGTGAGGTACTGGGTGTCGTCAGCAGTGCCGGGGGAGTCGAGGGCAAGGAGGGAGTAGTATCCGGGGATGACGAAGCCCGCGAGGTTGGCAAGAAGCTCTCCGATGCTGTTGTGTACTGTTAGCAAGGTAGAAAAGGGAGGAGAGGAAGAGGAAGAGGAAGCATACCCGCCAAAGTTGAGGAAGATCATGAAGAGGTAGAGACCGACGGCGCCGAGGACACCGTAGGACTTTGGCACGCCTTAGTAGATAGAGCAGTTAGTTGTGATCCAGGATATATACAGTCAGAAAGAAGAAGAAGATGAGGAAGAGACATACCAACCTGCTTGAAGACCTTGTCGACGACGGGATACTTGTCGAGCTCCTGAGGGATGACGATGATTAGCATGAGCAGTAGTAGCAGCAGCAGCAGCAGCAGCAGCAGCAGCAGCAGTGATCTCACGCACCTTGTCGAGCTTGCTAACAACAGCAAAAGCCTGATCCTGATACGACATTATTGATGATATTTAGAATAGAATAGAATACGATTGAATAAACCAGAATTGAACAGATTCTCGCGATCTACACCGAAAAACAGGAGAAGCCGAGCGGAAGATGTGACGTCTTCTGAGGATTTGGCCGGGTAACTTTTAGGGTTCAGGGTTCAGGGCGAGGGCAGCGCCGCGCGCCGTTTGTGCCGTGGTCGCCATAGAAACCAGCGTCAATAGATTCTGAAGATATTGAATAAAGAGATCAGCAGTGCTGTGTTTACGCGTCGGTGTTGTTGTTGAATACAGAAGAAAAGAGAAGAGAGAGATAGGAGAGTGAAGAATAGAGACCGGCTGCTTCTCTTGTCTGCTTTACTTCTCTCGTTGCTACGCGTCGCGCGGTGTGACGCGTTCTGATCCCAGTCTTGATATCGATTCCTATTCTACTCTTATTGATATCCATATTCATATCATATACTCATCAATCAGCATGGAGGTCACATACGAACAACAACAACAGCAGCAACAGCAACCCTTCGACCCCCCGCGCCTCAAACCATCCTCCTCCTTCGCCGACGACACCGAAGAACTCCGCCGTCAAGGCGATCTCAACCTCTCCGTTTCCCTCGAAGACCTCGCCGTCCGCGTCCGCTACGACGACTCCCGCACCGTCCCCGCGTCCGTCTCCGAACGCAACAGACAGGTCTTCGGCATCGTCTGGCTCAAAAAAACATGCCAGCTCTCGCCGCGAAACGCAATCCCGCGTAACCGCATCTACGCCCGGTATGCCGAGATCTGCGCCCGCCACAAAATAAAGCCGTTGAACCCGGCCGCGTTCGGCAAGCTCGTCAAGCTCGTCTTTCCCGATATCAAGACTCGACGGCTTGGGGTGCGTGGGAAATCAAAGTACCACTACTGCGGCATCAACCTCATCGGCGACGCCCTCGTCCCGATCGGCAGCATCAACAACGCCGGCAGCGCCGCGAGCGCAGATGATTTCGACATCGCCAACGACGACTCCTTCGAGAACGGCCAGGACTCTGCTGCTTCTTCGTCAAAAGCCAACAACAACACATCTGTCGCCCCGCAAAAGGAAAACCAGAACCCGCAGTCGACTCCGCAGTCGAGGCTGCAGTCCCTGCTCTTCACCACTCCGCCGGATAAAGTGCGCTCGTCACTTGACTCGCCGTCGTCGCATCTCGCGACTACACCGCTCGACCCGTCCGCGCTCCCGCCTCTGCATTTCTCGAAAAAAGTAATGGACTCGCCGGCTGTTTCGTTCAACTCGCTCGCGTTCCCGAGTATCGACGCTTTCGTGCCTGCTGGTGCGGATAAAGATGCAGTTGATATTCTTACCGCGCTTTGTCAGTCGCATTGCTCGGCTTTGCTCGAAGCGATTCGGTTTATGCACCTGAAGCAGTTCCTAAACACCTTGTCCTCGTTTCATGGAACGCTTACCTCTCCTGTTCAGAAATTGCTTGCCGTACCCAGCATACTCGAATGGGTCCAGCGCTGCGACTGGATCATGTATAAGGTACTTCTCACTACATTTCTCACTATATCTACATGCTAACAACCCAGGAAATGATCCACATGCTCGCGCCGCTAGCTCTACAAGTCGTCCCCGCAAACGTACTGACCGCCCTGCGCTCACTCTCAATGACCCTCCCGCAAAACATCCTCACCTCCTTCCGCACCCTGCCGCCGCAATTCGTGCAAGTCAAACTGCGCCCGGCCTACGCGTTTTCAAACCTGATCGGCCGTCTGCTGCGCGTGACAAATAGCGCCAACGCGGCAGCGCGCATCCTCGCGAACCCGAACGAGCGCAAGTCGATGCTGGCGGACTGGATTAATTACGTCGACGCGCGGCTGATTGTGCTGCGCGAGGCGCCCTGCGGTGGAGCGATGGCGCTCAAGATTTTGACGGAGGACTTGATTGCGCTGCTTGCTGTGCCGGCGGAGAATATAGCGGCAAACGCGGATCACTGGGGCCGGCCGCATTCACGCGACCTTAACGACGTGTCGACGTCCCCTGCGCCGCCGTCGCCGACTCCAGGAAAGGACGACATGAACGACCCAGGCGAGGGGATAATAGAGCAATGGGCAGAGTACCTGACCGCCCTACCGCTCCGGTTCCCGAACGTGTCTGCGCGCATGTTTTTGCTGTACATGAACGGGATCCTGACTGCCGCGCTGCGGGAGATCACGTTGAACGGCGGCGAGGCGTTTGGTGCGTGGTGGATGGTGCGGTGCTGGATTGATGAGTGGATCGCGTGGGTTGCTGAGCAGGGAGGGTTTTTTGATACGGATTATTTGCCGATTGCTGAGGATGCGGGTGGTAATGGTGGGTTACAGGCGAGCCAGGCGCAGACGGACAAGGCGGAGGAGGAAGACCAGGAGCAGGTCGAAGTAGACCCGCTCCCACCTCTCACTCTCCCCACCACCACCTCACCGTCAAAGCAACAACAACGGCGGATAGACTCGAGCCAGGACCTCGAGGACCTGGAACCGGTGGCGGACGTGAGCCTGGCGGACGTGCGCTCGACGGCTGATTACGAGGACGATATTCTCGGGCGCGGGCCGGATCTCGATCTGGACGTGCAGGCTGAGATCGAGAAGGACGCGTCGAGGCGGTAATACGATTGTATCAGATAAGTTAGTAAATAGAAGATAGTAAGGAAGAGTAGAAGGAAGGTATTAGTTATATCTTACGTAAGACTCCGGGGCATTGGGAATGACGTCACTCTTGGAAGACTCGCGAAGGTGCCGGGAAGTTCGACGGAGGGCAAATCAGGTGGTGGCAGCAGAGTATAACTTGTGCTTCTCTCTGTTACTGTTCAATAACCATTGTTATACTACTATTATACTACTGTTGACACACTCACATCATGGTCAAAGAAACAAAGCTCTACGATCTGCTCGGCGTCGCGCCTACCGCGTCCGAGGCAGAGATCAAGAAAGGATACCGCAAGATGGCGCTCAAGTACCATCCCGACAAAGCCGGTGATGATCCAAAGGTGAGTACTCCTCCTCCCCATTCCTCATTCTCTCTCTCAGCAGTTACTAATAGGTTCACTAGGCCGCGGACAAATTCAAACAAGTCTCAGAGGCGTACGAAATCCTCTCCGACTCCAACAAACGCGCAGTCTACGACCAATTCGGCCTCGAGTACGTCCTCCACGGCGCGCCGCCACCACCCGAAGACGGCGGTGGCGGCGGCGCGGGCGGATTCCCTGGTGCAGGAGCGGGCGGGTTCCCTGGTGGATTCCAGTCGTTCAGCGCGGGCGGACCCGGTGGCGCGCGGACGTTCAAGTTCACGAGTAATGGCGGCAACCCATTCGGCGGCGGCGGCGGCGGCGGATTCACGCCTACTGATCCGATGAATGTGTTTATGTCGTCGTTTGCGAACGATCCTGATCTTGCGGGATTGTTTGGCGGCGGCGGCGGCGGCGGCGGCGGTGGGGGGCCACAGATGAGATTCAGCTCTGGTGGAGGGGGAAGTCCGTTTGGAGGGATGGGCGGGATGCCGGGTGGGATGCCGGGTGGAATGCCTGGCATGAGCGACGGATATCGATCGTCGTCGCCGACGAGGGAAACCCCTGCGTCGGTGTACACTGTCAAACTCCCGCTGACGCTCGAGGAACTCTACAGCGGCGCGACAAAGAAGATGAAGATCCGGCGGCGCAGAACACACGGGCAGGAAGAGAAAGTGCTGCAGATCACAATCAAGCCCGGCTGGAAGGCGGGTACAAAGATCACGTTCCCCGGCGAAGGTGATCTCCAACCCGACGGACGGAGCCAGGACGTTGTGTTTGTCCTCGACGAGAAGAAGCATCCTGTCTTTACGCGCGACGGAAATGATCTGAAAATGGACCTCGAGCTCACACTCAAAGAAGCGCTGCTCGGGTTCTCAAAGATCGTGGGCACGCTGGACGGCAAGAAGATAAAGATCGAGTACAAGCAGCCCGTGCAGCCGGGGTTGGTGATTAAATACCCCGGCCACGGAATGCCGATAAGCAAGGAACCCGGGAAACGGGGCGACCTGTCGATCGTGGTGAAGGTCACGCTGCCGACTTCGTTGACGGCGAGTCAGAAGGCGGAATTGGAGAAGATTTTGTAGGTTTAGTTGCATTTGTGTGGGTTTGCTTTTGTTTTGTTGTTTAGTTGGGCATCGTTATATTATAGATTAATACATGTAATACTCTTAAGAAGTTAGATTATCGCACCCACAACGTAGAAACCTCATTGATATACCACACCACCTGCCTCGTCGTCACCCCATCATCATATGCAACCAACTCCATAATCTCCCGCCAAAGTCCCTCCATAACCTGCGCGATCTGCGCGCGCGAAAGCAAGCTCTCCGCGCTCCTGATCGCCGACGCGGGCCCGAATTGTCGCGCGTAGGAGGCGTACAGCTCGGTTAGGAAAAGTACGTAGTCTTTCTTGAAGGCGGGGTCGGTTGTGGGGCTGTGGTAGAGGGAGGAGAGGGGAGAGAGGAGGTCGTCGTGGAGGTCGGGCCAGGGACGGATTTTGAGGAGGAGGAGGAGGTTGAAAATTACCTGGCGATTCGATCGGCCTGCCCATGTCTTCAAATATCGAGATAAAAGAAAATCTTCGACCGAGACGAGGAGGTCGGTGGTGTAATCACAAAGCTCGGAAACGCGAGCCAGCATCTCGCCCAGTATCTCCTCACTATCGCTATCCGAAGAAAGCTCGTCCGAAAGCGTGCTGGCGATCCAGGTGTTTAATCTCGCCCACGCGAGTTTCCCAGGCCGATTCACAAGCACGAGGCGCACCATACCGTCGTCGCGCAGGACAGAGCCAACCTGTGCGGGCAGCGCGATGCGGTCGATCGAGTGCACGAAGGAAGTCAGCGAGGAAATGTCTTCGACTGTTACTGACGCGCGGGATTGATCTAGCGTCGCGCGGTCGGGGAGGGCGAGTTTGCGGCGTTTGGGAGCGGAGCGCGAGAGCGGGTCGCGGGAGATGTGGGGGGCGGATGATGATGATGAGGAGGAGGAGGAGGAGGAGCGGTGGAGGTCGAGGATGATGGTCATGAGTGCTGGGTCTGGGTATCGAAAGAGAGTACTCCGGAGGCGAAAGAAGCGGTCGATGATGATTTCGGGGTAGTACTCTTTATAAAGCACAAGCAAGCCAGTGAGGTGCTGCGAGTCGCGGTACTTGTTTTGCAGCTCGAGCAGGTACTGGATCCGCCAGGGTTTGATGTCGCGGCGGGTGGTGATGAGGAAGAGGATGTGGCAGAGCCAGGGACGGATGGACTCGTAGCTGAGGAGGAGGAAGAGGAGGTTGTAGAGGGATGAGAGGATTTTGGGTGATTTGAGGAATGGCTGGATGATGACGAGCCATCGCAGCAGTGCGCTCTTCAGATAGTTAGCAGCAGAATAGTAGAGTGGATAGAAGAGAATATGAGAAGATACCTGAACAGCAGGCTCAGCCTTGCCCTGCCCAACCCCGAGACACCCCACGATCCTAAGCACGACCTCATCACCAACACTTTCCTTCGGAATCAGCAACTTGACAAGCTGCAGCGCGTCAGAAGTCGTCAGCACCGCCGGAGACGTAAGCACTTCAGCGGCCAGCAGCAGATCTTGGGGCGAGAGACCGTGCTCGTAGACGTGGATGCCGATGAGCGAGAGTTGGTCTGCGACGAGGGATCTGGGTGCGCGCGAGGGGAGTGCCGAGTGCAGGTTTTTGATCGCGAGGGAGATCTTGTCGGGAGGAGCGAGTTGTATTTCTATAACACTGTTAGAAAAGAGTGCTTTTGTATGTATCAGAAGGAATAAATACCGAAATCCATGGCGGTTGGTGAGGAATCAATGGATATGAACGAATATCAACTGTTTACTATCAAGAAGAGACTATGTTTGTTTACGCGACAGTGGCTGTGCGTGGCGCAGATCCCGATTCGGAAGGCGCTGTGGCGAATGCAGCCGCCTCACCTTCTGTCTCTCGCCTCAACGCGATATCTTCCTCACAAACCTCCACACAGACAGACACCCAACTACTAGCAAAGATGAGCATTGTTTCGCTGTTCCAGAGCGTAAAGTACAAGTACTATGTCACGCTGCCGCTATACATGCTCACGCGGAAAGAGCGCATGATTTTCAGTACGTAATAATCAGAGTCGAGCAGGTTTAGAGATATGAGATGCTAACGTGTTATAGATGCCTTTCTCTTGACGTCGCTCTACCTCCTCTGCGCTGCGTTCTTCACGTACTTCCCGAGCAGGGTCAAGTTGATTGCGCAGCGCGTGCATTATTACTACGCCGGGGACTTTGCTGCCGCGGGAGCCGGTGCTGACGCGGAGGGTGTGCAGTATTGACCTTGATATTAGATGTTCTTATCGTTGTTTGATTGTTGTTTGTAATTGTTTTATGTAATATGTTTATGTATTAATTGGGTTCTTTCTTTTGTTTGTCTCGGTCTGGTTGGGTCGCATATATATACAATGACAATGCACATGCACAATATCCACATTATATCTCCATAATATCTACACCATCCCCCCCACATATCTTACACACACACACTCTCTCTCACTCACTCACTCACTCACACACACTCTCCCTAACGCCTCGGCTGATGCAACTTCGCATCCACGCTCTCCCTCCTCCGCTGATCCATCTTCAACTCAAGCAACTCGGGCTTCATGCACGCGATCGCGCGCGCAGACGGGTTCTCGTCGTACATCTTCTTGCAGCAACTATACAGCGCGTCGATCGCGGCCGTGCAGCGGGATTCGTTGTAGTTTGCGCGCTTGAGGCAGTCTGGGGTGTTTGTGTGTTTGTTAGCGTAGTAGAGAGAGTGTAGATAGAGAGGGAGAGGGAGGGAGACCTTGGATTGCGCAGGCTTCGGCGTGGCAGACTGTTGGTGATGGAGCTTCGAATGACATGTTGCAGTGTCCAGTGTAGATTATGTAGAATATGCAATAGTACTATATACAATGCAATAATGCTATGTACAATACAATACAATACAATACACTAAATGCAATCAGCTTAATAGAAACACGTGTGGTTTAGGGTCAACCATCTCGACCATCTCGACCTCCTCGACTCCATCTGCCATCAGCCCGCCATCACCACTCAACGAACCGCAATTGCCCCTCAGACGAACAGGAAAAGGAAAGAAAAAATGGCAGACACGGCAGTGGAACCTGAGACTAAGAAGTTTGAGTACAGCTCAATATCGTCGAGCTTTGTCGCGCCGGAGGAGGTGAAGACCGACGCTGCTCCTGAGTCTGCTCTTGCTTCTGAGTCTAAGTCTGAGCCTACTACTACAACAGACCCAGCACCGACAACCACAGAACCACCTCCCGACAAAGCCTCCGAAACCAAGCAAAAAGCCCAAGCCAAGCTCGAAGATCTCAAACGGGCGATCGCGCGCGCGAAACGGTTCGGCAGCGACGCGACCGAGCTCGAGAAACTGCTCAAGCGCGCAGACAAGTTCGGGCCGGAAGTCTTGCTTGCGAATAACGCGCTCGCGGGGGTGGATAAGCCGTTGGTTGAGAGGAGTGGCGGGCGGAAAAGTGTGGGTGGGGCGGCGACGAAGCCGTATGAGAAGAAGGGGAAGCCGGAGTTGAGTGAGGAGGAGAAGGAGAAGCTGAGGAAGCGGGCGGAGAGGTTTGGGCAGAAGTAGATCAAGTCGTTGCTTGTAAAATGTAGGATTAGTGGTTTATTTATAGTCTTTTAGTTATAGTCTCAATACAGTTTAGATCTCAGTGTACGTGTATTGGATTGCTATCTAATCACTTCATCTCCTGGGCTCGAACGGGTTCCCATCAGATTCGGTCGTGATCTGTGGTCGAAGCGGATGTTCGGTCGTCGAGCTCGCGGAATCCAGTCGCGAGTCATAGGTTCTATATCAATAATTAGCACTCTATAGTTGATAAACAACAGCTGACATTCCTGGACCTACTCGTCGTTGTAGCTCTGAGCTGACTGGGAATATCTCGGGTCGTAATCATAGTTCCCGTTTCTCTGCGCCGCGACCTGTCGCCGCCTCAACTCCTGGTTCGCAAGCGCGATGCGCTCCTCCTCATCAATCTCATCCTCCGGCTCGACAATCTCCGGACTCACTTTCGCCTCCCCCCACGACCTGATACTCCACGCCCTGCCCTCGCGCGCGGTGTCGTTCAACGAGGGGAAGTACATCCGGTACGACATCCACGCAATCACAAAGCCCATGATCGAGCCCGTGAGCACGTCCGTGCCGTGGTGGCGATGGTCTTTCACCCTGCTCGTCGCGATCGCGGCTGCGCCCAGGAACGGGAACATCACCGCCGTGGCTTTCCACACCTCGCCCTTGTTATCGTACAGCGAGAGTTTCCCCGCGAGGTAGAACGACAGATAGCCCAGGCCTGCGAAAGCGGTCGAGCTGTGTCCGGACGGCCAGGATCGGAAGCCCTCGGCGAGGATGTCCTTGTCTGGCTGCGTGCAGACTGTGATGTCTGAGAGGCCGTACGGCGAGGCGTCTGTCGCGCCGTCTTCGGGCATGCACCGCGCAATCGCGTCCGGGCGCGGGCGGCCGACGATTTCCTTGAGCGAGGTCGTGATGACGAGCGTGATGGCCTCGGACAGAAGCAGACCGAGGATGCCCGCGTTGACGTCCCAGAGCCGGCTCGAGAACGAGGAGTGGTATCTGAAGTGGTCGACGACGAGCGGCCAGAGCACAATCACCGCCAGCGGCACGATGATCGAGTACACGACCGCGAGCCCGTACGGCACCGTCTCGGGATCGGCGATGGGGTATTGCAGCGTGATGTCGGAGAGCGAGAAGCGCGAGTAGGAAGGCTCGAAGGTGGCTATGTAGGACCACACGCCGATCAGCACGATGCAGAGCGCATAGTCAAACACGTACGAGAACGCGATTCTGAACTGAGATGCTTTGCGACGGGCCATTTGTTCTTGTTCTTTCTGTTATCGCTATTCGTATGATTCTTCGTGATGAGAAGAAGCAGCGAAGTGGACGAGGCGCAGGGCAGCCGAGCTCGTGCAGCCACATTACGTGCGGCGGGATTATGTAATATATTCATAACAAGTCATTTCTGTCTCTATTGTAGTAAGTTCTCTATCTACTTTCGCAGCCTGTGCTCCTGCTCAAACTCGATAGCCTGCATCACCGCCGCAAGCACATTATCAACCACCGCAGTCGGCTTGCTGCGCGAGTCGAGCACGTCGCCGTCCTTGTACACGCCCGACCGCACGAGCAGCGTCGACCAGCCGTAGCTGTTGCCGCCCCGGATGTCGGACGCGGGGTTGTCGCCGACCATGTAGACCCTGTGCACGTCTTGTGTGTAGCCGAACGCGTGGCGGCGCCAGTCGTTGAGCACGCTGTGTGCGTATTCGTAGGTGAAGAGGTACGGTTTGCCGATGATTGTGCTGCGGGTGTTAGCGTGCTTGAATATAAGAAGAGTAGGCAGGATATACACACCTCTGCATCTCGGAGCCCGTGTACTCGCGGAAAATAGTCTCGATCCCGCGTCTAAACGCACCCTGGCCGAACCGCGGCAGCGGGTACTCGTTCGCCCACAGCAAGTCGTCGTTGGAAAAGTAAATCGGCACCGTCTGCTTGAGTCCGCTGCTGCGGGTGCCATACACGCCCTCGTCCGAAGCCAACACGTCAACGATAACCTGCGTGTCGCAGCCCCAGTCGCGGGGATCGTTAAACACCAGCACGGCGTCGAACTTACTCTCCGACAACGGCCGCGCGAGTGCAAGGTCCTCGGGCGTGAACCGGTTGAACGGCCAGATGTTTTTGTTGGCGGCAAGCACGTCGACCGACATTGTGCAGTCCTTGAATCCGTACGCCTCGGCTACGTGCCGGCATTTATCCCGGTCGCCGCCTACGACGAGGACTTTGTTGTAGCGGTGGACAAGACGCTTGAACGGCGTGTGGGACTGCACGAATTGGTCGATGTGGATGTCGATCCCGAGCTGCGAGGACAGGCCTGCTACGCGCTCGGCTTCGCTTTTTCCGCCGCCGTTGGTGAGCAGGATCCTGGGTTGTTAGTGTGCGAGATGTGAGGGGGTGGAAATCATAGTAGATACCATGGGATACTGTGCTCTTTCAAGAGACGTAGAGCTTCCTTGCCTTCCTCCAGCGCCTTTGCGCCACGGATAAGCACGCCGTCGATACTACACAGGTCAGCACAGTGCACTCAATCTCTTAATAACATCGAGCATCAGATCACATACTCAAAGGCAAACGCGAAATCGCGCGCGAGCTCGCTGGTCGCCGGCTTCCTCGAGAACTGCCTCCGCTGGCATCCGGAAGCAGCGGTGATTGCCGAGCAGCGCGCCGAGCAGCGCGTGATCCCAGACACGCACGCGATCGTGCGTCTCATATACAAGCTCATTGTTATTGTAATTGTCTATATCTCTGATGTTGTCTATATCTGGTGTCTATATCAGATGGCTGTTGGCTGGCATGTGCCAAACCCCACGTGACTTCGGATCAGGGTCAGGGCGCAGGCTTCCTTGGGCTTCTCTGATTGTCAGCCAGGATTGATTTCTCATCAACATCGTCATTCGTTCTATTTGTAAGCGCACTTTGGATCTGTTTGTGAGGAATTGCGGTGTATAAGAGGATTGTGTGTCCTGAATTGAATTGAGTGCTGATATCTGAATTCAGGCTGCCTGGTTGCATTACGTTCGATCGACGCTGTGGTTACTATCGCTTCCAACATCAATCACACTAGAATATCAGAATCAATGGCGGTAAGATCAGTGTCGTTTAAATAGAGAAGAGCACATGCTGACATTCTTCTAGGACTCTAGCAAGATGCAGGTCGACGAGGAAAACACCGAGATCGACGAGAGTCTTTACTCGCGTCAGCTGTAAGTCTGATCTGCTTGTGCATCTACCTCACAGACAACTAACAGATTCAGATACGTCCTGGGCGCAGAGGCAATGAAGAGAATGAACAACTCGAACGTTCTGCTCGTCGGACTCAAGGGCCTTGGAGTCGAGATCGGTAAGTGATTAGATGGTTGAAGATCGACTTCTGCAACAATGCTAATCCTCCCCCCCCCTCCAGCTAAAAACGTCGCTCTGGCGGGTGTCAAGAGTCTGACTCTTTATGATCCCGCACCGACCAAGCTCGAGGATCTCTCGTCGCAGTTCTTTCTCGCCGAATCCGACATCGGCACGCCGCGTGCCGCCGCGACCGCTCCTCGTCTGGCCGAGTTGAACCGGTACGTCAAGATCGGCGTGCACGACGGCCCGCTCGACGAGGCCGCGATCACACAGTACCAGTGCGTTGTACTGACAGAGACCTCGATCGAGACGCAGGTGCAGATCAACGAGATCACGCACAAGCACAACATCGCCTTCATTGTCGCCGACGTCCGCGGCCTGTTCGCCATGGCGTTCAACGACTTTGGCACCGACTTCACCATCATCGACGCCAACGGCAACGAGCCCGCGACCGGCATTGTCTCGGACGTCGACGAGTCCGGGAACGTGACTGTGCTCGAGGACACCCGGCACGGGCTTGAGGACGGCGACTATGTGACGTTCAGAGAGATTGACGGCATGCCCGGTCTGAACGACGCCGAGCCGCGCAAGGTGACGGTCATTGATCCATATGCGTTTAACATCGGATCTGTTGCGGGACTGGGCACGTACGTCCGAGGCGGTCTGTACCAGCAGGTGAAGGTTCCGTTCCAGATCAGTATGGAGTCGCTGATGACGCAGCTGCAGAAGCCCGAGTACTTGTACTCTGACTTTGCAAAGCTCGAGCGGCCGCCGCAGTTGCACATTGGGTTCCAGGCGTTGCAAGGGTTTGCAAACAAGCACGAGGGCCAGCTTCCGAAGCCGATGGACGAAGCCGACGCGAACGAGGTTGTGCATATCGCGCGCACGCTTGCGGCGCAGATGCCGGGCGTGCTGGACGGGGCCGAGTTGGACGAGAAGCTGATCAAGGAGCTTGCGTACGAGGCGCGCGGAGATTTGCCGCCGATGGTGGCGACGATGGGCGGAATTGTTGCGCAGGAGGTGCTGAAGGCTACGTCGGGCAAGTTTTCGCCTATCCGCCAGTACTTTTACTTTGACTCGCTCGAGTCGTTGCCGGAGAACTATGCGCGGACTGCGGAGAACACGGCGCCGGTTGGGTCGCGGTATGATAACCAGATCGCGGTGCTGGGCAAGGAGTTCCACGACAAGATCCGGAACATGAAGGAGTTTTTGGTGGGCTCGGGAGCGATCGGATGCGAGATGCTCAAGAACTGGGCGTTGATGGGACTCGGGTCCGGGCCGGAGGGCAAGATCACGGTGACGGACAACGACACTATCGAAAAGTCGAACTTGAACCGACAGTTTTTGTTCCGGCCGGCGGACGTGGGTAAGCAAAAGAGTGATGTTGCGGCGAAGGCGGTGGAGGCGATGAACCCGGATATGGCGGGGCATATTGATGCGAAGCAGGACAAGGTCGGGCAGGACACGGAGAATGTGTTTGATGACGATTTCTGGATGAGCTTGGACGCGGTGACGAACGCGCTTGATAATGTGGAGGCACGACAGTACGTCGATAGACGGTGCGTGTTTTTCAAAAAGTCGTTGCTGGAGAGCGGAACGCTGGGGACGAAGGGAAACACGCAGGTTGTGTACCCGATGTTGACGGAGAGTTACTCGTCGTCGCAGGATCCGCCCGAGACGGGGATTCCGCTGTGCACGCTGCGCAGTTTCCCTAACCGGATAGAGCACACGATCGCGTGGGCGAAGAGTTTGTTCCAGGACTACTTTGTGCTTCCGGCGGAGAACGTCAACCAGTATCTGTCGCAGCCGGATTACGTTGAGTCGACGCTGAAGATGAGCGGAGACAAAAAGGGGATCTTGGAGAGTCTGCAGGCGTATCTGGTGACGGAGAAGCCGCTTACGTTTGACGAGTGCATTGCGTGGGCGCGGCTCGAGTTTGAGAAGAAGTACCACAACGAGATCGAGCAGTTGCTGTACAATTTCCCCAAGGACGAGGTGACGTCTTCGGGGACGTTGTTTTGGTCTGGCCCCAAGCGGCCGCCTACGCCGTTGTCGTTTGACGTTGAGAATCCGACGCATTTGGAGTTTATAATTGCGGGCGCGAATCTGCATGCGTTCAACTACGGGCTTAAGGGCAGTTCTGATCCGGAGGTGTTTAAGAAGGTGCTTGAGAATGTGATTGTGCCAGAGTTTTCGCCAAAGTCGAATGTGAAGATCCAGGTTGAGGAGAACGAGCCGGTGGAAGGGTCGAGCGGGAACTTTGAGGACGACGAGCTGAAGCACTTGGCGGAGAGTCTGCCGACGCCGTCGTCGCTGGCGGGGTACCGGTTGGTGCCGGTTGAGTTTGAGAAGGACGATGATACAAACTACCATATCGACTTTATCACTGCGGCGTCGAACTTGCGCGCGATGAACTACGCGATCGAGCCGGCGGATCGGTTGAAGACGAAGCTGATTGCGGGGCGGATTATCCCTGCGATCGCGACGACTACGGGGTTGGTGACCGGCCTTGTGAACCTGGAGCTGTACAAGGTAGCCGACGGCAAGAACAAGATCGAGGCGTACAAGAACGGGTTCGTCAACCTCGCGCTGCCGTTCTTTGGGTTCTCGGAGCCGATCACGCCGCCAAAGATCAAGTACAACGACAAGGTCGTCGACGGGATCTGGGACCGGTTCGAGATCGACCGGGACATGACGCTGCAGGAGCTGCTGGACTACTTTGAGAAGGAGGAAGGGCTGACGATCACGATGGTCTCGCACGGCGTGAGCATGCTGTACGCGTCGTTTGCGCCGCCAAAGAAGCGCGCGCAGAAGCTGCCGCTGAAGTTGACGAAGCTGATTGAGGACGTGACGTCGAAGCCGGTGCCGGAGGGCACGAAGACGTTGCTGTTTGTGTTGTGTGCGGAGGATTTGGAGGGCGAGGACGTTGATGTGCCGTATTTGCTGCTGAGACTGAAGTAGGCGTAGTAGTATAGCAGTAGCAAGAGTATAGCAGTAGTATTGTTCTTTAACTGAGATATGTTGATAATCGATTACGTAACTGCATAAATGTCACAACTCGCGGCACAAAAGGAGACGAAAACGTTGGTGATCGGTTTTGCCACTTGCACTGCAGCAGAAGCACAGAGTCTCGAGTGTCTGCAGCAGCTATTTTGCAGCAATTCAGGGCGGAATTGTCGAGGATTCACACAGCAGAGCATCGGCAGCTCTGTATCTGAACTAGTTGACAAAAAAGAGACGAGCAGAGCAGACAAAAAGACTCGCAAATGGCCTCTGTGCCGTCGTTGCCGCAGCAACCACCACCACCTCCTCCTCCTCCTCCTCCTGCGCAGGCTCAACAACAACCTGAAGCAGCAAACAACTCCTCCTCCCTTCCCCCTCCTTCCTCGACCGCTCCGTCGGCATCTGCGTCGGCGTCCCCGCCGCCGACTTCAATCGCGACCCTCGCCCAGCTACGCACAGGATGCATGGTCTGGGTGCACAAAGACGGCGAGCTGCGGCAGGCTGAGCTGCTGAGCATCATGCCCCGCAAGGGCCTGCTCACGTTCTACCTGCACTACCGGGACTTCAACAAGCGACTCGACGAATGGGTCCCTGCCGACCGCCTCGATCTGTCGAAGCCGGTGGAGTGGCCGAAGCCCGAGAAGCCGAAAAAACCACCGGGCCACGCGTCAAAGGACTCGCCGCTCGTGCGCGAACGCAAGAATAACAAGCGCGCGAGACCGCCGTCGAAAGCGCAGCGGGCGAAAGCGCGCGCGTCGGGTAAGGAGAATGTGGATTCGTCTGCTGCGCCATCGGTAGAGACGACACCCGCGCCGACGGACGAGCCGGAGGAGCATGAGCATGAGCATGATCATGATCATGATCACGATCTCATGGATCTCGATCAGACCGCGCCGGAGACGACGACGGAGGGCCAGTTGCCTGAGAATTACTCGCGCGAGGAGGAGATCAAGAAGTTGCGGACGTCGGGCTCGATGACGCAGAACTTGCAGGAAGTCGCGCGCGTGCGGAATTTCATGAAGATCCAGATCGGAAAGCAGGAGATTGAGCCGTGGTATTTCAGTCCGTACCCCATCGAGCTGACGGAGGAAGAGTGTCTTTATATCTGCGAGTTTTGTCTCTCGTACTATGGCTCGATCAAGCAGTTCCAGCGGCACCGCGTCAAGTGCACGTTGCAGCATCCGCCCGGGAACGAAATCTACCGGGACGAGAACGTGTCTTTTTTCGAGATCGACGGGCGCAGACAGCATACCTGGTGCCGCAACCTCTGTCTGCTATCGAAACTGTTTCTCGACCATAAAACACTCTACTACGACGTCGACCCGTTCCTCTTCTACTGCATGACCGTCCGCGACGAACTCGGCCACCATCTCATCGGCTACTTCTCCAAGGAAAAAGAATCCGCAGACCAATACAACGTCGCCTGCATCCTCACCTTGCCGCAATACCAACGCCACGGCTACGGCCGTCTTCTCATCGCCTTCTCCTACGAACTCTCAAAGAAAGAAGGCAAACTGGGATCTCCCGAAAAACCCTTATCCGACCTCGGCCTGCTCTCGTATCGCGCGTACTGGTCAGACACGCTCACCGAGCTCCTCGTCGACGCACTCCCGGAGACGCGCGAAATCACGATCGACGAAATCGCGTCGCGCACGTCGATGACGACGCAGGATATCCTGCACACCCTGCAGACGCTCAACATGCTCAGATATTACAAAGGCCAGCACATCATCTGTCTCACGACCTCGGTCGTCGAGCATCGCGAGGCAATGTCGAAAAAACGAAGACGCAGGATCGATCCGGAGAAGCTGTTGTGGAAGCCACCGGTGTTTACGCCCGCGCAACTCAGATTTGCCTGGTGATTTATCTATCTGACTTGGAAGCTGGGGGATGAAAAGCAAATTACGTTCATTTTTGTTGTTTATGGTGTTTATAGGTGCATTGTTTTTGGGCTTGTATTAATGTATAAAATCACATCTATGATTCATAGACATCTATCGTAGATTAAGTCTCTTCCTACTAGCTCTCACGCTCTTCTCCTTCCTCTTCTCCTTCGACTTGCTATAGATGCATTGTATTTGGGCTTATATTAATGTATTGAACTCACATCTACTCTATCCGTGGACATCTATCAAGTTCATAGAATAAACACCGCCTACCTCCTCTTCTTACTAGGTCTCGCGTTCTTCTCCTTCCTCCTCTCCTTCAACTTCCTCGCCTTTCGAATATCCATCGCCGACTTCAACTCATTCCTCGCCCCCTGCGGCGCAACAACGCCCTTCTCCATCGCCTGCTTAAACTTCTTATTCTGCGTCATGTAGTTGTCGCGGAACTTGTCCGCGGCTTTAGGCGCCTTCACCTCCTTGTGCTTGTATCTCCTATTCTGCGGGCCAGCCCCGCCTGCCGCGTCGCGCGGATTCTCAGACTGCCCGACACGGACCCCGTCTTTCTTCTTATTCGCGGCCTTCCAGCTCTCGAATCTGCCGGATTTATACGTCGCGGGCAGGCGCACGCCGTTCTCGCCGCGAATCATCTTGCCCTTCTTCCCGCCCATCTCGGCGTCGTCGCCCGCCTGCTTCGTCACGTACTTGTGTTTTTTCTTATCCCACTTTGTCAGTTTCGTGCGGTTACTGCCGATAATGCCCGACCCGGACCTAGTCGGGTCGTCGTTCCCGAGATCGAACGATGCGCTTGCGGCGTTGTCCATGAATGAAATCACAGAGGTAGCGTTGTTGGCTGTCGTGTTGACGCCGTAGCCGCGGTCCTGCGCCATCTCGGAGGGAGCGTAGTGGGAGATGTAATGCGCTTCGTCGCGGAATGTTGTTGGTTTGGTTTTTTTGCTGCTGCTGCTGCTGCTAATAGTAGAAGAGTCGCGTTTGCGCTTCTGAGGTTTCTCGGGCGCGAGCTTGAATGTGTTTAGAATCTCGTCTTCAGTCGCGCTCGCGAGCTTCTCCGCGTCTTCTGACTGCTCAATTTCCTCCTCATCCTCGTCGTTCGCAATAATCACCTGCTCCATCTCACTCTCCATCTCCATCTCCTGACTCTGACTCTGACTCTCCTCCCCATCCTCAGCAGTCCACCGCAACGTGCCCTGCGCCTTTGCATACTTTTGAATCGGCGCGACCTGAAACCTCCGTCTCCTCATCAAATCCGCCGCCGAATCCGCATTCACACCCCCCTTTCGCGTAACCTCAAAGATCGTCTCCGCAGGTCTAAACCGCGCCAGCCGCTGCAGCATGTTCTCCCGCTCCGCAAGCTCGTGCTCGCGAAACATCGGCGCGAGCGTGTCCCATCCGCGCACAATCACCTCTTTTGCGCGTCTGACGCTCTCGCTACTGGCCGAGCCGCGCGTTTTCAAGTACAGCTTTTCACCTTTGATTGCGACCTGGCGCAGCGAGGATAGATCGTAATCTTTAGTCAACAAAGTCTGCACGTCTTCGCAGCTGCGCTCGAGTTCGTCGCGCGGGAAACTGCCGCACACCATATCCCGCGTGTAATCAATCTCCTCGGCGGCGAGAGTTTCGAGATCACTAGGCAGTTTGAGAGATTTCCCCAAAAACAGCTCGAGATCAAGCAAGTACGGCACCTCAGTCTCCTTCACGAGCGAGAACGCACGGCCGCGTTTTCCTGCGCGAGCGGTACGACCGACGCGGTGGACAAAGACCTTGGGCGAGCCAGGGAACGAGTAATTGACCACGTTAGCGAGGATAGGCACGTCGATACCGCGGGCTGCGACGTCGGTGACGACGAGGATCGAGGTGACGCCCGCGCGGAACATGGCGAGTTGCTCGCGGCGCGCGTGTTGGTCGAGCGAGCCGTAGATGTAGGAGATCGCGTAGCCAAATTCGCGGAGTAGGTTGGCGACGTACTCTACGTGATGGCGGGTGGGCGCGAACACGATCGTCGCGTGTGGAGAGGTGGCTTCGTTCCCGGACGGAGGTTTGCTGAACTTCGACTTTTTGCGATCGAATTTCTTCTTCTTCTTGTCGTGCTCGTCTTCTCCGTTATCTTCCTTGTCGCTGTCAGATCCATTGTTGAACTTCCAATCCCGCTTCGGCATCTCGGCAGCGGTAGGCATCTTGATGACATCGCGAAGAAGCCACAGCAGCGCGCCGTCGGATTCGGAGGACTTGATGCTGAAAAAAAACATCTCGAGCTCGTCCGAGATCTTGGAGTCTGCGTCCAGGCGCACGAGCACGGGGTCGCTCAGACCGGCGCGGGCAAATTCGACAAGTGATTTCGGGAGCGTGGCGGAGAATAGGAGGGTTTGGCGGGATGCAGGTAAGCTGGCGAGGATTGACATCAACTGCATCGAAAAACCGAGTTCGAAGAGACTGTAAAGTGTTAGTCTATGTAATGAGTTGAAGAATGATTAGGGTGCTCACCGATCAGCTTCGTCGAAAACAATGTACTCGACAGACTTCAGATCAAGATCCATCTCGACCTTCAAATGCGCAAATCTACCAGGGGTCGCGATGATGATATCCGGATTCGTCATCATCCACCCAAACTGGTCCTCAAGACTATCACCACCGACGAGCAAGATGCACTTCAAATCCGTACCCCTCGAAAACTCCTTGACCACTTTCAGCGTCTGCAGCGCCAATTCTCGACTCGGCGAGAGGACAATCGCCCGCGCGCCAACCTTCGCGCTATGCGCTTTCAGCTTCTCAATCATCGGCAGCACAAACGCCGCCGTCTTGCCTGATCCTGTGCGCGCCATACCAACAACATCGACCCCGTTCAACACCAGCGGAATCGTCTTCCGCTGAATCGGCGTCGGCGTGTTATATCCCTTTCTATGCACGTTCCGCACCAGCTGCTGCGACAGGCCCAGCGCGTTGAATTTTCCCGGATTCAACTTCTTCATCTTGCCGTCCGCGCCCACGCCGCCGTTAACCCCCGCGACAGGCAAGTTTTTAAAAAACTCAGCCTCGTCATCCTCGTCCTCGTCCTCGTCTGATCCAACGGCCGTCAACGCCGGCATTTTCTTTGGCTTTGGTTTCTCTTGTTTCTTCTGCGTCTGCACCACGCTGTTCGATCCCGTGGCTGAGGATGAAGTCGACAACGGCAGGTTCTTCTTGCGGTTCGTAATTTGAACGTCGTCGAAAACGCTGTCGTCGTCAGACGAGTCGCCGCCCGCGGCAGCCGCGTCGTTGAACGACGCGATCGCGTTCGAGATGTCGTATTCAGACTCGCTGTCTGACATTTTGGGTGGATATGTACAGATGAAAGAGAGAGAGGAGGACAATATTTTTTCAGAAGGAAGTTGGGAGCAAGAAAAAAATCAAAGGAAAACTCCCAACTGCAGAACCTAAAAATTCGCGAAATTCAATTCACCGACAATTTTGTGTAAATATTCACAGAATTTCCTATTAAAACTACTGATTATTCAACTATAAACAATAAACTTGTAAAGAAAACACACAATAATATATTACAGACAAACAAAAACTCCATCCAGACTTTTACTTTACTTTACTTTCCTTTACTTTGCACCCTCCTCAACTCAGCTTCCAACTCCTCGACCCGAGCAGCATACCCCTTCTTTGCGTTCTCGCTCTCGAGCTCAGAAGCCTTCACCCGCATCTCCAACTTTGCAACCTGCAGCTTCAAAAACGATTTCTCCTCGTTCTCCATCGACAATGTCCCCTGATCCGCGCCCCGCGCGTGTTTCTCAAACAAACGCGCCCGGAGCTCAGAGTACTTCTCCCGCAACTCGACAGCTTCGCCAACCATCGCCGTCGCCTTTGCCAAGCTGCGATTCAACCGCTCGATCTCAGCCTCTTTATCCAAAAAGTCCTTCTTGAGCATCTCGACCTCGCGTCTAGAAGCGTCGAGCGCGCCCCGCACCGTTTCCTCTTCGGACCGCCAGATCTCCCGTTCCGCGCGCAAATCGCGGTTCTTTTGCAGCAGCTGGTTCGCGTACTTTGCGCGGTCGGTCGCGATGTTGGTCAGGTTTGCGTGCTGCTTCTTGGCGTCGTTCTGTAGTCGCTGCAGCTTGACATGCAGGGAATTGTTGGAGAGGATAAGGCCTTGGATACTCGCGTCGTCTCTCTGGAGCTCAGAGTACTGCTCTTTCAGACGCCGCAGGTTTCGCAGACGTAGTTGCTTCAGGTATCGTTCAAAGTTAAGCTCGTTGCGCAAGGTCAGCAGCTGCTTCTGGAAATACGCAGTCACGAATTTCGCCTCGTCGCTATTCTCCGACCCCTCTCCGCCGACTCTGGGAATGCCTCCTCCACCAAACCCTCCAGAGCCAGTGGTGATACTGTGCGAAAGCTGCATGTATCCAGACGGACTGTCGCGGATCTGCAGTGACAGGTTGGAAACAGTACCAGACGGCGTGCCAGGCGCATCACTCGCAGCCGAAGCTTTCGGCGACAACGCACTACTCTGCGCCGCCAGAAAAGACGACGTCTCCTCGCGGCTCGCGACAGGCGAAATCGAAGTCGCTGGTGGATCGGCACTGCTCACTCTCGTCAACGGCGACGGGAAATTAACCGATCCGTCTTCCGATCCGTGCCGCGAAATCGCCCGGCTGTTGATGTCTTTATGGCTGTCGAGGATGGACTCGATATCAACTATCCGTCTGTGCTGCATCTGCGATGCCGTCGTCGACACGTCGCCTGACGCGCTCATCGACGAGACCGAGCCGGGGTTTGATTTGAACGTGCTGATTCCTTCAGGTACAGCGCCAGCTCCGACCGAGCCGTGCTCTGAGGATTTAGCAGACGCGCGTTGTCCGCTCACCACGGCTGCCGTATCGCCTCCCGCGGCAAACAGAAAGCTGTCTTCCGGGATATCATCAAGACTGAGATCATTAAACGATCCCACCTCTGCCGTATCCACCGCAGCATCCTCACCAGGAGCAGCATTTTCGACTGGCTGCTGCAGCTCTTTACCGCCATCAAACGACTGGTTGAACGCCCGCTCAGCCTGATCATGAAACCCGCGGAAAATCACCGCCGGCTCGGGAATCTCCGGCATCTCCATGTTGCCGGTATCCAGAGTGATACAAAACGCAGCGATATCCTCCGCAGTACCGGCTACCTCCCAGCGGTTTTTGTCTGTGAGTTCGGTCTCGAACGTGTATCGGAAGAAATTGGGGTGCAGCAGATGCCGCCGTGATAAGTGCTGCGATCGGCGCGAGATGTCGTCGATGTCAAAGTCGATGTGTTTGCTCATCGTGGCTTGGACCATGTGGAAATACCGGCGGGGGTTGGTGATAAATGTGAGGAAGTGGATGGGGTATGTGCCGTAGATGAACGTGTACAGACGGCTGTAGTTTACTGCTGAAGAGTCCCGGCCTGCTCCGGCTGGGTCGTCCACTGCTCCTTCTATACAGAGTTAGATGAACAATCTGAAATTAATAGTTAAGATAGTGCTTACCTAGTACCCTCCACTCGTCTGTAGTAGAGGTTGAAGTGTCGCCCAGAGAAATCGTACCAACGTTGTTGTCCTGTGGTTCGCTGTTATAGTACACTCCGCCGTACGCGATATTACCCCGGCCGCTGCTATTCACCTGCTCATCCACTTTCGAAGACGCACCCTCATCCGACTCTTCCGAGTAGTTCTTTCTAAACAAGACATCCCAGTATAGCAGCCTGGCGTAGATTGAGAATATCTTTGGCAAGATAGACCCCATGATGCTGCATATATGCGGCAGCAGCATGACAAAGGCGGTAGAAGCAAGGTTCATTGCAACCGCCGATTTGTCATGCAGCAGACACTGATAGAGATGCTCGACCAGTTGGGAATCATGAGTCTCAAACAGGTACGGCGGCTGAGCTTGCAGAAAGCTGCAGAGTAGGCTGAGGACGGAGATGCGGTGTTCGGGTTGGATAAAGTAGGAGTCTAGAACTGTGAAGAGAGCTTTTGGCCGGCGGCTGCCAAATCTTCGAAGCTCGCGCTCGGCGTTTTGCACGCACTGGAAGGCGCGCTCGCGGTTGTCTTGGTCGTCTTCGGCGGCGTCAAGACCAGGAAGTTTCTTGATACCGAGGAAGATTTGCAGGAGAGAGTCTGCGACCGAGGTCGAGAGTTCTTCGTAGTACTCTGCAGGAAAGACCGCGCCGTAGGGGTTGTAGACGTCAAAGACCATGACATTGAACAGAAACTGTCTCGAGTCCTCGACGATGACTCGCGATCTGGAGTCGGAGTCAAGAGCGAGGATCATCATCTGCTGGATCCAATACTGCGTCTTTTCCTTGCTCGCCATAAGCACGGGCGTGACTTGCTGCAAGACCTGCACAAACATGGCTTCGGCGACGGTATCAGCCTCGGCGACGCGCGTGTTGAAGATGAGCGCGAGATCATCGTGCAGTCTGAGGGCGTCGTTGGGGTCGCCGTGTTCGTGCTTGGAAAAGTATTGGGTGAGCGCGGCGGAGATCGACTCGGGCAGCTCAGGGCGGTCGACGCAGAGAGCGGAGAGGTTTTTGCTCGCAAAAGCTGCCGAGATGGCTTTTGAGAGCTCGCGCAGCGATCTGGATGCTGTTAGTGGAGGTGTATTGAGAGAAAGAGAAGCAGAGGTGGAGAGGAGAGGAGGACTCACCCGGACATGCAGGAAGATGGTGATGGTTATACACAGCCGGAAGAGAGGAGAGCAGGAGTGCGGCAAAGACTTGCTTGCTTCGAGGGGAAGAGGTTGAAACAGGCTGCTCGCTGATGGGCTGAGATGGTAGAGCAGCACTTAGACCGACATGATTCAACCGCAGAGAAGAGTGGATAGAGAAGAGCAATACAATACAGAATACAATACAGCAGAACAACACTCTCTTCAACAAACAAAGCAGCTCCAACTATTCCAAGAAGTCTCCTCGATCTCTGCTCTGCGAGTGTGAAGTGGCCGCCGACGAGACAAAATTTCTTTTGAGCAATTGATGACATAATCAATGACATAAACAATGAGAGCCGCACGGGGCGGACATGGCCGACTATATTTGGCGATAAAAGACCCGATCGGGAAATCTGATTGTGTTTGCTGGCTTTGTTTCGGCTTCTTTGGCGGTTTTCGTGTTTGGATTCGGGGATATTGGATGTGTTGGCAGGTGTTTAGTGTGGGTGCGGTTGGAGAGTAGGGAGAGAGGATAGTACTGTGATAAGGATAAGATAACAGTCTACAGTTATCAAACTACTATTATTCATATTCATATTCATATTCATAATAACAATAACAATAACAATAACAATAACATCCTATTCCTTCCTAAACTACTCTGCTCCTCTGCTGTCTGCTCTCTTTAATCATCGCTGACTTTGTAGGGTTTCTACTCCCAATCCAGCCTCTTCACAACAAATCCACCACCTTCTCCTCCCCAAAACCATTGACCGCCATGCAACGCCTCTCCGCAAATCTACTGAAACTCCGCACCTTCTGCAAACCGTCCTGCAGCAGACCTTCTTTTTCTCCTTCCTACTTCCAGAGTATACGCACGCAGATCTCCCGGGATCGGCCGCTCTCGTTTTCATCCTCTGCTCACCAGACAGCCAACCGACGAACCTACGCCACCTACCGCCGCTTCGGAAACCAGCACCACTCATCCTTCTCCAGCCATGAAGGATTCGTCAGTAACCTCGGCGCGCTCGTCGGCATGCTCATGTATAACCGCCGCGTGCAGGTCGCCGCCCTCGTCCTCGGCGGCGGCACATTCATCTTCTACCTCAGCAACGTCGAACCTGCCCCCGTCAGCGGTCGCAGACGGTTCATCGTCACGACCCCGAAACTAGAGCAGATGCTCGGCGACTCGCAGTATCACAGCTTACTTGCTGAGTACCGAGGCCGCGTATACCCCGACAACCACCCCGACGTCATCCGCGTCAAAAGAGTGATGAAGCGTTTGATCGCCGTCTCGGGCATGGAAGACGTAGACTGGCAAGTCCATGTCATTGTCGATCCCAGCGTCGGTCCGAACGCGATGGTCCTTCCTGGAGGTAAAGTCTTTGTCTTTGCAAGCATGCTCAACCTCGTCTCAAACGACGACCAACTCGCCACCGTGCTCTCCCACGAAACCGCGCACCAGCTCGCCCGACACACCGGCGAGAAACTCTCCAAGCAACCGTTCTACTCCGTCATCGCCCTCACCGCATGGCTCATCACGGGCTCTTCCACAATCGCCCAGCTGCTCATCCAGTTCGCGCTCAATCTTCCCGCAAGCAGACAGATGGAGTCAGAGGCTGACTACATCGGACTCTTGATGATGAGCCAGGCATGCTACGATCCTCGACAGGCAATCCCGTTCTGGCAAAAGATGGAGAAGTTGGGTCTTGCGAGGCCAATGGAGTTTATGTCTGATCATCCTTCTGATCAGACCCGTATAGCCCAAATCACCCAATGGATGCCAAAAGTGAGTCCTCTCCTCCTCCTCCTCATCATCATCACCACCTACTAACACAGCGCAGGCCCTTGAAATCCGTGAAAACTCAAAGTGCAGAAACACGCAGTCCTACATGAACGAATTGCGCGACTCGCTCAGCTTTTTCCAGGGTATCAGAGACTCTGACTCTATATTCTGACCTACCTGTAGATATAACTGTATATAGTCCTTATAGAATAGATTCATACTAGCGCTACATCACAGGATATTTATATACCAATCTTTCGCTCTTGCAACCTGTTTCCGTTATATCTCCCAACCAAAGCACAAAATAAAAATTAAAAAAAAGCAGCACAAAAAAGCACAGAGTATTCAGTGCTTAGCCTTGGGAATCTTCGCGACAACCTTTGAAATCGCAGCCTTGACAACCAGCGCCGCCTTCTCCGTCTCCTTCTTATTCAACCCAGTCGTAACCTGCACCTTCAAACTCGGCAGAATCGGGAAGTTCTCCGCGCTCTGCACGTACTTGTTGCGCGTAATCAGCACCCCGTTGTATAAGCACTCGTCCACAATGTCCTGCAGCACGTGGTCTTCGTCATCGATCTTGCGCGTCTCGAGAATCTCCGATTTCAGGCGCAGATGGATCAGCGGACTGTCCGGGTCAGACGGCGAGTACACGTACTGCGACTTGCTGATAATCTCTCTAAACGCGCGCGCATTCGCATTCAACTGCGAAAACAGCTCGGGCGAAGTAGTCATGATCGCCACAGCGTTCGACGCAGTCTTTGCCAGGTACCCCGGCAACGCGGCCGAAAACACGTACCCAAGCGCGTTGATGCGCTGGTGCTTGACCGCGTACTCCGAGCTCACGCAGAATCCGCCCCCGGCAACCATCGTGTTCGCCATCGAGCCCGAGATTATATCAATCTCGGTCGCGTCCACGCCGTAGTACTCCGCCACGCCGCGCCCGGTCTTGCCAATCACACCGACCGAGAAACTCTCCTCGAGAATCAGCCGGTACTTGTACTTATCCTTCAACTCGAGGATCTTGGGCAGATTGCAGATGTCGCCAATGTTCTCAAACAAGCCCTCGGAGACGACAAACCGGCGCGTCAACGGCCGGCCCTTGACCTCCTTACTAACCCGCTCGAGCACGCGCTCGAGGTCTTCCATGTTATTGTGCTCATACCACCGCACGGTCGCGCGCGAAATCGTGATGCCCTTGCAAACCGCGATATTACACGCTGCGTCGGCGACAATGATATCTCCGCGCTTGGCAAACGCAGGAATGACAGACGAGATCGTGTTGAACGCCTGCGCGTAGATAATCGCCGCCGGCATGCCGAGGAATGCGGCGATGTCTTTCTCCGCGTTGATGTGTACCCGCTGGTATCCATAGAACCCAGGAGGGCCACAGACGCCGACGCCGTACTCGTGCACGGTGTTGATGGCGTCCTGCTTGATTTGCTCGTTGCTGACCAGGTTGAGCATGTTGGCGGACGCGAGGTTCATGGCGGATTTGCCGGTCGCGAGCTTGACCTTCGGGCCGGTGGCACTGCAACCTGTTAGATTTGAACTATAAACAGTAGAATAGAGAAAAGAGCGTACCCAACAATCACGGGAATCTTGTCGACGTCGGTCTGCGAGGCCTCGTCCATGGCAGGGACAAGGGGCTCAGGCGTCCATTCATCCACCAACTCGTCAATTTCCTACATCACGAGAACAAAGTCAGCAAATACTCCAGGAATAACTTCCTAAATTCTGCGCTATCGCATGCAACAACACAGCTGATATAAAAAAGACACATACCCCATCCGTAAGCCTAACAAAGTCCTTCTTCGTAACCGAGTACTTGGACGCCAAAAAGTACCGCACCGCAAACAAAAACAAGCAGAACTCAAGCACACTCCGCGCAGGGTCGTTCTGGTACGATGACCGCACGTAGCGCAGGATGATCGAAGACCCCGGCAGGCGCGTGAACTGTGAGGATATCGACTCGACCGTCGAGTTTATGTAGATAAGTGTGTCGTGGAGAGACATGGTGACGACGGCAATTGCGCGACGACTGAGAATATGAGATAATTGTCAGTTCTGTCTGTGTATATAACAACAATATGCTGTTACTGCTATTGCTTTTGCTGTTATTGTTGTGTTGTTGTGTTTCGCGTGTTGCTGAGCCGATAAAACCGCTCGCTGCGCGCCACTGCGACCAAAACCCGCCTCCGAATCCGGCCGCCCCAGTTTAACCTACAAAAACGGGCGCGATCACACCCGCCTCCACACCCCAGCTTCCTGTACGTTCAATCCCAGTTTTACTATCTTACTACCTGCTACTCATCTTAACTACACACATCAAATATCAAACCCGCAGTGCTCGTTCTCAAACTCGTTCTCGCAGCTCGCGCAGTACTCCCGAACAACCCTCTCCCACTCCGTAGCATTACTCGCATAGTCCGCCGCCACTCCAACAAGCGAACTGATCAAATCCTCCCTCTGCGCAACTCCCCCTTCTCTCGACGCAAGCACGTCCTCGCACTTCAACCGCTGCGCGTGCAGCCAGTTTCCCCACTCCGCGCGCACGAGCTCTTTCTCGACTCGCGAAATCACGCGGATCGCGACGACGTGCTGATGTCGCTCGATTCCGGCTTTCTGCCGCGCGAGCCAGATCCGTCGCGCAGCGTCTTGCGTCACGCTGTCGGTGTAGACCGCGTTCGACAGCTCGATCGGTGACTCTGGCGTTAGAATCTCCGACAGCTCGCGGAACTTTGAGTAGCTGCAAAATGAACCATTAGCATCCCACAGGTTTAGATAGACGGAGGAAGTAACTTACCAAACCCCATCAGGCTCCTTCGCCAACTCCTTCCCTGCAACAAGGTAGTCCTGCAAATCCTTCAGATACACCGCCTTTGCCAAGATCCCATTCGGCTTCACTCCGATCTGACTCATCGTATCAAACGCTCGCTTCTCTGTGAAATACGACACCGTCGACCGTGTGCCCAGGAAAAGATTGAGCAGCAGCGAGGATACCGCCACGACAACCAAAAACCAGTGCTCGGTTATCAGTCCGAGCAGTTGCTGGCCGGACCGGAGTAGAATCGTGAGTAACAACGCCACAGCTTTCTCAAGCCAGAGAAATAATTCTTCCAAAAGCAAGAATCCCGACGTCCGTCGCGAAAAGAATAAAATCATCTGCTGCTTGTTCTGAAGCTGCATTATCTTTGACTCCTTCGACACGTCAACCGGCTTCGACGATTTGCCGACTTGGCCGTATAGCTGGATCGATTTACTCGTCCGTCCCTTTGTCCCGAGCTGCCGCACGTTCTTCGTCACTAGCATGTTGATCACCTTTGCGTCTTGCTCCAAGTCCGAGATTGCCGCCCGGTGCGCAATCGCTATACCACAATGTTAGTAAACCTGCGCATACCAAAATAGAATAGAAGTCAATTCACTCACTCTTGACTAGTGAGCTAAGAGTGTTGTACTCGACAGCACCCCATATCGAAAGCTGACAACTGCTCTTTGAAACATAACTAATCACAAACTGCGTCGTTTGCGAAAACAGCTCCGCCATCGGCAAATTCCACGGCGTCCGCCGGTCAGACACAACATACAGCAGGTAATCATCCATCTTCTCCACCTTTTGCGAACACACTATGCTCTGCCGCTTCGAGTAGCCCCTGATCACCGTCCGCTCGACTTCGAACTTGATCTCCCGGTCGAGGTTCGTCCCGCCGAGATTGATCCACGGACTCTGCTTGATGTCGATCGCGCCGCTGCTCACAAAGAACTGCACAAACAGCGTCGACATGTCGCCAAACATCAAATGGAACAACGCCTTCGCCGAAAGCTCAAACTTTCGCTGGAAAATCAACTTGTCCATCGTATTCGACAGATCGTACTCGATCGCCTTCTCCGGCAACCGCAGTTTCGGCTTCACCGATCGATCCGGAAGCTGCCGCGCGGGCGACAGCAGTCGCCGGTCCAGCGCAAGATTCGCCGTCGCCTTCACCACCGCCGTATTATCCATCGGATCCGCGTTCTCGTCCTCCGCCAGCGGACTCGGCACCTCGTCCCAGTTCACGTCCGTGGTCTGGTTATCGAGCTCGAGAAGGTGCTTCAGGATCTCTTCCACTCCAAGCGGCTTCGCGCTGTTGTAGTTCTCAATCAGGAACGACATCCGTCGCTGGATAATCCGGCCCGAGTCTAGATACGTCTTTGTAGACATCTCGCTGCCGTCCTTAAAGTCGACAAAGAACGCGTCATAGAATTGGTTCGACTCGCCGCGGACAGAAGCAATATCGCCCAGCGATCGGAACCGCGCAGTCACCATGTCGCCGTTGTTTGCATACAGGTAAATCCTCTTCTGCGTGACGTACGCGCGGCCGGAAAACACCTGCATCGTCGACCCTGACCACACCGTTCGAAACACGAGCACAACATTCTCGTCCAGTCCAACATTGGGGAAAATCGTCCGCAGCTGCGCATCCTGGACTCGTAGCTCGTAGGGGATATAGCTCTGGTAAGTACGGTTTTGATACAGCTCGCGTTCGTTGGCGGCCGAGTTTCCGTCCTCGCTTGGAGGCGGCTCAATCACGACAACCGGAACATGAGAGGAATCTCCATTAGCAGCGTCCTGAAGATGTTTGCGTTCTTCCTCCTGCTCCTCAGCCAACTGCCGTACTCCCCAATTCACACTACCCCACGTATTCGCCGTCAAACTGTTTGGGAACGAGAAAGGCGGCACTGACGCGTGCGCGACGATCGCCGTCTTTGTCATCGACGTCGCAATCGGATTGTTTGCAAGCGTAGTCGGCGCAAGATCCGTCGACGGAGGCACAATCTCGTCAAACAGCCGGTCGGCACCAGTGATGAAATTCTGGATCGCCGTGTGCTGACCCGTGATGGCCTGGCCGGCATTGATGAGCGCCTGCAGAGCCGGCGTGGGCGGGTTCGAGCGCTTCGATGAGGGTTGACGGCTGAAATCCTGCGAGGTGCGGTTGAGCGAGGGAATACCCTCGTGACGATCATGCGTCAGCTCAGCGTCGGCAGAAGTCTGCACGGTCGACGCAAACTCGGGAAAGGGCGAGATAATCTCAAACGCCTTGTCGGTGTCGTTGTTATTGGGCGAGTCCAGAGCCTTGCGCTTGGCGGCGTCAAAGATGTTGAGCCATGCTACTAGATCGCTCTGGCTCTCGGCTTGCAGCATAAGCGACGTGTCCTTCGTCGTCACTTCGAAGCAGAACCGGCGATCCTCAGCCGTAGACGGCTTCACGTTACACAACAGCACACCGACCTTATCACTCTCCTCGACATAACTCTTGCTGGGAGACTGCACAAGCCAGCCAAAGATACCGTCCTTGACAAACACCCACCGACGGACCCAGGCCTGTCTTGCCGGTTTGCCGACATATGTGCGGAGAAACAACCAGCCGTGCTTTTCAGAGTTGATCGACTGCGGATCAATCACCGAAGCGTGCTGCGTGGTCGACGTGACGGTCTGCGGTTGCGTCGGGCTGGAAATCACGGGACTCGCAGGTAGCGAGCCCGAGTGCTGCTGCTGCTGGGCAGATTTGTGCGAGCGGTCGCTGAGGTTCGGGACGGTCCAGTTCGAGTACTCCGCCAGGTCTCTAGGCGGGGAGATCTCGTTCATGATCAGGCTTTCGAGGTCCCGACGGGTAATGTTTAGTTCTTTGAAAAGAATCTTCATCGATGATTCCATGAGATCGCTCCATTTCCTGATCCGCCGCAGATCGTCGCCGACTTTGCCGTACGCGGCGTCTGTGCCCTCGTTTGTGTCGTGGCCCATGATAAGCCACTGGTCGGAGAAGGACGAGATGATGACTCGGTCGAGGCCGTGCTTGAGCGCGACGGTGATGAGACAGAGGTCGAAAGAGACCTTGACGTAGAGCTTGCGGGCTTCGTAGAGTTGGAAGGCGTCCTCGCGCAGGGACGACGGCTCTTTTGTTCTTGCCTGGGAGTTGTATTTGGCGACGAGCGAGTCGTACCGCTGCTGGGCTATGTCGAAGTTGCGCTTGATGTCCTGGGGTGTGTTGAGTTAGCATTGATGCACAGAAATCAAATGACCTTGAGCACTCACCTTATACTGACGCAGCTCTTTGCGATGGAGACCGTCCAGCTGCTCAATTACGTTCTTCTCCATGCCCTTGATGATCTTGATAAAGTTCGCCCAAAAAATACGCAGTCCCTCCGAGTACGACTTCATCGCGGTCAGCGTGTAATCATGGTCGATGATGTTCTCGGTGATGAATGTAGGAAACGATCGTCCGAGAAGCATGTTGACCGATTCCTGCATATTGTCGGCGTCGATGCTCAGCCGGTGCCCGGCCTTCACGTACTGATCGATCCAGCGCTCGACCGCCTCGACCTGCTCGCTGATGTGCCATGAAGCAGTCCGGAACGAGGGACTGTCGAGCGCGGCCTCTTTGAGCGAGACCGGGATGAGACGCACCCTGAACGGATCCGAGTCTGCGTTCATCTGTGCGGTCAAATAGCTGAAGAATGCGGTGTAGAATGAAACAAACCCTTCTGATCGGATTCCGAGAATATCTTTCTTCTAAACTCCTTGAATCAATCGTGAATTGAAGTAAAGAAGCAGGAAACAGAAGCAGCTCGTCGAGGCTGGCTGCCTGCTGCGGCTGCGGCTTTCACCATGACGCTCTGATGAGTAATTACTTACGTTACTCTTACTATATCAGTTATGTAATGTTGATTTACCCGGCGCAGAGAACCTCACGCGTGCTGTTGCTCATCTACACGAAAACGCGTCGCGTAACTGCTCCTTTCCTTATCCATCAGCTCAACAACAACAACAGCAGCAGCCCAGATGTCAAACTACAACTCATACGGCGGCGGAGACAGTTATGGCGGATACGGAGGCGGCGGATATGGCGGCGGCTCCGACGGCGGCGGGGGATACATGAACGGCAACTCGTTTGGTGGTGGCGAGGGCAATGGGGAGACAAAGTATTCTTCTCAGGGCGGTGATCACGGTGTATGTATCTACTGTGTTGTGTATATTTTGAAGAGCTTGATGGTCTAATGATTGTCTTTTTGATAGCTTCCGGAAGGAAAGACGCGGTTGCGGCCAGTTACCATGAAGCAGATCCTCGAGGCCAATCAAGCGCACGCCGACGCGCCCTACCTCATCGACGGCGTCGAAGTTGTCAACGTAAGTCTCCTTTATCCATTTTTCTGTTGTGGTTCTTTTGCTGACAGCAGCAGGTCTCCGCGGTTGGAATCGTGCGAAACGTCACTCATGCGACTACCAACTCGACGTACCGAATCGAAGATAGCACCGGCATGGTCGACGTGCGCAAGATCAACACTCCCGATGAACGCGACGCCGAACGAACAGATCCATTGTACGTCTTCTCTCTCTCTCTTGTTACTAATCCTTTTGCTGATCTGAATACAGCCCCCAAGTAGGCGACTACGTCCGCATACTCGGCGAACTCAACGACTTCAACGACAAGCGCTACGTGATCCTCCGCCACATCCGTCCCGCCCGCGGCCTCGACGAGATAACCTACTCGATGCTCGAACCCCTCTACGTGCACATGCAGACCGTCAACCCCTCCTCCCTCGGTCCCAAGCTCGAGAACGGCGGCTCCGGCAGCGGCGCCGCTGCGGCCGCCGCCGGCGGGAACTCGTACGAGTACGAGAATCTGACGCCGATCCAGAGACGCGTGGTCGAGACGTTGAAGAGTATGGCGGATCAGGATATGAACGAGGGCACGCATGTGCAGACGATTGCGAGCCGGACAAATATGTCGAAGGACGCTGTGGCCTCTGCGTGTGAGCAGTTGGCGGATCTGGGTCTTGCTTACACCACTGTCGATTACGATCACGTATGTTTTCTCGTTCTATCTTATAGTGGAAAGACATTGCTAACCTCTTTATAGTACAAATTAATCTAAACCGGGCAGGTGTCTATGATAGCTATGATACGTGAAGATATTCGACAACTATTTTACATCAAGAAACTCACATCTAAATACGTACATCAACCTCACCCACCTAAATCACACTAAAAACACATAAATCACAATTATCATGCTAGTACTCGTTATACACAAAAAATACCATGCCGCGGAGATTACATACAGAAGACTCATAGAAAAAAAGACTACTTGAAAAACCGCCCGATCTTACTCCCCTTCTTCTTCTTCGTATCAATCGCGTCAAAATGTCCCGGCGGATTCCCGCTCTTATGCTGATGGTGCTCGGGATTCCTCGACAGCTTATGCGGTGCCGTAGCCGGCACATGCGCCGCCGGAGACGACGCCGCCGCCTGCGCGGACGGCTTGCTGCTCTTGCCCGCGGCAGCGGTCGAGCCGATATGTGTCGCTGGTGGCGGATCGGGCTCGAGCAGGTGAGCCGGCACCTTGGGCTCCGGTTTGTCGGCCGCGAGCTTGAGCACCTCGCGCGGCAGCCGCAGCCGGTACAGTTGTCGAAGCCATTCAGCCGGCGTGAGAAAGTCTTCTGCGCCGATGATTACCTCTTTCCCGTGTGCTTCTGAAATCTCGTACGCGACCCGCGCTTCCGCGTACGTGATTCCGCCGGCGACAAAGATGAAAATGCGCTGCGCCGGCGGCGCACGGTGGGATGAAGGGCCGTCGTGCCATGTGGCTTTGTTGCGTCGGGTGGTGCTGGTAGTAGATGTGTTGCTGGTCGGCACCGGGGTTATGCTCTCGAACGCGGTCTCGGGCTGGTCTTTGGAGTAGGGAAAAGTTTGCAGGTCAAGCGAGTTGTTCACCACGTCTTGCAAAATCTCTTTCAGCGGCGACACGTACCGAGAGATCTCGACCGTCTCTCCTTCCTTGAGCTCTCGGGGCGGCGGCAGTTTCGTCTTTGGCGGCCGCGCCTTTTCACGCAGCGACTCTTTGAAGATTTTTGCGCCTAGCAGATCCATATTCCGCAGCACCTGCATGTCTGGCGTATTCAGTTTCGCATGATGACTCAGTTTCTGGAAATCCGCCTCAATGATTCCTTCCCGGAACAGCAAATACAGGCCTAAGAGCCTGATGCGGTCTCGCGGCGACACCTTGTCGTTGTCGAGCAGCGGAACCATGTCCTGCAAAACGTGTTTGGGGAACTTTCCTTCCTCCGTCGTGCCGGTCGCGAGACTTTGCTCGACGTCGACGATCGTGTCGACGCCGGTTTTGTGGAAAAGCTCGGTGATGGTCTCGGTCATGTTGCTATGCAGACTCAGCCGGTCTTTTTCTTTTGTCACAACCTTCATCGTCAACATCACGTCTTTGAGCTGCGACATGCTCGCTTGGTCACTGAACAATCATATTAGCATTCGACTCAGACTTAATCTTGAGCAGATCTCTTACATATTGGCAAAGCTAGAGTTGTTTTTCATAAACTCCTGCACAAGATTGTAAACCCCCTCGATCGCATCGGCAATGTACTTGTGCCGCAGCGTCACCCAAATCGGGTCTTCGTCCGTCAACACCCCTTCGACCACATCCTGCTCAGCACCAGGCGGTGCGGGAGTACCTGGCGCACCCCCGTTATCTTTATGAGGCACCTCGAACGAGTACTTGTCGTCGTCGATAGTCAGTAAATCCCGCGCCATGGTCTCGTACGTGAGCTCGTGCACGAACGGGCCTTTGGTATCGATCGAGCGGTCGAGGATCAGAAACACCGATTGCGGCCGGTCGGGCTCGGTCGAGGGGAAGTTGCGGTTCGCGCGCGCGTACTGATCGAGTTCTTTCTGGAAGCGCGAGGCAACCATGTATGGAAGTGCTGCGGCCTCGTGGCGGGGTTCGAGAGGGTTGTAAAATCGGATGATGGGGTATTCGCCTAGAGTTGCGCAAAGACTCACCAGCTGGAAGATGTTAGCTGATGCTGTATATATATATATATAGAGAGAGAAGCATACCCTTCGCGAGGTTCGAGTGACCTCTTTCTCCACCAAATTGTAGCAGTCGCGATTGTAGTAAGTGACCATCGCGTCAGGTTCGCCAAAGGTATAAACCTGCGACTGCTGGGGCATGTAGTCGATTAACAGGGGGTTGCAGTAGCCGCCCATAAATCGTGCTGCGGGTGAATCATATAATCTCCGCTGCTCCCGTTCGCCGAGCACTAAAAGTAAAAGTTAGACGAATTGCGATTTCTGACAACGATAGTAGTGTCGAAAGACGTACTTGGAACGAAAAACACATGAGCAGCGCCGTATCGCGGTGGTGTTCGGGAGTAATCTGAGATGAGACAGTCGACTATGTGCGGTCTCGGAGAGAGAATGTAGACGGCCTCGAACGAGCCCCTGCTCTGGCGCCGTTCTTCGATTCGTTCGACAGCTGGGAGATGGGGAGGTTAGTATGGTGTAGGAGTAGATAAGGTGAGCGGTGGGATCAGCGTACCGGAGACATTGTGTTTTAGGAGTTCGAGGTTTGTGGCGACTTTGTTGATGAGTTCTGCGGTGTAGTCGTCGAGCACGAGATATTTGTACTAAACAGAAGAAACAGATAGAAGTTGAGTAAGATGATAAACAAAGGCGAAGAAGGGCGAGAATGTGCAATTAAGGTAATAGCGTACGTTATTGCGCACGACGATAGAGTCAAGAAGCCCGAATATTTCTGATCAGAAGAGGGAACAGTCAGTTCACGTCCACTAAATACAAGCAAATACACAAACCACAGTAAAACATACGCTCACGATACCGGTCGATCAGCGAAATCGGCATCTTGACGGAATCCGTAGTCTCCGTGCGCTGCTGCTGCTGCCTGCGTGCTGCCTTCGAGCCTTGCTGCCTGCCACTACTCGGACCAGCACGGATGAATTACAACCAGACTCCACGCTGATCAAAGATGCGAGTCGTAGTCGTGAGATTAAAAGATCAATGGGGATGCGGGCGTGGTTGGCGTCGTCGGATGGGGGGTGGTGGCTCGAGATTGTGCTGGGAGAGAGGGAAGTTGGCGAGTAAGCTTCGGCTGAGCTCAGACGGTGAACGTGGAAAGCAGTTCCGAACCGAGCGATTATGTTCAGCTGTTCAGAGGTTCTGTGGTTGGTATAGATACAACGAATATTTGATAAAAATTACTGATTTTTAAGATAGCAATTAGTCTCTGATTTTGTTGATAAGTGTGGTCGATGAGTGGATGATCTTGCTATTATCTGAACATTTCTATTTATTTCAGCCACTTGATCCGTAAATACCTCTTTACTGTCGAGGTCTGATACAAACCAGCATTCAGAGCAGCTGGATAAAAAGAACTACTAATTGTATAATACAATTCTATTTATCACAAATACATCTAATCGTCTGACTATAAAACTCTACCTCCCTTTTACACCTCCATCACTCCGACTTGAGCGGCACAAGCAACTCATTCACGCGATTCAGCATCTCAAACCTCTGCATCGCGCTCAAATGCGGAATCGCAATCACAGCCGACACGTAATCGTCCACATGCTCATCCCACGGCGAAGATACGTCCTGCGCTTCCGTGTCGGCTTTGCAGCATTCGGGAATGATGTACTGATGCGCTGATTTCGGCGACCGCGTGTGGTCGGCTGGCGTGGGCGGGGTGCTTGATTCCGGGGGGATGATGGAGTGCTTGATTCGGGGGGAGACGACGGAGAGTTTATGATCGGCGGAGACGACAATGACGAGTCGGTCTCTACTATAAACTCCACAGGTAGAGTATAGGTCTCCTGTGAAGGCTCTTTCGGAGACTCTTCCGGCACTGGCGCGCTAACCACAGCCTGAGACGACGACGGCGCAGGAGATGCAGCAGCGAGCGGTTTCTCCGGTGCCAAAGAAGCAGACGAGCGCCAGAAGCGGAACCGAGACGATTTTCTTGTGAAAGCCATTGTTGAAACTATACCGAATGATCTATATCAACAGAAAACAGAAGCAGAGAGGAAGAGAGAGATGGGCGGCATCTTATACTCGGCATCTCTCGTTGTTCTAAATTCGCCGGCGTTTGGTCGTTCAGTCGTTGAGAAGAGCCTCGTGAATATAGTTGTGTCGTTGTTGCTGTAGACAGAAACAGTAGCTGGTATCAGGAACCAAGACGAGGAACAAGGACCAACCGACCATTACGATGATTGAGTTGTATAACCATCTAAACACACAGTATAAAGTAGATACCTAGTACTATAAAGAAGAAAGCAGTCTAAAACGACAAAAATCAGTCGTTTGGATATCACCGACAGCTGGGTGATGAGTGGCATCTGGCACTGATCAAGATTGGTGTTTCGCTCGTTGTATCGCTATGCGCGGGTTGAGAGCAGACCAACAAACTAATCTGACGCCCTTCGCACAACAAGACTTCAAATGATGACAGACAGACTACCCACAGAAGCAAAGAAGAACACAGGCAATCCAAACCGACGCAAACAAGCCAAACAAAGCACAGACGAGACAACACACCCACGACACCTCAGCACGAGCAAACTTCACACGTCAAAAACGTCAAAGCTGGACAAAGCTGGTTGAAAAAAGATGAGCAGAGTTGAACAGGCGGGAATGATATTTAACCTGTCGAGTTATTCGTTTTGACGTGACTTTTCCGAGGGGAGTTGGCTGGAGCTGATGGCTGGAGCTGATGACTGGAGCTGATGGCTGGAGCTGATGGCTGATGGCTGATTGGTACCCGGCTTGGCAGAGGCTTGGTAGCGTAGGAGAGACGGTTCACTGGCTATGCTTTTCTCGCTTTCTGCTGGCTCTTTGCTATCTGTTATGGTTCGTTTGGCTGCTGGTTGTGGTTGTGGGGTGGTTGAGGTGGGTGCTTGTTGATAGTAGAAAGCCTCAGGCTGTGTTCTTGTATCTTGTAGGTCAACGGCAGCAACCTCCGAACGACACCCCCTCCACATTGAATAAAGACAACAAGACTGTTCAAGCTGATGGCATGAAATAAGTTGTCTACAGTTACATACAGAATCTATAAAATAGTTACAACACGTCGAGGAAGATGGAGCAAGACAGTCGAAACCTGTAAACACCTCGTCACTAACTAATCGCATTTCCATACCCACCTCCCTCTCTCCATCCCTCTCTCCATCCCCTCAAACCTCTCTCTCTCCTCTCCCTTTTTCTCTTTTACCACTACCATCATCCTCATCATCTAATCCCCATCTCTCTCTCGCGCTGCTCTCCCTCATCCTCACTTTCAAATCACGTGACCACTGCGGCTCAGCCAAGTCCCAACTCGACGAGCGAGCAAAAAATAATTTTTGTCTCGGCAGCTGAAGAGATGAGCACCGAGAGCCTTGCGAGGACCTGCGTTGTTTGAAGATAATTGATCGACCGAGCTGTTGTCGTGAAGAGACGAGACGAGAGAGTGAAAACGAAAGAGGCTGTTGTGGTTGTGACTGTTTCTCATCAAAGAAAGGAGAAAGAGAAGAAGAGGAGGAAAGATGAGCGGGCTTGTGGGTAGGCGAGTACAAGGCCTGTTTGGCAGCAGCAGGGTTCTGAGACTTCAAGAGTTTGCAGCTCAGAGACGGGTGAATGGTCTGCTACTGCTCCGGGACTTTCACGCGTCGGCGAGTGCGTGTGAGAAAGAGAAAGGGAGTAATGGCAAATCGAAGAAGAACAACGACTATAAAGCAAACAAACAACAAATAGGCGGGAAAAAGACAACTTTTGACAATAATCACCAGAGGAAGAACAAAAAGGACTCATCCGTGTACGAATTTCCGAGCTCGAGCGACAGACCGAGTCAACGATCGCAGGACAGCGCGAGCACGCGCGACAGCGAGAAAGCAAAGACACAGGACGCAGGGCAGACCGACGCGCGCAGGAACGCGGACCGCGAGGCGAAAAGATTGGAACGCAAGAGAAGAAGAGCGGAGCGCGCGACGATAAAATCGGAAGGCGAGACAGCAAGACCGGCGGAGACTTTGAGACTAGACAGCATTCCCAGCGCGTTTTCATACAACTACCTGCGCGGCACGATTATCGCGATCGCCGAGACGCTGAGCAGGGATAAGGCGAAGAATGCGTATATTGATAGAATGAGGATTATACGGCTTAAAGAGAACTCCGGTGAGCAGGTCGATCAAGAGACTCTCGATCAGGATTACGTGCAGTACGACAAGTTGCTGGCCGAGTACACGGCCGTGCTGCGGACGTTGACCGAGGCGGAGTTCAGCGCGGATATACAGCGTGGGTTTGATGAGTACATGTCTACGCGGCCGAAGCGGCCGCATTTAGGGGTGCTTCATCAAGAAAGCAAGGTCGAGCCGCGGTGGAAAGCGATAGGACACGCAAAGACGATGGTGATGAACTGTTTCTTCAACTTCTTTTCCTACCGCATGGTGCAGGCCTTACACAGCGGCCCTGCAGAGGTGGCGAAGGACCGCAAGTCGGCGCCACCCGGGATGCAGCAGGCCGGTGTGCTCGCGAATCTGGAGGAGAAGTACCCCGGCGCGCGGTCGATGAAGCGCAAGTGGATCTTACACGTCGGGCCGACCAACAGCGGCAAGACGTACCAAGCGCTCAAGCGGCTGCAGGAGGCGGAGTCCGGTATCTACGCTGGTCCGCTGCGGTTACTCGCGCGGGAGATCTACGACCGCATGACTGCGAACGGAATCGCGTGCGACCTCGTCACGGGCGAGGACGTGATCCGGACGGAGGACGCGGAGGGCCGGGCGGCGCGGAAGACGTCGTCGACGGTCGAGATGGTGAATCTCGATCGGAAGTTTGACGTGGCGGTTATTGACGAGATCCAGATGATTGCGGACCCGTTCCGGGGCTGGGCGTGGACGAACGCGTTGCTGGGCGTGCGGGCGAAGGAGTTGCATTTATGTGGAGAGGAGCGCACGGTCGAGCTCTTGAAGACGCTGGCGAGGAGCTTGGGCGAGGAGGTGGTGGTCAATCGGTATAAGCGGCTGAGTCCGCTCGAGGTCGAGCAGAAGTCGCTGCAGGGCAAGCTGCAGAAGATCCGTCGGGGCGACGCGTTGATTGCGTTCAGTCGGCGAGTGATTTTCCTCATGCGACGCAGGATCGAGCAGGCGACGGGGTTGAAGTGCGCAGTCATCTACGGCGGTCTGCCGCCGGAGACGCGCGCGCGCCAGGCCCAGCTATTCAACGACCCAAAGTCCGGGGTCGACGTGCTTGTTGCGTCGGACGCGGTGGGCATGGGGTTGAATCTGTCGGTGAAGCGGATCGTGTTTGAGTCGCTGACGAAGTTCGACGGCCTGGAGGACAAGCTGCTTGACCACAACCTGCTGAAGCAGATCGCCGGGCGGGCGGGCCGGTTCCGGACGGCGACCGAGGGCACGAACGTGAAGGACGACGCCGAACGGCTCGGGCTGGTGACGACGCTCGAGCAGGATGATTTCAAGTACATGCAGAAGGCGATGCAGAGCCAGCCGGCGCTGATCCGGTCGGCGGGCGTGCTGCCGCAGACCGCGACGGTGAAGGAGGTCGCGCGCACGTTTCCCGCGTCAACACCGTTTTCCGAGATCCTGGCGCAGTTCTACCACGAGGCGGTGTCGATGGACCGGTACACGCTGTGCTCGCTGCATCCGCAGCAGGACGTGGCGCAGATGATTGAGTCCGTGAGCGGGCTGACGATGAACGAGCGGGTGACGCTGCTGACGGTGCCGGTGAGCATACGGATGAGGAACGCGGCGAAGGTGATGGCTTTTTTCGCGAATGCGATTGCGAACGGCACGCCGATTTCGCTGGTGGATATGCCGTATTTCGAGCTGGATACGATTGTGTACGCGGACGTGACGAAGACGAAGACGTTGCCGGAGCTCGAGCTTATGAATATGTTGACGACCGTCTATCTCTGGCTGTCGTATGTATTCTCTATTCTACTTTCTACTCGACTACGGCTACTAACTTGTGCTTTATAGATATCGTTTTGCAAACGTGTTGTTTGACCGAGAAGGCGCGATGGAATTGGCGAACCATATACAGATGCAAATCGACATGTGCCTGAACACGATCGAATTCCGCCGCCGCCGCCGACGTGCCGACAGCCTCGCGGCTCCCGAAGACGTTGCCATCGCCGTCGGCTCTTTGAAAACTGCGATCGATGGCTTGAAAGGGAAACCAAAGTCGTGGGCAAAGCGGGATACGACGCCGAAGCCCGCTTCTCATTCTGGCGGGGTTGCAGCGGCCGATAGCCAGAGCTAAACAGAGGCGAGAGCAACCGCGCAGGTTCGGTCCGCCGAGCAATCTCGGAGACGTCGTTTCGGAAAACAAAGTTGGCGGTGACGAAATAGTGCATAAGAGAGAGTGCCGGTTCAAGAGCAAACGAAGCGGGAAACGGGCGATGCAGCAAGAGAGAAGGAAAAAGTCAAACCAGGGCAGGGGAACAGAGCGAATTGAATAGAATAAAGTTTTGGTTTTGTTGACAGAGGGCGAGGGAAAAGTCAGGAAAAGTCAGGAAAAGTCAAAAAAAGAGGCGGAGGAGAGGTCAGGTACCGGAGGCGAGTTGACGAGAGAGGAATAGAGTTTTGGGGGAAGGCTGGGCGGGCGGGTCTGCCATCTGGAGATCTGAGATAACAATCGGATGTAAATAGAGATGTAAATAAGAACAGGAACATGAACCGAACAGCAGATGTAGTATAGTATAGATGAACAGACAGACAGAGAGAGCACAAGAGCACAGAGGTAGGACAGAGGAAGGACAGAAGTAGGACAGAGGAAGGACAAGAGAACCCTAGGGCATGCAGATCAATCGTCACGCAGAGAGGCACACGTCACCGGGCGAGATAATATCGACGAAAATGACATTTGAGGGACGCGCAGGAAAAAGAAAGGAGCGGGCCGTGGTTCAGGGCCGAGAAGGCAGGCGCGCTAAGACCATAACGGGAGCGGTTGCGGGGGGGGACTGGTATCGACTGTATCTGCTAGTGGGCTTACGAGAGGTTTAGCAGGACTCGAAAGAGATGAGAGCTGTGATATAGGTTGTATGATATGATATAGAGTATGGTATAAGAGTAATATGATATATAATAGAGTGTTTTCCTGACTTCTCACAAGCGCAGACAGACACAAGCACAGACAAGCCGAGCCAGGAACGAGGCGGAAGCTCAGGTTGGGATGGGCGCAGTTCTCGGCTCGGACCCCGCCAGCAGCCGAGCGGGTTACCGTTTTGGTCGACGCGAAATGAATCTTATCACCGGCTGCAGCAGGTAAACGTTTCTGAACCGGACTACTAGAGATTGTTGACTAGCGGTGGATTCTGGAGAAAATGGTAGAAGAGAAGATGTCATAGACTAGAGCTGTCGAACCGCATTGAAGCTGTTTAAGAACAGGACAGACAAGACAGACAGGGTGGATTGACAGCGACAGGACAGGACAGGACAGCACAGCCCAAGCGATGTCTGTCGTCTGTTCTCTCTTATTCTTTGTCGAGCAGCGAGCACAGTCTCTTGTCGAGACCAGACCAACGTCAGTGACCATCAACAAAGCAGCCAAAGCCTAAAATTATGCTCTATCAGATATCAGTTTTCGGACACCGCGAAGAGATGTGCAAGACCCTTAATATTAAACATCTGCGCCGTGCGCCCCGTTTCTGCTGCCTGGTTCTGGTTCTGTCTCTGGTAGGAGACGGAGGAGGAGAGGTCATTGGCCGTGGCGTGACGAGGGCGACGAGGCACAGGTGGAGGGATGCTTAGGCGGGGATTAGATAAGCGGGGGTCCCCAGGATAAGCGCTCTACTGTGGAGAGGGAGGCGGGGTTATTCCGGGGTACGGGTTCCGATGAGGTGGAAGCGGAAAGAAAGGTTGAGAGAGGGAAGAGTGGTGGGGTAGTTGCTGTGTCTTGACTGTTGATGACTGTGGGTTTATGAGAGTATAGACATAGAGAGAATCAGAGAAAAGACACAAGAGAATAGACAAGAAGACAAGAGAATAGAGAAGAAGTCAAGAGAATAGACAAGAAGACAACGAGGGAAGAGCACGACAGACACCCGAATCAGAGCGGAACAACAATCAGAACAATCAGAACAGACAATCAGAAGCAGAAGCGATATCACTGAGATACTACGACTAGACTGAAGATTGATTGATTTGAGATTGATTGAAGAACAATTACAAGAACAGATTGAGTCGAAGAATAGTCAGAGTGAAGAGCATTGATATGGTATGTATACGGTGTAGTATACTACAGCAGACACACTAACAGTATCAGATGACACAAACTAGACCGGCACTACAGACGACGGCGTCGACTATCCCTCTGGTGAATGAATGTGCGAGGTTAGCGCGGAAGGTGGATGAGTTTCTAGGATCAGCGAGTGGAGAAGGAGATGTGCGGAGTCGGACGATTGAGAGGACGAGGAAGTCGTTGGAGGTTATTAGTGAGGGGTTGAGGAGATATACGTATGTATCAAGTTGAATGATTGGTGATGAGAAGAGAGATTATTGACTAGAAGTATAGATTTGATGAACTTGCGATATCGTTCAATGGAGGAAAGGATTGCCTGGTGATGCTGGTGCTGCTGCTGGCGAGTATACACTACCACAAAGCAGAGTATGCACCCCAGCGGATCCACAGCGTGTACGTGCAATCCGCCAACGCGTTTGAGGAAGTGGATGAGTTTGTGATGGAATGCGGGGAGCAGTACTCGCTCGACCTGATCCGGGTTCCGGGCCCGATGAAGGCCGCGTTTGAGAAGTTTCTGAGCGCGCGCCCGCAGATCAAGGCGATTATGGTCGGAACCCGCCGGACGGATCCGAACGGTGCGGGATTGGGGGATTTCGACGAGACAGATGGGGGATGGCCGCGGTTTATGCGGATCCAGCCGGTGATTGAGTGGCAGTACGAGGAGGTGTGGTTTTTTCTGAGGGAGGTGGGGATCAAGTACTGCGTGCTGTATGACCTGGGGTATACTTCTCTAGGAGGAACTACGGACACGTTCAAGAATCCTGCGCTGAGGGTGGGCGAGGAGTATCTGCCCGCACACGAGCTCGAGGACGGGACGAAGGAGAGGATGGGGAGGGCGTAGGTTAGATAAGCATGACGTAATATATGTTAGTAAAGTGTTTGTCAGCAAGAGAAGGTGAGACAGGGGCAGAACCGGCGGTTGGGTACGGCTGCAGCGGTACTCTGCTGCCCTTTGCTTAAGACTGTAGTGGTGCTATTAGTTGGGTAGATATAGATGAGATATAAGCGATATATCTGTACATAACTAGATATCAGTAGAATAACTAGATATCAGTAGAACAAGTTGATAACTAGATAAGTAGAATAAGCAGATAGACACAACAAAGTACACAATACAGAACCGGAACGGCTGGAGATAAGATCGGCTGGTTGGCGTCCCCACGGCGCTGTCAAACCTGTCGCAACCAGAACTTGAACCGAGCTGCCGGTGCGCTGGGGTTCGAACCGGATGGTGCCTGAGAGGGTACCTGAGACTTCAGAGAAGTAATGGGAGGCGTGTAAGTAAAATAAGAGAGTAAAAAGTGGATGAGTAGAATGAGCAGAGTCAGGGCTATCGAACGGTACTATTATCTCCTCTTCACTGCACACACAGCACTCTCTGCACAGCGGTGAACCGCCCCGGTACCCCCATCTCCTCGCTCTCTATCCTCCCTCTTAATGTCCTCCTCTCCCCTCCTCCTCCTCCTCTCCTCCATCACCACTTCCTTCCTCTCCTCCTCACCACCTCTCCTCTCCTCCACAGCAATGTGCGCTGCTGTTTCTCCCGCTACTCAGCTTCCCTCTCTCCAAGAAGTCCTTCCCGAGTTCCTCATGCGTCCCGACTCCCCCGACCACGACTTCTCCTCGGACTATTATCCGAAGTCGGCTTCGGTCTCGTCTTCCTCGTCCTCGGCCTCCTCTCTCTACTCCACGCCCTCCACCTACGTCTACCCAGAGTCCTACTCCGCTGCTGCCTCTGCTTCTGCTGCTTCTGCTGCTGCTGCTGCTGCTGCTGCCGCTCTCGCACCGTCCTCCGCCTCCGCCTCCGCCTCCACCCCCGCGCCCTCCTACACAACCGCAGCCGGATACACCCCCGACCTCGCCTACCTCCACGCCGCCGCCTACATCCCCCCATCGCCCTCCTCGCCGTCGTCCTCAACTCCCTCCTACTCCTCCTACTCCACCCCCTCCTCCGCCCTCTACTCCGCCGCCTTCCAGCAGCCGCCCCTCCCCCGCGACCACGCCTCCCTCCATCCCCATCCCCATCCCCACCCCCACCAGCACGCCCTCCCGCACTCACATCTCTCCCACTCTCAATCCTCTCATCCTCAATCCTCTCATCCTCACTCCCCCCAGCCCGCCTACGCGGTCCACAAGCGCCGCCGCGGCAACCTCCCAAAACACGTCACCGACATCCTCCGCTCCTGGCTCAACGCCCACGTCCACCACCCCTACCCGACCGAGGAGGAAAAGTCGATGCTCATGCACCAGACCGGCCTCACCATGAACCAGATCTCGAATTGGTTCATCAACGCCCGTCGGCGGCGCCTTCCTGCTCTGCACAAAGAGGCCGCGGCGGCGGCGGCGGCGGCGGCAGCAGCGGCCGCCATGCAGACGTCCATGCCTTCTATACAGATCAACAATGGCTCGATGGGGTCTATCAATCAGCTGAATCAGCTGAATCCGATGAAGCGGTGATGTACATTACTATCTTGTTATGCTCTTTGTTGTTATACTGTCTTTGTTTATACTGTCTTTAATGGGTTTGGTCGGTCATGTTTGTTTAGTAGGCTAGTAGTGTCTTTGTTCGGCGCTTGATGGTTTAGTCATTGCTTGTAGAATGTATATCTGTGATCATCATATTCTGTGTAGTTGTTATTGTAGTAGTGTTGTTGTTGTGTTGTTGTTGTGTTGTTGCTGCAGTGTTGCTGCTGTAGTAGCAGTGGTGTTGTAGTGTTTGTGTAGATACAAATTAGGTCACAACACAACACTCTCCCTCACCACACACCTCTCAAGCACCACCATGCCCTCCACCCACTTCCTCTCCCTCCAATTCAGACGCCAAATATGGTATTCTCTCGACAATTCCCTCGACGACTCCGCCATCTTCGCCGCTGAGCGTCTCGTCGCCCTCTCCTCCCCCTCCGACCCTGATCTCGACAACATCCACCTCCTCGCCCTCGCCCACTTCCGCGCAAACAACCTTAGGATCGCAATGCATCTTTGTGAAAATAAAAAACATATCGGCTGTGCTTATGTCTATGCGCTTTGTTGTCTTAAACTTGGAAAGTATCGGCTTGGTTGTCGCGCTCTCGAACGCATGCGATCTTCGTGGCCAAAGACCTGTCATATCTGTATCTCCCCTCCTCTTTTCTCTTCTCTCTTCTTACTATCTGCTAACTTCTATAACTCTTAGACAGCCACAATGACGGCGAAAGACAGGCTCTCCCCGACATGGCCGCCGTCCAATCTCTCCTAGGCCACCTATATCGCAACTTTGGCGACGCAAAAGAGGCTATGGAGTGCTACTCCACCGCCCTCAGCATCAACCCTTTTCTCTGGGACGCCTTCGACGGTCTCTGCAAGCTAGGTATTTCTCCCCTTCTTCCTCCTCTCTTTAACTTCTTTGCTAAGTATACAGGCGTAAACCTCAAAATCAACAACATCTACGGCGTAACACCCGCCATGATCGCCGCCCGCTCAACCTGGCTCGACAACGCTGACTCCTCCGTCGGCATCGAAAACTCTCAAAACCAAGACCCCTTCGTCTCCTCCTCCGCCTCCTCCTCCTCCTCTGACGACAACTCCCACTCCCATCACCAGCCATTCCTCTTCCGCGCCGCCGAAAACGCGGTTCTCTTCTCCCAGTCGAAAAACCTCGACACTCCCACCGCCGGATCATTTACCTCTGCCGACCACGACGGCGATATCCAGATGTCGGCTCGATCGACCTCCGCTTCCACTCCTTCCGATCCCTCTCGCGGCGCCCGCTCTCGCTCATCCCGTGCGCCCCCCGACGCGCCCAGACGAACATCCTCGTCCTCGGCCGGCGTCGAACGCCGTAGCTCTCGACTCTCCGCCCCTCAATCTCGCCAGCCCCCGACTCTTTCTACCACCACCGCAACCGCGCAGCCTCAGCACCAGCTCTCTGGTAGCGTCCGCGGAAGACTTAGATCAGGTCTGCTGAAATCAAAGTCCGTCCCGGCGCCGTCCTCGGGCGCGGCGAGCGGCGACGAAGCAAACGAGGCACCTGTGAAAGTAGTTCCCGACGACGGCGAGCGCATCGAGGCTGAGGCAACTATGCTATCTCTCTACGAGACCGTCGCGGTAGGTATGCACGCGCTCTCGCGCTTCGAGTGCAAGCCCGCCCTGCAAGCCTTTCTATCCCTCCCCCCGAGCAGCAAGACTCGCCCTACATTCTCTCCAAGATCGGGCGCGCGTACTTTGAAATCGTGCGCTACAAAGAAGCCGAGGCCGCGTTTGTGCGCCTGCGCGAGGTCGACCCGTTCCGGCTTGACGACATGGAGATCTACTCCACCTTACTCTGGCACCTGCGCAAGGACGTCGAGCTCGCGTTTCTCGCGCACGAGCTCGTAGACATTGACCGCAACTCGCCGCAGACGTGGATCGCGATCGGAAACTCGTTCAGTCTCCAGAAAGAGCACGACCAGGCTCTCAAGTGCTTCCGGCGCGCGTCCCATCTCGACCCGACGTTTGCGTATCCGTATACCCTCCAAGGTCACGAGCACGTCGCCAACGAGGAATACGAATCCGCGCAGTCGGCGTTCAGGCTCGCGATGCGCGCCGAGTGGAGGCATTATAACGCGTGGTACGGCATCGGCATGCTTTTTCTCAAGACGGGCAAGTTTGATTTGGCCGAGCAGCACTTTCGCCAGGCGGCACTTATTAATCCGGGCAATGCGGTTTTGATCTGTTGTATTGGAATGGTGCTCGAGAAGTTGAATAGGTTGGATGAAGCACTTGCGCAGTATGATGTCGCGTGCGGGCTGCAACCTACCAGCGCCATGCCCCGCTTTAAGAAGGCAAGATTGCTGATGAGTATGCGGAAATACGATGTACGTTCTCTATTCTTTTTCTATACTTTTATAGCTCTTACTGACTTGATTTAGGCCTGCCTGGCAGAGCTGCGGGTGGTCAAAAACCTAGCTCCGGACGAGTCGTCGGTGCATTACCTCCTCGGCCGATTATACAAAGCGCAAGGCGACAAGCAGAGCGCGATCAGACACTTCACGGCCGCGCTGAATCTGGATCCGAAGGCGAGCCATGTGATTAAAGAGGCTATCGAGGGATTAGAGAACGATAGCGAGTAGCTGTAGCTGTAGCTAGTAGTGAAGAGTAGAGTAGAGTAGAGTAGAGTACAGACGATGGGTATCAGGTGTTGGCGTTTGTTTGCCGTGGCTTCTTGCAGTTGTGTTATTGAGCGTAGTAGTGAATTATGTAAATATACCATTCTCTCTTACTTTCTACAGTAGTTGTAGAGATATTGAGATATGATGAGGTCAAGATGGCTGTTTACCTCGCGCAAATTGAGTTTAAACCCCTCGGAAGGAGCCGAGATGTGCTCGACGCCGACGGCTTTGGTTTCAGGTTTTGGATCGCGCCGGATTCCTTTTGTTTTATTCAGAACAAGAAGCAGTTTGTTGGAGATTCCAGGATTGGTTTGAGAAAGAAGCACCAGTGAATAGAGGATATGGCTGCCAAAGACGTCGTGGACGAGGAGAAGACGAAGACGAGGAAACGCAGCGCCGAGGATGTCGTCGGTCAGTTTTCTTTTCTTGCTGCTGTTGCTGTCTGAACATCTTCTCTACAATTTACTAACAATCCTCTTCTATGGATTACAGACCGCTCCGACGCAGACGAATCCAGCAGCGACGATGATTTCGGACCAAAGCTGCCTTCTGCCGCAGGACCCAGCACCACCGCCGACCGACGGAAAAAGCGACGAGGTCAGTCTCTTCTCTTCTTCTCTCCAACAATTTTCTCGAGTATTTCTAACGATCTACAGTTCTCAAACATGAATCGGCTTACCTGCGCGCACTCCCCTCCTTTGAGCGCTACACGCGCTCCTACATGCACCGCAAGCCACTTGCGCTCACGCGCGTCTCCGCATCGACGAACTTCGTGCTCACCCTCTCCATCGACGGCGTTCTCAAATTCTGGAAGAAAAAAGCCAGCGGCATCGAGTTCGTCAAGCAATTCCAGGCCCACGCGGCGCCCCCGTCGTCTTCAGCAGCAGCAGAGGAGAGCGTGGTGGTGGGGGGAGAGGTGTCGGCTGATGGGAAGATGTTTGCGAGTATTGGCACGGATAGGACGATTAAGATCTTTGACGTGGTGAATTTTGATATGATTAATATCTTTAAGGAGTTGCCGTATACGCCTGGTTGTGTGGGGTGGTTGCAGAAGAAGGGGCAGGTTGATGGTCGGATTGCCGTGTATGCATCTTCTGCTTTCTGCATCGTGTGTTGTTACTAACAGCATCCAGATCCGACAAAAACTCGTCCCGGATATTCATCTACGACGTCCGCTCAGACTCCCAAGACCCCCTCCACGTCCTCCCCGAGCTGCACAAAACCCCGGTCCGCGTGCTATCGTTCAACCCGCACGCCAACTGCGTGATCTCGATCGACGAAGGCGGCATGGTCGAGTACTGGCGCCCCGAGGGCACTTTCGACCAGCCCGACGACGACGACGGCGGCGTGATCAGTTTCAAGTTCAAGTCGACCACTGACCTGTACGAGTTTCGTAAGTTCAAGTGTCTGCCTACGTCGCTCACGTTCTCGGCGGACGGGAGTCGGTTCGCGACGTTTTCGCTGCCGGATAGGATGGTTCGCGTGTTTGATTTCAAGACGGGAAAGTTACATCGGAAATACGACGAGAGTCTTGACGTCGCGATCGACATGCAGCGTCAACAACAGCAACAACAAGAAGAAAAAGAGCAGAAACCGACACAGACGCATGCGCTGAGGAAATTGGATGATATCGAGTTCGGCAAGAGGATCGCGATTGAGCGGGAACTTGAGCAGAGCGGCGAGTTGGCGAGGGATATGAATGTCGTGTTTGACGATAGCGGGCATTTCATTCTCTACGCCACATATCTCGGCATCAAAGGTATTTCCCCCCCTTGTCTCCCTCTTTAAACAAAGAAAAAGCTAACATCTAAGTAATCAACATGGTGACAAACCGCTGCGTCCGCCTGCTAGGTTCAGAAGACAACATCAGGTTTTTAAACCTGTCAGTCTACCAAGGCGCCCCGGACCGCAAGGACGTCATGACGCTCGAGATGGCGGCGTCAGACAACGCGCTCGTCAGCGCGAGCTTGGCTCTCGATCCGACTGTGTTTGCGACCGCCGTGGGTAAAGTGCGGTTCTATATGTTTACGAATTATGAGGGGGAGTTGTGCGTATTTTTTTTTTTTCCTGTTCAAAAAGTGAGTTGACTGTGCTAACTATATGTTTGTTGATAGCGCGGCGATTAAAAACGACCGGGACGTCCTCAACGAAAGACCACTAACAAAGCTCGACGGCAAATCCACCTCCTCCGCCAAATCGACCGCGCTATCCGCCAAAGGTGTGACGCTGCATACCTCTCTCGGCGACATCCAGATCCGACTCTACGCCGAGCACGCGCCGCTCGCAGTCGAGAACTTTGTGACGCTGTGCAAGAAAGGGTACTACGACTCGACGATCTTCCACCGCGTGATCAAGAAGTTTATGATCCAGGGCGGGGATCCGCTCGGAGATGGTACGGGCGGGGAGAGTATGTGGGGAAAGGAGTTTAAGGACGAGTTTACAAAGGCGTTGAGGCATGATCGGCCGTTTGTGGTGAGCATGGCGAACGCGGGGCCGAATACGAATGGATCGCAGTTTTTCATCACGACCGAGAAAGCGGTATGTCTCCTTCTCCCCTCTGTTGATATAGTATGTTGATATAGGAGCTAAAACTGACAATATGTATATAGCCATGGCTGGACGACAAACACACAATCTTTGGAAGAGTAGTTCTCGGCATGGACGTCGTCAAGCGGATCGAGGGGCTCAAGACGGATAAGAACGACAAGCCTGAGGATCCGCCGTCCATTTTGTCTATTACTGTTTTGTAAAGTAGGTAGCGCGGGTGGGTATAGATTTGATTTTTGCTTGTAAGATGAAAATGTGAATGTGAATGTGAGATAATAGACAGATTTATGTGATGAGAATTGAATAATTTACAGTGATGCATACATACATAGATCTGGCAACGCTAACTTACACCCCACACAACAAACAAAATACTGATACAGTCTATTATCTTCTCTGCGACAAAAACGACAAAAACCCAGAGCTTTTCTTTTTCTTTCTATTCTTCTGCGGCACAAAACTCGCTCTCCTATCCGCCGGAATCGCATCATCCTCATCATCCTTCTCATCCTCCGAGTCATCATCCGAGTCTGAGTCTGAGTCCGAGTCAGAATCATCATCATCATCCGACGAGAGCTTGAACGGTTTCTGCGTACTCGGTCCCGCGGCAGCAGCAACCGACGCCACAGCCGTCTGACTCGCGAGAAACGGCAACGACGTGCGCACCCCCGTCGTCGACTCCCGCACGTCCGGCACGCCCGCGCTCGCGAGCTCGCTCAGGCTTCTGAACGAGGGGATCCGCGTCGGCCCTGCGCTGCCGCCGCTTCCGGCGCGGAGGCGCGAGAGTGGGGTGGGTTTGCGGTGCGAGAGGGGGGAGAGGAGGGGGCGGGAGAGGCGGTGGGGTTGTGGCGTGAGAGGGGGGGCGGGGCGAGGGGGGTGGGTGGGTGCTGGTGGGAGGGGTTGGGAGAGGGAGGGGGTGTGCTTTGGGGGAGGTGGGGGGGAGTCTGAGGAGGAGGAGGAGGGGGATGAAGGAGTGGTGGTGGGCTTTGTCGAGGTTGTATCAGGAGCAGGTTTTTCAGCAGAATCTTCGTCGCTGCTGCTGCTGTTACTCTCATCAGAGCTCTCATCTTCTTCAACACCATTGATCACTCCATTCTTTTGATCCCCAGATTCATCCGACTCTGAATCTGAGGCCGATTCCTCTTCTTCTTCCTCCTCCTCCTCTTTCTTGGAGAAATCCTCTCTAGAAGCACTGGTATCTCCGTTGAGCGGCGCAGGTTGCAGCTGTTCTTCATCGGACGAGTTGAGATCGATTTTCTCGCCAGGGTTGGAAATGATCTTGTCTGGTTCGTGGCGTGCTGCATCTTCCTCCTCCTCTTCCTCCTCCTCCTCCTCTTCCTCCTCATTCTCATCCTCATCCTCCTCGTTCTCCTTTTGTTCTTCAGCAAGGTCTTCAGCAAGGTCTTCAGCAAGGTCAGCGACTACCTCACTTTCCTGCTCGAGTTCGATTTCAGGTGCAGTAGTCATCAACTCTGATTTCTCAGCTTCCGACGATGTCGTTTCCGTATCTTCTTTGGCAATGGACGTAATTGACACTTGCTCCTCGAACACCGCATCGTCTTCTTCTACCTCCTCCTCCTCATCATCATCGTCTTCCTCCTCTTCGATTTTTTCGTCGTCGTCGTCATCGTCGTCGATTTCTTCTATATCCTCCACAGCAGAGTCTTCGTCTCCTGTATCTTCGACCGACGACTCAATTGAATCTCTAATAGATTCTTGAGCAGGGGGGTTTGTACTGGATGCGATAGTTGCGGGGATGACTTCTTCTTCGCTCTCGCTCTCGCTCTCAATCTCGCTCTCGGAGTCGGCAGAGTCGATCATTGCCACATCCTCATCTTTCTCAAGGTCTTTCTGCGGTGAAGAGTGGTCCTCGGAATCATCAGAATCCTCACTACTCACCGCATCTGCGCTCTCTTCGCTTTCCTCCCTCGCAGGCTCAGATATCAACGGCACTTCGACCGCAAGCAAACTCTCCTCGTAAACCTCACTTTCCGAAACAGCCTCGTAATCCGCAAACTTCCGCTCCAAAACACTAATCGGCGCCTCCGGTCTCAGCACGAGCTTCTTGCCTTGTCTTGTAATCTCGCGGATCTGTACTATCTCGTCTTGGCTGATCGAGGGGAGATACACGCCGTGCGTAGCTGCTTCCTGGATACGTGCGCGCGAACTCGGCCCGATCGAGAGCTTCTGAGGAGTTGCCGGCGACGCGGTGTTTTCGGCTGCGCGTTGGATCCGGTCGATGGCGGACGAGATGATGACTTTGGAGTCGTCGTGGAGAGGGGTCGTGCTGCTGCTGCTGCGACGGCGATCGTTGGGTTTTGGTTTTTTGGGGTGCCGGCGGATTGTAGATGTGCTGGTTTCGTGGTGGTCGTAGTCGTCTCCGTCGGATTCGCTGTCAAGTTGCTGCTGCTGTTCGCCAGTACGCGCGCGTTTCGCGGTGGGCGAGGAAGAGTCGAACAGCGCGGAAGACGAGGAAGGTCTCCGCCGCTTTGCGCTTTTCGGGAGCGCAGAGACAGAGTCGTCGGGGGGTTCAGAGCCGAGAACGAGAGAAGGAGAAGAGATGGGAGGGGCGGGAGCGAGAGCGAATTGGATGTGGACGAGGCCGTTGTCGGGGAAGATTTGGGAGACGCGGTAGGCTTCGTCGAGGTCGTAGCCGTCTGGGTCTGTTATGCGGGTGACTGTTACTGCGCTGTGACGAATGTGATGTTAAAGTAGAGGAATATAGAGAAGAAGAAGAGGAGATTGTACGTTTTGTATATTCGCAGATATCTGGCCGCGATCTCGAGCTTGAGGTCCGAGACCGACGCGTCAGGACGGGAGAGATGCAGGAACCGACGGTTGTCTGCGAGAACCTGCAGACGCACGTTCGAGGACGGCAGTGCAGACAGAGCCGGAGAAGACTGCGGCCATTGCATTCTGCAATGTCGAGATGGTGGATATAAACAGGATAAAGAACAGAAGCAGGAAGTAAATACAAATGTTATATCAGAAGGAGCAACCCGAACCCTCCTCCCACCCTTTTCTCTCCTCTCCTCCTCGACTCCAACTTCCTCACCACCTCCCCTTCCTCCTCCCCACCCGCCCTCCAGACAGCCGGCTGCTCCAATGAGCGCTTTCCTCTCTGCGATCACCGTCGTTATTGCTGTCACACTAAGCCTCAACATGCTCGGCTCCGTCATCCACCCGCTGCGCTTCTGGACCCGCGTGCTCGTCTTCCTCGTGAGCATGAGCTTCTGCGCCAGCTACGGCGTCGTCACCTCCATCATCCTCTCCTTGCTCGGAAAGCGCAGTCTTTGTCAATGGGTCGCCGGCCGTGCGTTCAGCACAATCACCGCGCCGCTCCTCGGCCTCAAGTTCGAGATTGAGAACGAGGCCCTGCTCCGCGACACCCGGCCTGCCATCGTCGTCGCCAACCACCAGACGTAAGTCTTTCTGATTCTGGGTCTTGTTTCTCTTTGTAGATGTCTGTGTTTTAACAGTGTCTTTGTAGTGAGCTCGATGTGCTCATCCTCGGCCGTCTGTTCCCCCGCCACTGCTCCGTCACCGCCAAGAGCACTCTCAAATATGTCCCGTTCCTCGGCTGGTTCAGTGCGTAACTCCATCACCCCCCACCTTTCCTACTCTTTGTCCTAACCACCTCTCTGCAGTGCTATTCTCAGGAACCGTCTTCATCGACCGCACGAACCGCGGCAAGGCCATCAAAGCCCTCGACGGGGCCATTGCCGATATGCAAAAAGCTAAACAGTCGGTCTTCATCTTCCCCGAAGGCACCCGCTCCTACTCCACCACCCCCGAACTCCTCCCCTTCAAGCGCGGCGCATTCCACCTCGCGATGCAGTCCGGCTTCCCGATCATCCCCGTGGTCGTCGCGAACTACAGCCACCTCTACAGCCCAAAGAACCGGACGTTTGAGAGCGGGACACTCAAGATCAAGGTGCTCGACAAGATCGACATGGAGGGCAGATCGGCAGAGGAGATCGATGAGTTGGTGGCCTCGACCCGTACTAAAATGCTTGAGACACTGAAGGAGATCTCAAACAAGCCGGCGACTCCTGATGCCGACTCTGAGACCACGCAGCTGTTGAGCAGCGACTCGACCGTCGTTGAAGAGGCAGAGACAATCTCAGCGAGTCCCAAGAGTGTTGGCGCTCAATAGTCGCTCGCTCATGATTATGAAGGTCGGAATCATGTACATACGTTGCATTCTGAACAGAACTGTATTTTATCTGTAATAATAATAACAAACATAGCAATAATAACACTGCACCTACCATACAAGAAATAGAAAACAGAGATTACAACAAATTGAAACAAAAAAAGAGCAAACCGACAATAACAATTAACACACAATAACTACATTACTTAATCCTCCATATCGATATCATCATCACTATCAACATCGTCCTCATCAGCATTAATAAACGCCAACCGCGATCCATCCCGGTACGTCTGCCACACTCCCAGCGCAGAATACTCGTTCAAGCACTCTGCCAACTGGTCGTCCGTGAACCCCTTCGCCAGCACCCGCTCTCTAATCGTGCTCATCGGCCAACGACTCACGAACCGCTCTCCATCACTATTCGCCAGATCCCGCACGATCTTGTAGATCTTGGACGTAGCCGTCGCATCCAGCGCGTCCGCGTCCGCAGCCTTATCGTACAGCGACGCCTTGCTGGCCTCCATCAACCGCAGCGCCTCGTCGACGTCCCCGAAAATCACGCGGTCGTCGAACCGCAACCGCGCGAGCGCCTGCGCCATGCGGAGAACAGCGAGCAGCGTACGGGGGGTGGTGTGCGTGAACTGCTTGCGCGAGCCTTCGTCGCGCTTCTGCTGCTGCCGCATCTGCACGTACGACGCCACGATGTAGTCCGAGATCTCCTTGGGAACGACAGGGCGTTTCTCGCGCGCGCGGGAGATGTACTCGCGGATCATGTCGGGCTCGAGCGGGTCGAATGACATCTCTGGGTGGCGAGAGTGCATGTGTACGTACGCGACGTGGCTCGCGAGTTTCTCGTCTGAATCCCGGTCGGGCGTGTCGAGGATCAAAAACATAATGTCGAAACGCGAGAGCAGCGCAGCCGGAAGGTTGATGTTCTCAACGGGCGAGATGCGCGGGTTGTATCTTCCGTAGAGCGGGTTGGCTGCCGCGAGAATTGAAGTGCGCGCGTTCAGCGTCGTGTTGATTCCTGCTTTCGAGATCGAAATAGTCTGCTGCTCCATCACCTCATGGATCGCAGTCCGGTCGCTATCGTCCATCTTGTCAAACTCGTCGATACAGCAGATTCCGTTATCGGCCAACACGAGCGCGCCGCCCTCGAGTACCATCTCGTCCGTCACCGGGTCGCGCATGACCGCCGCCGTGAGACCGACGCCGGACGAACCGCGACCGGTGGTGTAGACGCCTCGGGGAGCGACCTTGGAGATGTATTTCAGCAGCTGCGATTTGGCGACACCGGGGTCACCCATCAGGCACACGTTTATGTCACCACGGATTTTCATGCCGTCGCCCATTTCCTTGGTGACGCCTCCGATCAAGAGCAGCAGCAAAGCTTTCTTGACGTCCTCGTGTCCGTAAATCTCAGGAGCGATAGAAAGCGCAAGCTTGTCGTAGACATTGCCCTGTGCTCGCAATTCCTCGATCTTGACGTTCATATCGACGTTCCGATCCATCTCGCTGTACTGCTTCTTCTGCTGGTCAACGTGCTGTGCCTCAAGATAGGTGTCAGTCAGCAGACCCGCCTTTAATGCTTTGAAGCCCGAGTACGGCATCGGCATGAAGATCCCCGAGATGTCGACAACGTCTCCGGGACTGACCGAGCGCACTATAGGTCCGGTGAAGTGGATCGAGAGCGTCCGCGGGATATGTCCGATCGGAACTTGGTCTGCCATCTCCTGGATTTTCACATCCTGGAAGGGTTGAAACTTGCACGCCCGAGTGGCCATCATAAGCTGACCGTGTGTGCTGTTCTTCTTGCACACGTCGGAGGTACACTGCGTCAGCGGCGTGAACTGACGTCCTTTGACCTCTTGAAAGTTCTCGTGACCGCATTGGTCACAGGTGTATGCGTTGACCTGCACTGCCGGCTTGACGTCGGACACACGAGTGACGATGCCGCGGACGGTGATGAGATGGCCGAGATGCGCTCCGCGGATGTCGCGGACGGCAAGCATGGGCTGGTTTTTCCGGAACCGGTTGTTTGGTGGGATGAAGTAGACTGTGTAGCGGCGAGTGAGCTCAGGTGGGAACATGTCAGACTGAGCGTCGGGGTCCCCGATGCCGCCGGCTTCCTGCGCGCGAGCCTCGTTGCGGAGTATGCGCTGGTTGAGAATCACGTCGAGGACGTCGTCTTTGTAGCTGATATCGGTGGTAGGCTCCGGCATGAGCTGATCAATGACTTCGGAGAAGAGCTCGAAATACCGGTGAGTGTTTTCGATAATGAGATCCGCGAGGGGCGACTGGCTGTTTGTGAACTCGTCGAGGTCGTCGAGATGGATCTGGATAGTGTCCTGCTTGCGGTCGGCGACCTTTTGCAGGATGTTTGCGTATTTTGGCTTGTTAGGGTCGTTGTAGAGCGCATCTTCGTCGCTGAGGTCGAGGTCGAGGTCTGAATCTGTGCTTTTGAAGTTTTGCAGAAAGTCGAGGATGTTGTCTGGGATGGTTAGCAGTGCTCGGTGCTCAAGAGAGGAAGATGAATGTACCTCTGACGTCCTTGTACTGGACGGGAACGGTGATTGTGCTGAGTCCGGACGACATCTTGCAGAGTGAAAGAGAAGGTGAGGAGGTAGAGGAAGAAGAGGAGGAAGAGGAAGAGGAAGAGGAAGATGAGGAGGAGGAGGAGGAAAGGAGGGCGATTAGCACAGGGGCTCAGAACTTTAAACGCGTCGCGTCGCGTCGCGCTAATAAAAACCTTAAATATTTCCTAAAACGCGCATCGCACAGACTGTGATGACTCAGCGACTACGTAAACCAATTTGGTTGCTGTTCTGGTCCAAACCTCGGCAGCCTAATTCGGACTCGAGCTTTGTTCTCTACCCCGCCATCTCTTCACTTTCCATGTTTTCTTCTTGACTTTTGTTTTATACAACAAAACAGCATTATAACGATAATAAAGAGATAAGAAGAGAGAATGGCGTCGCATTCTGCTTCTGTGGCCTTCGCGCCTCTGCTCTCGTCTCTCGCAAACCTGCCTCCATCGCTCACCTCGATGCTCAACAGCTCTCACATCGTCAGTCTTCTCTTGATCTCTTGATCTCTCTTTATCCAACCTACTCACATCATATAATCTCCTCTAGACCGTTCAGGACGTCGTCCTCGAGCTCAACTTCAAGTCCAGCAAACGCACCCTCTCCGCCTTCTGCGGCTGGACCGGCTTCTCCTCCCTCACCCACGACCGCTCTCAGACCGACTTCATCGAACTTGATCCCGCATTTGCCAAATCCATCGGCCTCTCAGAATCCACCCGCGTCCGTATCACCGTCCATGTCAGTCCTCCCGAAGCCCACGTCGTGCACCTAGAGCCCGCTTCTTCCGACGACTGGGCTGCCGTCGAACTCCACTCCGGCATGCTCGAGACAACAATCCTCTCACAGATCAGAGCCATTTCTCCTTCACAGCCCGTCATCCTGCACGTCACTCAGACAATGAACGCAACTCTGAATGTCACGTCTATCGAACCACCGCTAAGCAAGCAGCTTCTCTTTGCCAAACTGTCGCCAAACGCAGAGATCGTCGTCGCGCCTAAGCCGGCTCAAAAGACCGCTCCAAAGACCGCTCCAAAGACCGCTCCAAAGACACCCGCCTCGGTACAAGGCAAGAAGAGCGTCTCTGGCAGTTCTCGCCGCCCTACCGCCACCTCTGACAGCCACTCTGTCTTTCGCTCAATCGCACTTCCTCATCCCTATTTCGACGACGAAGAAGACGAACTCCAAGACGAAGATGATTGCGTTTTCAAAGAGTACAAGTCGCAAGATGGTAAGCTGGCTCTCTACGTCGATACAGAGACACTTGCTCCTTCACTACGAACCGCTCAGCACGTGTACATCTCCCTTGTTCATGCGCCTCTTTTATCAGAACAACCACCCGTCCCTGCCTCTCCGCAACCCGCAGACGAAGAAAACAACCAGCCGTCCATCGCCTCGAAAATAGTCGTCGAAGTCATCCACTCTCTCGCATTCCCTCCTTCTACCGTCGGCATATCTAAACGCGCAGCTATAGCATTGGGACTCAAAGATCTCGTCAAACCTCATATTCTCAAAGTCGAGTCGGCTGGAAAACCGTTGTCGAGACAACCCAAGAAAATATACATTGTCCCGTTTGCCGATCCAGCTGCGAAATCGGAGATCAAAGTCGGAGGCGACAAATCAGATCTGTCTCTAGAGTTCTTGCGAAAACTAGCGCTTCTCGATGGACCTCTCTCGAATAGACAACGGTTACCGAAATCGGATCCGATATTGCCATTCGGTGGGTATGTCGAGTTCGAGCTGGCTGACGGCTGGATTCTCACATCACAGTCCTCATCTTCCGTCTTTCAGTTGAGAAATCCGGTTGCTCCATTCGAGGGTGCCATCATAGAAAGTACAAATTACCCTGATCTGCGTGACGTACGTCTCTTTGGGGTCGACAGCTCCATTCAAACGATTGAAAAGAGTCTGAGACATGGTGAAGGAGTGCTACTAGCAGGTGCAAGTGGCTCGGGAAAGAGTGCTATTGTGGACCGCGTCTGTGCAGGTCTTGATAGAGATCTGATCTGTAAGTTCTAATACTTTTTATGTTTTGCTGAGATCATCACTAATACTCTATAGACAACTTCCGAGTTCAATGCTCAGATTTCACCGAGTCACGATTGCCCGTCATAAAAGACCAACTTCTGAAATGGTTCGCTACAGCATCTTTCTACGCCCCTGCAGTGATAATCTTCGAAGACATCGGCTCTCTATTCCCAGAAGAGCTCGAACACGTCGACGCATCTCGAACAAGGCTTCTCACCGCCCTCTTTACAAAATACGTTCTCTCCACCGCCCGAGCCCGAAAAGTCACGATATTAGCTACCGCATCGGGGAAAGATACTGTCCATAGCGCAATCACATCCGGGAACGTCATCAGCGAGATTGTAACGCTTAAAGCACCAGACAAAATGATCCGGCGACAAATCCTTAGCGAAATCCTGCGACGAAACGGCATTGTTGAAGACAGCGCTGACGGGCAACCACTCGATGTGTTTGCTGTTGCTGATAAGGCCGAAGGATACCTCCCAGGCGACCTCCGCATTCTCACCGACCGCGCAAAGCATGAGTCGCTCGTTCGCACCCTCGAAAGTCCTGACTCGTCCGCCGCGCTTACGAACCTCGATTTCACCGCCGCGCTGTCCGGATACACCCCTGCTTCTCTTCGAGGCGTGAATCTCCAGACTCCCTCAACTACATGGGCCGAGATAGGCGGTCTCCACGAAACGAAGCGCGTGCTCCTTGAAACTCTAGAGTGGCCCACAAAGTACTCTCCCATCTTCGAATCATGCCCCCTCCGCCTGCGCTCAGGCCTGCTTCTCTACGGCTACCCCGGCTGCGGCAAGACCTTCATCGCCTCCGCCGTCGCTCGTGAATGTGGCCTGAACTTCATCACAATCAAAGGCCCCGAGATCCTCAACAAGTACATCGGCGCCTCTGAGAAAAGCGTCCGCGACCTCTTTGACCGCGCACAAGCCGCCAAGCCCTGCGTGCTTTTCTTTGACGAATTCGACGCTATCGCACCTAAGCGCGGCCACGACAGCACAGGCGTCACAGACCGCGTGGTGAACCAAATGCTAACCCAAATGGACGGCGCAGAAGGTCTCGACGGCGTCTACGTCCTCGCCGCGACATCGCGTCCGGATTTGATTGATTCGGCGCTCCTGCGGCCCGGGCGTATCGACAAGAGCTTGCTCTGCGATATGCCAAACTTGGACGACCGCGCAGATATCCTGAGAGTCGTGGCTACAAAGATGAAAATCGACGAGGATGAAGTCGATTTACTAGACATCGCGGGCGCGACAGAGGGATACTCTGGCGCGGACCTGCAGGCGCTGGTTTACAACGCTCATCTGGAGGCCATCCACGACGTCGTCGACAGTAAGCTTGAAGCAACGATGTCTGCTACTGATGCACATAGTACCCGAAACGGAGAGGTTCGTGATATCGAGTACTTTGATATTCTGTACGATGAGACAAGCAACGCCAAGCGTCTCCAACCCCACAACTCACACCTCACATCCTCTCGCTTACGCTCTATCCTCAACCCTTCCAGCAATCCACAATCCGACACCTCCGAACCGGGAACGAAAAAATCAAGCACGCCAGAGATCTTGATCAAGTACAAACACATCTCCAAAGCGCTGGAGTCGACGAAGCCTAGTATCTCGCTCAAGGAGAGAAATCGTCTGGCGGCTGTCTATCATGAGTTTATCTCGGGAAGAAGTGGTGATATGCCTAGCGGAACGGCTAGCACCGATATCGGCGGGCGCGCGACGCTCATGTAAGATACAGATATACGGTATATATTAGAGATGTGTAGAGTGTATTATTTTGAGCAGCACTGATGTGCGAAAGAAACAAAAGTGATTAAGAGTAATAAAATAAATAGCAAAGATAGTACTTAAGGAGTGACTGTAGTTAGTAAACATAGGAAGAAAACAAAAACCGATTAAACACAAGAAAACTCCGGGCCCAGGTCTGTAAATGAGTGACTGTGGAAAAAGAGACGATGCGCCGAATGCAATGAAGAAAATAGACAAGAATATCAGAGTATACCCAAAACACAACAAAACAAAACAATAGGAGTAAGGCAAGCCACGCCCCTCCTCAGGTATTAGAAAAAAAATGAGTGACACTCGCATCATCTATACATAACCACCAAAAAACAATAACAAAACAGGAACTCAGTTTCAAACTTGATTCCGTTCTTTACTGTTGAGTTCGGAAAACAACACAGCCGGCGACAAGCTTTGAGTCATTAGCTCGTCCGGAGTATCGTAGATCACTGAAAAGGGCTCGTAGCCTTCTGATCGTCTTCGTAGATGTGATACAGTGTATGCCGTGAGGACAATCACAAACATTATCAGCAATGAGATTGCGAGCGATATCAGGACGACAAAGCCGGCTTTCATATGACTCTCTGGAAGATTAAACTCGGTTAGTGCTTGTTAACTAGGAAAAATCGCTCCAAACGACAACTTAGAAAGAGAACCCACCATTATCCGCGATTATTGACTGCAGGTCCTCCAGCGCGTTCGAATCTTGCGTGAATAAAGTATAAATATAGCCAGCCGACCCATCGTCCTTCGTACTGGACACAAACGGAGTCCAGCTACTTCCATCGTAAAATGCTGCCGAAACTGAGCCGTAGCTGGGAAGGACAAGCTGTCCCATAACCAGCAATACCATATTCTCGGGGATAATCGATGAAGTCGATCGGCTGTCTTTGAGCGGCAGTAGTTTCGCGTCATAGATGATTGAACCAGATTTGAGACTAGATCCTATATCTTCCCATGATGAGCCGTCGTAAGCCCATAGATAATTTGTGTCGTTCCCGGCAAACTGTCCCGCGACAATAGCATCAGACGTACTTCCGCTGGCGGTGACGAAAACATTCACAGGTCCAGGAAGTTCTGATGCCATCTGCCCTAGCACGTCCCAAGATAAAGTGCTGAAATCGTACATGGCCATATAGCTCTTGACTTCAGATCCGGTCGTCATGTTTCCTGCGACAACGAGGCGGTCGCTGTCGAGGAAGGTCAAAGAAGTCACATTACCACCCACACCACGAGTCAGCGCCGACCAAGTGCCATTCGACATATCGTATACACACAGGCCGTCGCACGAGACATCGCCAGCCTCTGAGAACGATCCACCAACAACGATTGATGAAGACCCGGGGCGAGCAACAATGGCGTTGATTTGAGGCGAGTCTCCGGACAAACCGTCGGGCTGAGTCGAAGCCAATGCTTGGCTCTCCAAATCCCAAATCGCGATATTCTCAATCTCAGAGTCGCCAACCGATCCTGAAAATGATCCACCAAGGACGATCGACTCGTTGTTGTAGTTGCAGAGCGCAAAGATACCCTGGTTGCTGTCGAGCTCGTCTGACGTCAATCCGTACTGCACACCGTCATCATTATAGACAATATAGTCTTTAAATGAGTTGTCATCTGAATCAACCGCAGAGAAGGAACCTCCAGCTACAGAGTACAGCTTGCTTTCTCTCGTGAAGTAGGTAACAGCGTAGATAGCATTCAAGTCGGAATCTGAAGAGCTAGTAGCTCGTTTTGAAACGCTAGAAGAACTCGACGAATCAAACTGAAACGGCATAGAACCAAGTTCATAATCCTCATTCACGGTTGCTCCTCCAGATGTGCTCAAGGACTCTGTCTCCAACTCTCCAGCAATAATATAAGTCTGATTATCCGTAGCGACAGACGCTGAAACAGATCCTTTGATGTAAGGCAGCTCGAGATCTGTTCGACCAGCCCATTCCGTTGAATTTGTCAACCAAAGAGCCAATCCATCAGCTTCGATTGCTTCATCATCATCGTTCTCTTTGATCTCTGTGAATGCTCCGTCGATTGCAAGGGCGTCATAGGTCGTATTAGATACTTGAACAGACATTTGCGCAATGTTCGTAACTGGACCGTCGACACCAGCGCCGAGCGCGATCCACGAATCCTTCTTGATTGAGTATCGAGCGACGTATGACAGACCGTCAGTTTCTGATGAGTTGTACATCGTCGACGTGAAGTTTCCGCCCACTACAACGATATCATCAATGGCAACGATCGACGAAATTGCGTCATTCAAGCCGCCGTCAGCGGTCATAATGTCGCCATCTTCAGTGATTGCCATAAAATTGTTCATTTTCTCGCTTGAGAAGTTTCCACCAATAAAAAGCATGGAATCCGTGACGGCAAGCGTATAGATCTCAGCTCCGTCGTCCAAATCCTCACCAGCCTCGTTGATTGCGGTCGAGTAGATTTCTGTTGTTGATGAGTTTGAGGAAGAAGTGTAGTTGCTTGGGTCATATTCAAAGAGACCGTTCAATCCTCCAGTCGTTGAGATAAGCACAAACTCGACCTTTTCAGCCACAATCGTGATGTTTCCAGACTGGCCGACTGTTGGCTTCAATACGACATAAGGCTGGAAGGAATCTGACACGGAGTCGACAAATCCCTCGTAGATCACGTCGTATTTTTCATAAGAGTTGGTTTGGTATAAGGTGGATGTCTTGTTGTTGCCGTTATCTTTGGGATGGATCGTCACGTCAACTGTTCCTCGAGAGTCGCACGTATCGTCTTCAGTGCAACCGGGGGTATACATCATCACGGTGTAGTTTCCGGAGACGTGGATGTCGGGGTAAAACTTGACAACAGCATCCGTGAGATTATCTGCTGAGACGGTTGTTGTCAAGTATGCGGAGCTGTCGTATGAAACCGTGGTCCATTCGTCGTCAGAGTATGAGGAAGTGCTGACCTCTGAAAGGCCGCAGGAGTCAGGCTCGTTGTAGTCGTCGACCGCATATGTCATGATTCCTATATTAAATTAGTCAGTAAAATGCCCTATCCAAATGTCCTGAGGAGAGTAAAACTTACGTTCCTGGAAAAGCTCGACTTGAGACAATCCGGCACCCTCGCCATAATAATCCAAGAGGTACAGACTGAAACCAGTGATCCCGATAACATCGACAAAATCAAATTCAGTGTACTCCGCGGTGGTGATGTTTGGGAGAGGACACCATGCGTCGCAATACTCGGTTTCTCCGGTTTCAGGGTCAGTGTAAGTGAGATTGAGGATTCCGTTTAGGGGCTCGGCTACAAAGCGGAAAAGCTTTGTTCCTCGATCGTCAACATCAGCGTTTCGAAGGCGCAACTTTGTGGGGTTGAATTCGTAGGCAAAATCAGCGGTCCATACTGCCTCAGATTCATCGGCTGCTAGCCATGTACTCTCTGCGGCCGTTGAGTTTTGGGCGCAAATGACTGAGCGGGGAAGATCGTAGGTGCCGTTGGAGTTGCCCTGAACGGTGACCGTCGAGGAGCGCATGTTGACAACTTGCAGAGCAGAGTCTGAATCTTCGGATGATGAGGTTGAGTCTGTTGACGAGTTGCCGAGTCCGGTGAATTTGCCGCCAAAAACAATGTTGTTGTCGCGAGCAACTATGGCGTGGACGGGACCACCGTTGAGACTTGTGAATGGGATATCGGCCCATTGCTCCAGAGAGGTGTCCCAGATAGCAACGTTGTTGGTAAATTGGCCACCAAAGTACACCAGCTCGTGCTCTGGGTCGCAGAGAACGGCGTTTGCGGTACCAGAGAGGCCATTGTCAAGACTGTAAACATCGCCTGAGCTGATGTCTACTCTGGCGACAGCCTTTGCACGCACTGTTCCGACTTTTGTGAAGTTTCCTGCAAGATAGAGATCTGAGTCTATCAGACACATTGAGCGTACGACACCATCGGTCTGGAGAAGGTCGAGGAAAATGTTTTCGCTTTGGGAGAGCAGCAGTGAGTCTTCGGTAGTAGTGCTTGAGGACAGTTTGGTGGTTCCTGAGGTCGTTGTCGACTGCTGGCTCGCATACTTGTACACGGAGAGTCCGCTGAAGTCGCCAGAGAAACCGACCTGACCGAAGGCAGCGAGATCGATTGCCGGGAGATCGACGGTCTTGAGGTTGAGAGCGAGGACCGCCCGGAGCGAGAGCGCGAGCGCGAGTGCAAACAAGCGCATGAGTCTCTCTGGAATGAGCCGAGACCGCAGAGGCTCGAGAGAAGTAGAAGATAAACACCAGAAGAAGAAGAGGAAGGGAGGGCTGAGTACGAGAAGGGTCTTGATATGAGGAAACGAGGACGGAGGCTGGTCGCGAGGCTGGTCGAAGATGGCTGGCTGGGTGTTCGCGACATCAAAACCTTAATCGGCCCCACAAGACAGTATTGTTGTGTGGTTGCCACAGCAACGCTGCACATTCGACACTTTATTTAGATTAGTAAACTAATTGCTTTTACTCTTCCAGACAGGCAATAACAACAACAGTTTCGGGAAGTTGTCACCGAGTGCGCGGACTCTTATGTTACGGTTGTTGTGTGTGATCTGTTATTGTCATGCATAGTATCTCCCTCTGCACATCTATATCCTCTGTATCGGTCATATATCACAGCTAATGACAAAACAGCCCTCTCGCCGGCCGGCTCAGTCGCGATGCCCATAGATAATGTCCTGTAAATGCGCCTGCTGCCACCGCGAGCATAACCCAACCCTGTAAACACTCGTCAGCAGTGGTTCTATTAACCGATCATAGCGCTCTCATAAGCGAGTACTTACATTATATGTCATAAACACCAGCCTGTCAATTTGATAGTAAAATTCATCAGCAGTGCGCCTGTTATAAATCCATGACAAACGCCCAGAACTCACATAAGGAAAAACGAATAGAGAACCTGCAAGCCGTAGATTCCCGACTTTATCAGCCTAATCTTCCTCAGCTGTCTGTCTCTAGGTCTCGTGATAGACGGGCTCGGCAGACTCTCTTCTGATCCTGTAGATTCTTCATAATGTTCAGCTGTCAGTATCAATCGTACAAAAGAGCTGCTTTCCAAGCCTACCTGCTGAATTCCATATCCTCAGATACTCGTAGCCCACGGCAAGAGCCATGACTACGACAAGCGAAATCAGAAAGCCGAGACCAGACCGTATATGCCACCAGCCAAAAACAATACAGAGATCATCTGAACTCCAGGTGAAAAGCATCTACAGTCGTTAGTAGTCACTCTTGCCAATGGCAATCAAAGTAGCTCATATCTTACATTCATCTTGCACGCGCTCTTCCCCGCCGCCATGCTGGCTGCATGGTCGACCCCGTCCATATGGTGCATAGAGTGATCCATAATTGTAAAAATACCAAGATACAAAGGCTCACAGGCAAAAGTTGAGGCAACGAGCACTGTGATATCCTTGCTCAGCGGTCATCGAACCCCATCTCATCTGGTGGCCATAACCCCACAAAACCCTTCCTCTCAGTCAGCAGCGGTCCGGGGACGCAAGAAATCCTTCCTTCTCGCCGTCCCTAAACCAGATTCAGCATTTCTGATTTTTTTAAAACATCAACTGTCTTCCAGCAGCTTGATTGCATCATTTCTTCGAGCATTTAATCAGGCTACAGCAGAGATGAGCGAGAATGGCTACTTAGAAGCAACTCGCGAAGCTGGTGAGTTTCTTTCTATCAAATCTCTCATAGATCCGTGCTAACAATGTCAGAAGCAGAGCGCCACCGCGACCGCGACCGTGCTCGCGATAGAGACCGTAGAGAACGGTACTCTGATCGCGACTACCACAAGGCATCCGAAAGTCGTTCGGATCGCACTCGAGACCGCGACCGCGACCGCGACCGCTATGATCGCGACCGAGAGTCGACTCACCGCGATCGCTCTGACCGCTCCGAACGTTCACGATACAGCGACCGCGACCGGGACAGAGATCGTGACCGCGATAGGGACCGCCGAGACCGAGACCGAGACAGAGATAGAGATCGTGACCGGGATCGCGATCGCGACAGAGACCGCATGCGTGATCGTGACAGCGGGAGAGACAGAGACAGGGACCGAACTCGTTCCCGCAAACCAACCGGCGCTAGTCTCGAGGCAGCGCTCGAGACTGCGGTTCCTATCAACGAGCGCAAGCGTCGTATGACAATGTGGGATATAAAACCTATCGGCTACGAGAACGTCACCGCCGAGCAGGCAAAGTTATCTGGTCTCTTTCCACTCCCCGGCGCACCGCGACAACAGAACTACGAAAACCGTGGCCAGCATAACCAGAATCATCAAAATAATAACAATGATAGTCCGTTTCCGAGAAATGCAGCTCCTCCTGCTACCCTTCAACCTAGCAATTCTCGACAGAGCAAGCGCGTCCTCGTTAGCAATCTACCAACCATGGAATCTGAGCGCGCGTTGGTCGATTTCATCAACTCTCTCATTGGATCTATCGCATCTACTACATCTCGCCAGGGCCTTCCTCTGGATGCCTGGCAGTTTAGTGGTGACAAAAAAGCGGGACTTCTTGAGTTCAAGACTACTGAAGATGCCACCATTGCCGTTGCGTTCAGCGGAGTTGAATTTCAAGGCTCTCACATCGTGATTGTACGTCCAAAGGACTACGTGGTTCCCGAGGCTAGTTCCACCCCCGCCGTCCCCGCCGTTGCCGACCAGCTTCCGCAAATCGTACCCGACACTCCGGACAAAATCTCAATCGCGAATATTCCGCCATTCCTGGAAGAAGAGCAGATTCTCGAACTTCTTAAAGAGTTTGGAGCACTCAAGAATTTCGTATTGCTTCGCGATAAGGATAATAATGAGTCCAAAGGAGTTGCGTTCTGTGAGTTCGTTGACGGTCAAATGACGGACGCCGTTTGTGATGGCCTTACTGGCATGGAGCTCGGCGATCAGCCTCTTATTGTCAGACGGGCATGCCTTGGAATCAAGCAGGCGACTCCTGTCGGCACATCCTCAGTGACGACAATGGCAGCGCTAGCCAACTCAACCGCCGGCGAAGTACCGACTACACGTGTTTTGCAGCTACTCAATATGATTGTCCCTGACGATCTGAAAGACGACGACGAGTACGAAGATATCAAAGAGGATGTTCGTGAGGAGTGTGAAAAGTTTGGTCCGATTATTGACATCAAGATCCCGCGACCTTCGAGGGATAATCCAAACCCTTCAGGTGTTGGGAAGATATTTGTAAGATATGAGAATGCCGAGTCATGCGCTAAAGCTATCAAAGCCTTGGCGGGTCGAAAGTTTGCGGATCGCACTGTCATTACGACTTATTTCCCTGAGGTAAGTGCCATTATCGAGAAAACAATTGAGATTATTGGTTTTGCATACTAACGTGTATAATTTATAGGAAAACTATGAAGTTGAGGCCTTTTAAAGTCAGTTAGAATAGCTATTGATACGCTTTTCGCAAAGGTCTATCTACTTTGATTCTAGTTTAGCAAAAGAGTACGCCATTTCATTTAGCTCAGTGCTCTATCTACAAGATCGCGTGTTCATTCTGACACATTTGTACTTAAAACAATCTGTATTCTATTATGTTTGGTTCATATTGGGCAACGTTATATACGGTAAAGAAATTGCTATAGACAAAAAAGCACAGGTCATAGACTGCGGATCTTCTCCGCAGCACCTTCATCATACGGATGACGCACTAGTAAATCATAGAGCTCGTCCGGCAACTGCGGTACGAAGCTGACAGCCAGGGTAATAACTTTCTTTGCTTGGAGTGGTGGGAACGTCCGTAGTAGCGCCATTGGGCTGCATATCAAGTTAGTTAAACTGCAAAACGTGTTTCATCTAGCGACAATTGATCTAAACTACCTTTGTGAGGCCAGGAGCGAATCCCGGATAAGTAGCAGTTGGGCTATAACCGCTAGGATATTCATATGAGGTCCGAATGCGATCAAAAAGTCCCACAGTATAAGCACCTCGTTCAACGGTGGCGTACAGGCTGACATTGTAAGTACAGCTTGATGATAGTTAGTACCAAGTCAGTAGATTCATAAAGAGGCATATCACGTACATGCAAATCCATAGAGCTCAGCCGTTAATAGTTTACTCTTCAAATAAGAATAGAGAGTCGGATCAATGATCTGCAAGCAGGCGTCTAGGATCTTTAGTCCTAGATGAACACCATCTAGCATAGGTCGAATATACAGAGGACAACAGGTATGGACAAAGGTATCCAAGATTGCGAAAGCCTGCGTCTCGCTATTGCAAGTATACAGGAACGGAGCGGCCAGTACGTTCAGTCCCTGTACATACAACTCTGAGACGGAAATATTCGCCATGTCAACGTTCATATATGAAGCTTCTGACGATGAATAAGGGTTGCGAGAACTAGACGGTCCAGGTGAATGCGGTTTCTGCCGTGACTCGACACGCAACTGTCTGACTTGTTCGCGGTGCTGTCGGTCACGATAGTCGTCCCATCTTCGCCACGCCAACGCATTCAGGATTCTGATTAGTGAAGTCTCTGACACACGTCGCTGGAAGAGAATGTCGGTCGTCAGTGTCCTGAATGTGTCGTTGCGGATCTTGGAGTATGCAGGTGACGCCCCGCGATGGATCAGATTGATGTAGTTTTTGGCTTGTGATGGAGGAACTTTGAGCAAAAGACTCCATACGTATGGTCTGTACGTGCAAAAGTCCTGTTATAAAGATCATAAGCTAAAGTCACTTGTCGAATTCGAATAAACAGGAAACATACACTCTCTGGATCATTTGAAAGCCCTTGCGTCAAAATCAAATATCTCAACTCAGACAAGCCTTGATCGACCACTATTGGCGGCTTCCGGAGCGCAGATTCTATCTGATCTCTCTTTTTATGATGAGCTCGTCTCATTGCTGTTTTGAATCAGAGGAGAGAGTTGAATGTTGCCTGCAGAGTGATTGTTGAAAGTGTTGTCAATCAATAAATAATCCCTGGCGCGTGGCGCGGCGAGATGTAAACAAACCTCAGATGCGTGTTGCGCGCTGACGTTTTATGGGTTTAGTGTCGCATTCGTCTTCTTGGATGTGGCGCACGCATCGGGAAGTGGGAGAATCCATGTAATAAAGGGATCTGAAGGATAATCTTCACGACATATCTATATTCTCTGAAATTCAGGCGCGGTCGAAGAAAGGCCTGATATACCCGGTGGAGCTATGCCTGATCCTAGTCATCTGCCATCTGCAGAGATGCAGTCACAGCAGCAGTCTCAACCGCAACAGCCTCCACAGATTGACAAGGCAGAGCTAGCCTTATACGAGCGCCTGAAGAAGGAGCATCGGGATATGATGACGAAGAAGCGGATTTTGGAGAAGAACGTTGTAAGTGTGTGCTGGTTATTCTCGCGGAGGGGCCTGGAGCTGACGTGTATTCAGAGCATTATTGAGGACCAAATATTCAAGTTTGAAGGCGCGTACTTGGAGGACACACCGAATGGCAATATCATCAAGGGATTCGATAACTACTTGAAAGCCGGTAGTTCGAGCTCTTTACACGGTGGAAGTAACGCGCTGAAGCGTCGTGCAACTTATACAGACAGTGACCGCCTGTTTTCCTTGAGCTCTTGCACATACACAAAGGTAAGCTTTAACTCGCTGCTTATTATTCTGTTGTCATACTGACAGACATAATGATAGTCGCTGCAGAAGGAAGCAGAAGTACATGAGGATTCAGGAACTGGCCGGCAAAACTCCGTTCCACCGGCCGCGTCGACATCGAAACAGCCAAATAAGAAGAAGAAACGGAAGAAAGATGATCACTCGAGTTCAGACTCTGACGATTCGCCGGCGGTGTCTACATTGCCGAAACGGCTGAAACTGCAAGTGAAAGGAGATGATTGATGAGTAGTCTGGAGTTCGGGACAAAGAGATGGTAATGGTGTACGATAAGTGTGTGGGAGGTGTTTGTTACTTTTTATGTTTATTACTCTCGTACTCCATCAAAACGTTAGAATACTAGCCAGAAAGTTCCGCATAGCTTTCAAACAGGTAGACTACCATTGGACTCATCAAACAGTGATGCCCTTGCTGACGGCATCCTTCCGTTCCTCCCAGACGGTCTTACCGGAGCAACTGCAAACTGTCTTGTCGTTCTCCCACACTCCAGCACTGCGAGCTATGACGCCAGCTACGTCTTTCAAAAACATACTCTTGCACTCTGCATCTTGTCCGACGACAAGCGCACGTCCAATCATCTCCCAGATAGGCAGATTCTCTTTGACGAGAAACGCCTGTCCCGCGCCCGTTGCGTCCGTAGTAACAGAGCCCAAGTTACGATAAACACCGCCCGTGCTAAGAGGACCTTGTGATATATCTCCGGCTGACCGGATCGAGGCGTAGTAGGTTGATGTAGGGCTCATACCCGTCAGTGTCAGGTCAACGAGGGTGCTGGTCGCAGAGGCCTTGACAAGTCGGGCTAGACCGCGTACTGGTGACGAGGCTTTTTCGGGCTCGTAGGTCTCGAGGATGCAAACGGCAGAGCCTGATAAGTGTTAGATGAATGCCGAGACTGGTTCAGTATACTCACTTACTGTTTGGTTCACCCGAGCCGCGGACAATCGCGTCCCGTCCTGTGTTCTGGATTGCTTTGACTATTTGAGATGGAGGAGCTGTGAGAATCAGAAAAATATCAAGTTAGTCTTGAGTATAGGCGACTGACGATAGAATAAAGTCGAACTTACCGCTTCCTTCGATGAAAACTAGCTGTTTCTCTAGATCATACTTCGTGGAGTTGATTCCTATGGTTTGATATTAGAACATCGATATTCGCAAGAGTCTCAATCAACAGCACAAGTAGATAAGATACCGTCAACTGTCTTAAGAGCACCATCGATATCTTTGGTGCAGTCATTGCAATGCATAGGCACGGCGAAGACGGTCTGTAGGAACCGGGGTAATTAGTAATTAGTAATCTGACGACATAACGTTGGTTATACGGCATTGTGTTCGCACTACCGCATAATGAATTATAAAAAGATGTTAATTGAAGGTAACCTACCTTTAGATCCAGAGTCATTGTGGAGTATGGTGATCGTTGTAGGAGCAGAGAGCACGTTCTCGAAAAGTTGGTGATTTAAGAGAGCAGGCGGGGCACAGAAAGAACCAGAAATTATAAATCCGCGCGCTGTTATCCCAAACCCGAAGTTCCTGTCGAGTAATTACTGAGGCTCGACAGCATGAACAGCGCTCCCGCTTCTTTCCCTATTTTTTACAATATTGTATTAAACTGCCTTATATATCATGAAGCCATTGTTACAATTTGCCGATATTGTTTGATGTCCGCTGCATCAGAAGAGCTGCATTTATTTTACTTTAGGTTGCGCTCAATGATATTCAACAAGTAATATATTCTCACTAATGTCTGCTCTATATCTCACATCCATTATCTTAGTAATATTCGGGAAACCAAAATCTCTATATCTGTCAAAATCAATTACAGTCATGCCTCTGGATCAGAATTTAGAACCATTTAATAGCCCTTCGACTTGTCCAACCAGTTGGTGACAGGCTTTCCTTCTCTGATCTGCTTGATGTTATGAACAGCAATATTTGTAACTCTCTCCTCATATGCGTCGACATGTCCACTAAGATGAGGTGTGACCATAATGTTCTTAACCGAAAACAACTTGTGTCCCTGGGGAAGGGGTTCGGGATCAGTGACATCAAGAGCAGCACCATCGATCAATCCGCTCTCTGCCGCCTCAATAAGATCGTCGGTGTCAACCAGACCTCCTCGAGCAATGTTGATGATGTAAGCACCCTTTAGCATCTGAAGAGTCTTCTTGTTGATCACCTTTGTTGTCTCGGGAGTCAATGGGGCGGAGATGACCAAAACATCGATATGAGAGCTGAAAAACTCGTCCATGTTTTCGAGACCCGAGATCCATTTGTCGGGGATGCTGCCGTCAGGATCACCAGATCCAGGGACTGCAATCTCAACGCGCTCCTTCTTTGGGGGATTCGAGAATGAATAGGCCACGATCTTCATACCAAGTGACTTTGCGATACGCGCGGTCTGACGACCAATTGCGCCATAACCAAAGATTCCCCTGTTGGTGATTGTGAGTGAATGTTTTGAGTGAATTGCAGACTTAAAAGTAATCATGATGCTCACATTGTCTTTCCCCACTGATCTATAACTCTGCGGGGGAAAATGCTGTCGTCACCCCAGATTTTCTGTTCCTGCCAGACGGGGTAGTTGAGAGACTGATGGAAGTGGGTGAGCATCATCAGGATAACGTATTCAGCAATAACGGGACTAACAGTCATACTCAATTAGCACCGAAGAAAGGGTAAATATCGAAAGCAAAGCACTACTGACCCATGAACACCGCTAGCCGTGGCGTATATGACTTTGTTCTCAGCCTGGAAGAATGGCTTCTTGACAATGACATTCGAACCAGCGGAGAACAATTGGATGTACTTGAGCTTCGGAGCAGCCTCAGGAGACGGTGGCAGCACTGTTCCAGTCAAGAGAACGGTCGCCTTAGCCCATTCCTCGGCAGAGACCTCGCGAACAGCTTTGCTTCTGCCGCCATATCCATCGCCCTGAATGATGGTCAGGGACCCGACGAAGGGAAGCGACTTGAAAGGCTCGTAGGCAGCAGCGTCGAATGCGCCGGGGTTGATGACAATGATATGTTCGAGGTCGTCCGACATGTTGTTAGACCAATTGATAGCTATAGACGAGAAGCCAAGGGATAGCAAAGAGAGAAAGAAGTAGGAAGCAGGTGAAGAGTCGAAGCAGGCTTATCTGACTAACACTTGATTGGGTCCGTGTCTCGGACTTTTGCGGTGCACCCGGAGTTTGCAGACGTGCTTATATAATGTAATTGTGCCATCTCCCAACTGCAGTCTTTTGTTAATTTCAACCTGTAGAGTGATGAAGAGAGATCTAGGATGGCATCGTTGAAGTGCGTTCTTCTTTAGTTACTAGATGTTCCTGTCGTTTACATGGTGGTCGTAGATCATTGCGTTGTGGTCAGCTCATCTATCCATGAGCCGGATCGATCAAAGGAAAGGATTGTTTTAATTGCAGCGGGTTTGTAATGCATACAGCAGAGTAAAGCTGCAAAGGCGGCTTATCCATATCACTTATCCATATCAATTAGGATCTGCAGATGTTCCTAGAATTCACCAGATTCCATGGATGACTACGGTGTTCAGACGTCAAGACGTCACGAACTGCGGAAGTGCGAAACTCTGGCGTGCAGAGAATCCGGTAAACGAACAAACACACCCGTACCAAGTTCCAGTACTAGAACTTACTATTGCATAATATCTGGACTGATGCCCAGGATGATTGAGCGACAAGCGTCAAGCGACTAGCCTTGCATGAGATGCTGGCAGACAAAGTCATTATGCCCCGACCGAGTCAGTTATATGAGTAACCTACGAATGGTGCTTTCAATTAACACCAGCAAGCAAAGCACTTTTATTGTATATACAGACCACAGCGCAAAACATTATCACTTGGTGGAAAAAAAGACGGAAGCACATCGTGGCCGGAGATGAAGACTCGAGGAGTCGCCAGAGAATGCGATTGTTCGGCCGCCTCCCATCTGGCAGGGGCTGCGGGTTAGGGCCATTAAGCCCGGCTTTAATCATCTCTGCATGCGGCCGCCAGGCTAAATAGATGGAAAGAAGCCTGCGGTTGATGAGGATCATAATGATAACTCGACTACAGAACAAAGAATAACAGCACAAACAGCAGATACAGTGAGGTTTTGTGCTGAGCGCTGAGAAGACACGTGGCTGTACGCATGGCGATAGCTGCCTGGACCACGGTCAACAATCATCGGCTGTCCAGATTAACCTAATTAAAGCCCCCAATCTGCGCTTCCCGTCCACATCTCAACAAATTACACGAGAACAATTCAGTCAAAGACACCCGATTTGAGCCTCCGAGGTGATCATCCAGCGGAGAGTTTGGATTCCCTGATTTGGGCCAAAGAGGCACGAGCTTGCTGCTGCCTCTTGTTGCTTTGCTGATAGGGAGAAGGGGCCCACAGGGTCAGGGTCTTTGTTTCCTCGAGGCCGACGATAAATCCTATCAGGGCGACCATCCCCATCTTGACTCCATCCTCTATAAGGCTTGTCACATCCACCCCCCTCCTTCTCTCGTCAATCCTCCTCTCTACAACAGCCGTCTCTCATGGCTCTCCTTACTCCGCCTATCGAGGCCCTGCGGCCTGTGGGCCCTGTGCGGTCCAACATGCTGACGGCCTCACTCGACGGTCTTCCGCCATTGGTCCTCGGCGGCGCCCAGTTCAACCACCAGTACAACGCCGATCCTTTTTCTTTGCCTGTCAAAGACATCATCAAGAAGTGCTTCCAGGCCGGAGTCTGCGCCATAGGTAAGTACTTCTACGCGGTTTCCAACGCACTACAGTGTCGCTGACTAATTTGCTCAGACACCTCTGCCTACTACGGTCCATCTGAGATACTCATCGGCGAGGCACTCGCGGATCCAGAGATCTCCTCTGCATACCCTCGCGACACATATTTCATAATCACAAAGGCTGGCCGTATCGCAGAGTCTCACTTCGACTACTCGGCATCCTGGATGCGCCAGTCTGTCGAACGCAGCCTCACTCGCTTACACACATCATATCTCGACGTCGTATACGCCCACGATGTCGAATTCGTTCCTATCGAAGGCACACTCGAGGGAATCGCCGAGCTCTTCAAAATGAAGGAGGAGGGAATCATTCGCAATGTCGGTATTTCTGGTTACCCAGTACCAGTCCTGGTTACGCTCGCAAAACTTGTCAAGCAACGGCTTGGCAAAACAATCGATATCGTACTTTCCTATTGCAACTTCACTCTCCAGAACCGGAGGCTGAAGTCTTCACTTGATGATTTCTATTCTGCCGGGGTGAAGAAAGTCCTCAACGGAAGTCCTCTCAGTATGGCTCTTCTACGCTCTCAGCCCCCTCACGCCTTTCACCCAGCAGGTCCGGAGCTCAAAAACAGAGTGGCTCTTGCAGCAAAGTATACTGCCTCCAAAAACATCGAACTGGCGGACTTGGCCTTACGATACGCTCTCTCACACTGGAATGGTACCACTGTTGTAGGTTGGAGCAACCTGGGCGAGGTGGAGGCTGGCATTCAAGCGTACTGGGATAGCCAAAACCTGGATGTGCAGAAAGAAGATCACGATCTTGTGGAGGAGGTCAACAGAATTTTAGGAGCCTCCTTGGATGAAGTTTGGCTCTCAGGATTACAGCAGAACTATGACTATGTTCTGTAGCATTGTGCTGGCTGATCTTTCAGATTGATATTGCTACGATTACAGGGATTTGGCTTGATGATACTATAATTCATTCATTTGTGTGGCTCGCGCATTCTCTCCCGCTAGAAGCTTCATGTGTACAACTATTAATATACTAATAACCCCATAAATCTCGTATTCTGCATGACCGTAGCAGGTACCGCTAGGCGTCATTAGGTCCCGTGGCGAGGCTTTATCCTTGAACATATTCCACGATCTTTTGTGACCTTGGATCTAGCCGATGTGGTGCCGACGAAGAAGTAGTAGACCTCTCTTTCTCAAGACTTGCGAGTCAGATTTTCAATGGACGATTAATTCCCCACCGTTTGCTGAGCAATACTCGCAATTTAGTCTGCAACCGCTGACTCGGAGTCTATGCGGATCTTGTCAAGGGTCGCCCGGAGTGCTTCGAGCTCATTCTCCTTATCTCCAAGAGCTTTCGCCATATCTGCAAGTTTTCGTTTCAACGCATCATTCTCCTTTCGGAGAGACGCAAGATACATATCGTCTGCTGAGGAGAGGCCTGAACCGGATTCCACAGATCGTCGGGACGAGCTACGACGCTGGATCTGAGCCGAGCTCTGATCCGAATCGGATCTCACTGGAGCACCCGCGCGAGTAATCGACAGCGATGATGAAGATGAATCAGTGCGACGATGCCGGGGGGAAGGCGCAATAGGGGATCGCGCTCTCTGCTGAGCCGACGCCGCAAGCTGTGTCTGCTCTTCCCGCAGCAATGAGAGCTCCCTCTGTAGCCGGTTGACGATCGCCTCTTGTTCTTTCTCAAGCGTATCATAGATCTGAACAGAAGACGGCTGGGAAGGTAGTCGAGTGGGCATTTGGACCGGGGCGAGTGCACCAGGACCAGGATCAAACACTGTGGAGGCCGAGGTGACCGCTGACTGGAACGACGTGCGTCTCGACGATGCAGCCGAAGACGCAGACGAAAGCGGGGAGGGCGACCGAACTCGTCCTCTGTGTGAACTCATCTTGCCAGCGGTGACAAGGAGAGCAGGGAGTAGAAGCGGATCGGGGCGCCTGTGATCGACTTATAACCAAACTTGGCCTTGTAGAAAGTCGCGGTTGCTGATCGCACTCGAGGACGTGTCAGAGAACCAAACCCGCACGTTTAGGTCAGCAAAGTCGAGGCACGCTTGCTCTCCGCGCCGCAAGCTCGCCTATGGGTCATCTCCATCTCTCCGCTCACTCATCGCTCGCCTCCAACCTCACCCAAACTCTTCTCTCTATTGAACCAGACCCGGTTCGAGCAGATGATCGAAAATGACGGATGATCATGGGCCACTTACAGAGGGGTACGACAGAACTCCTCAGCATTCGAGTCACCACATACCAAAGATAATGATGATGGGTCTCCGAAGGTGCGTTACGCTCACTATCAACAGAACGACTTCCTGTTATCCTCTAACATCGATCGCATGACTGTATAGATGCGGAAAGTCTTCGATCTGCCAGGTTATGTTTCACAACATGCCACCGCTAGACACTCTTTACATCGAAAGCACCAGCAGTCCATCTACCACTGTATTCAGGTATGCGCTCTTATCGCATTATAGCAAATAGCGGCCACCTCCTCTAATTACCTCCCCAGCTCCTTCATTGATTTCGCGGTTGTCGAGCTTCCAGGGCAAACAAATGCGGTAGATCCCGGTAACGAGGAATTGGAGCGTCTATTTACCGAAAGTGGTGCTCTCATCTATGTTATAGACAGCCAGGTAAATTCAGCTCAATATTCATTTCGTCGCTGTTACATATCTGTGGTTTGCTAACACTCTTTCGCTCAATTACTAGGACGAGTATATCAACTCTCTCTCAAATCTGCACTCAATCATCACTCGTGCGGTGGAAGTCAACCCAAAAATCAACATCGAGGTTTTTATTCACAAGGTCGATGGTCTCAGCGAAGACTTCCGACTCGACGCACAACGGGACATAACTCAGCGGGTAACAGACGAGCTTCTGGATGATGGTCTTCTCAACGTTCCTCTCTCATTTCATCTCACCTCTATATTCGATCACTCCGTCTACGAAGCATTCTCTCGAGTAGTTCAGAAACAGATTCCTCAGCTTGCAACGCTCGAAAATCTACTCAACGTTGTCTGCCAGCACTCAGGTATTGAAAAGGCTTTCCTGTTTGATATCAAGTCGAAGATCTTCGTGGCAACAGACTCTAGCCCTATGGATGTGGCTACTTATGAGATCTGTACAGATTTTATAGACATCACTGTCGACATGGATAGTCTATATACCATCGACCACAGCCAGACACCTGCCTTAAAAGCTGCCGACACAGCTTTTGGTAACGAATTGGACGGTACCGATCCTACATTCAATAAGAGCAAACCCATCGGATCAACCACTCGTCTCAACAACGGCTTGATTCTTTACTTGCAGCAGATGGTTAAGGGACTTGCACTAGTGTGTTTGATGAGGAAGGAGAGCATGCCAAAAATCGCTCTGGTGGAGTACAATATTGAATTCTTCCGTAATGCTTTGGAGCAATTGCGCTTGTTGACTGTGTAGATAGAAAAATTAATGTTACATATTGAACTAAATTGCAATTTCAACCAAATAAAATCAATACCATATCTATACTGATCGACTTGCTAGCCGCTCATGTTTGCTAATACATACAGCCCAAGACTCTTTCGTGCTGCATATTCCAGCATGTTTGTCTAAATATGATAATGTCTGTTTCTACTATGGCAGGACTGACTGACTGACTGAATATATACAGAGTGGCTCCATATGTAATCTGCAATACCACAGTCTATTCATCAACTCTTGTTGGAGTTGCCTGTTCATCACCAAATGACCACTGAGGTATTTGATGTTAACAAATATCCGCCCTGATGTGTCCCAGGCATTGCTCGCAGTCTTGTGAAACTACAAGAAAAGGATGTTCTGCGAATCATCGGCAAGAGCTGGAGTATCTACACTCGCTCATTCTACAGGATTGATGCTAATGCTGTTGATTAAGCTCTCACTGCTCAATATGAAGCGCACATGAGGCAAGAAGACCACAAATTCTCTGGCTTTCAATCTGATCTTCAAACTGCGGCGATAAAAGCCTTAGCTAAGGCTACAAGCTGTATATCAGAAACAGGACTGTTGGATGATGCCATCCATATCTTTGCGAGTGCTCCTGCTGTTGTGAGACGACTAGGAAAGTTCCAGCGTGCCTTTAACACAAGTGAAGCTGATAAAATCTATCAGGCCATCAATCCATGTCAGGATTGAATACCAAGGTCTTCGTCTACGGGCTTCGTTCTGCTGCTAAAAGTTGATGGTAGCAATCGCGCTCTGGGCTTCGCAATTCAGGTAGCCATATAGTCAAACCGAAGTGGTTATCAATGCTCTTTGCATTTCTCTATAAACAAGTCGATAAACCCAGTTTTGAGAATGGAAAGGCTGAAGTTTAAGGCAAGAATTTCAGCACTTATGAAGGCAGGCCACGGATATCTATTGACAAATCCTTGATAAATAATCCATGTGAGTAATATGGGTTTCCACACCGAAAATGGCCTCTTTGATAGCTATTTCTTGGTGCACCTAATAGATCCATGTGAAGGGATACTATCATTAGAACTCTTTCCTTGGTCGATGAGGTCAGAACTTCAGTCGTTGCTTCGGCTTTGAGATCGCGCTATGAGATACTTGCCCTTGATTATTAGTTACATTAAATTTTGCGGGATATCTTGCTTCTTCTACTTATTACTGACTAATGCACGATCTGTTCATCCATTTTGCTTATCTTGTTTGATTTTTTTTGGATGGAAAGGGGTCAAAGGCCTGTCAGTCATACCCTTGTTGCTCATAGACTCTAAGTTTATACATCATCATATTGTCCTTGCCATACCTTTTTCATACTTGCTGAAATATCTGGTATTGCAGTCAGAGAACTTCCTCTTCCCTGGTGTATTTGTCTACGCAATTTTGCATGGATCTTTGCAGTCTCTGCTATGTTCAGTGGTCCAACAACCTCACATCCAGCTAAGAGGGACCAATGTTATGGCCCAGATGTATGACTGCTGCATTAAATCGCTCCTCTAGATACGCGGTTGGATACACAGTTCGAGCTTTGCTTTGCCACTTTTCCTGGATTTTGGCCTGATATCAAGCACCTGCAACTAATATTTTCACCTGGACCATTTGTAACAAAAAATGTCTTGGTTACAGATTGCAAAACTTGTAGCTCAGATTTATCATCATCATCACTTGTATCGAGCTCCCACATCAGTAGCACCACATACAACAAGGAGGTGAAAAAAATGAAGAGATCTGCATTTTATGAATCCTTATATATACTATTGACTTCATAACAGCACCTTCTCTTTGCAGTTTGTGGATGATGCTGAATCTGTCAATCATAGTCTATATGCAACAACTAGGATTATTACAGACTGTCTCCAACTTCTCCCAGCGAGTTTTGTCTCCATTTTCCAGTCCAGCCTCACATCTCCGTCTTCGTGACCTAAATATCCAAGCATGCCTGTCTGAAGTGGAGGACAGGCTATCCAGTAGGTGCTTCTATTATTCAACCATTTCCACAAAGGGGAAGGTGCTGTTGTATAGTCCATACTATAATCCATGAAATCCAGACATTTCTTTCACCACTTTGTTGTATACTTGGTGCTACTGCTATGGGGGCTCAATACAAATTTTGCGACCAAGACTATAGGATTTTGCTAAAATTTATCAACGTCAAAATAGCAGGTGTTCAATATGAGGCCAAAATCCAGGAAAAGCTCCTAAGCGGGAATCGAACCGTGAATCTTAAGGGAGCAGTGCAGTAGCCATACCGCTGGGCCATACCACTGCTGTGTGGTCTGATAGCACTTTCCCTCTGGGGAACTGTGTTGATGATGATGATAATTTTTCACTCCCTTTCAGTGTGCTGAGCCAGTCCAAATAATTTACTCACAGACGCCATCAGCCAGCTGAAGTCATATTTGGAAGAAAAGATAGGACAGAGACATAAAAGGTGATGGTCTGGATGCAAAGAAAGAAGTAGGGATTCAAATGAGTTTCTTTTAACCCTATAGAAACCCTACACACCCTACAAACCCTGTGATAATGACAATGAATCTATTTTTTAAGTCCATCTGCAACAACCACTAGGCTATGACAGGCTGCTTCCCTCTTTTCTACCAACTGAGCAAAACATAATAGAACAATATAGATTCTAAGATTGTGTTTTAATAACATATTTAACATAGAATAGATCTCCAAGTCAAAAATGCAGAGTGATTTCGGAAAGGTCACTAACATCGACCCCCTTGTACCAGTGCACCCCCTAGAGAGGTGTGCGTCCACATAAAATCTGGTATTTCTACCTTCTCCACAATATCCTGCACCAAGTAACCATGACATCCCCTATAAAAGAAAGTCAAGAACCCTCACCTTCCAAGCTATCTGGAGTGAAAAAAATGGAACTGTAGAAGCACTTTAAAGATAAATGATTGATTGTGAGAACATTTTTACATTTGACAGTCTTGCCGTGCGAATTACAAGAAACAACTGAATGAGAAGTAGATATTTCGATTTGATGTATTTTTTATTCAGGAAGATGACAATCATTTTTCGTTTGGCAGACGTGGAGATATGGCTTATGTTTTACCGGCAGAGCACGACAAAGGACGCTTCGGAAAGAACTGGGCCTTGAAACTCATCAAAGAACAACGACGAGGCTTTGGAATGCATCTTACTTGTCTGTTTTACTACTGAAGAGCCTCTTTTTGACAAAAATTTTACGGAGATAAATGCGTGGGGTTAGCATGTATGAGATCTTCGAGCTCTCTTATGAGAGCTACCACTCTTGAGTCCCAAGGACACTGCCCATCGAACCAGAGGCTTTGAAACAGCTCGCTTTGGTACAAAGTAACACAGATAGCTATCGGGGAAGCTCTCAAAATACCTTTTCTATAGCCTTTGGCCAGTATGCAAAAGGTATGACCTGATTGAGATCCAAATCCTCATTATTGAAGTTTTGGTCTCAGGAACTTCATGGCCCAAATTTCTTAATTTGCAACTGTCGAACAGACAAAGAATAGTACATGCTAGAGGCATGGAGGGTCTGTTAAAGAACAGAATGGGCATGATTTGACAAACAAGAACAACATTTGAGACCAATCACCACAGATAGAAACATGTAAATGTTGAAAATATTGTTCCATTAAGCAGCAGGATCAAGGGTTTCCTTGGAGGGAACAGAAACCCTAAGGAGATTACTAGGTGGAACCAGAAGCAACTGGAAACAGCTAGAAGGGACCGGAAGCAACTGGAATCTACCGGAAGGAACTAGAAGGAACTGGAAGCAGCTAGAAGGAGCTGAAAAGATCTGGAAGGAGCTGGAATGATCTGGAAAGATCAGATGACTGATCAGATGACTGGTCAGATGACTGGTCAGATGATGATGATGATGAATCTTTTTATTATAGTCTATTTGCAACAACTAGGTTATGACAGACTGTCTCCAACTTCTCCCGCCAATTTTTTTTATCTCCATTTTTCTAATCCATCTTCAATTTTTCCATCTCCCTGATAGGATATCCAAGTCTGCCTGCCTGAAGTGGACGACAAGCTATCCAGTAGGTGGTTCAGTTCAACCATTGCCAGAAAGGGAAGGCGTATAGTAAAGTCCATAGTATTATCCATAAAATCCGGGGGATCTCATTTCTTTCACCGCTTTGTTGTAAACTTGGTGCTACTGCAGTGGGGGGTTCAATATAAATTTTGCAACCAAGACCATTTTATGCTGAAAACTATCAAGGTGAAAATTGGGGGGGGTGTTCAATATTAGGCCAAAATCCAGGAAAAGCTCACAAGCGGGGCTCGAACCATGGATCTTAAGGGAGCAATGCAGCGGCCATACCGCTGGGCCATATCACTGCTCCCCTCTGCTCCCCATTCAACAGCAGTCGCGAGCGCGTTAGTCAACTCTCTGACATTGTTTGCGATCGACTTACTGGAATAAACCAGCGCAACGTCATCGACATAGCTAGGACAAAAGACCAGCTTGTGCTTCGCATTCAACCTCGAAAAAAGAGGGCGCAAATAGAGAAGGAACAAGAGCGGAGACAGCGGTGATCCCTGAGGAATACCGGTCGACACAGCTTGCATCTCTCCCACTTTGCGATCAAAAGCAAAGGCGATACTTCTCCCAGTCAAAAATTGAGCCACCCATGACGTCACTTGAGCTGCAAATCCCATCTCTCTAAGCGTCTGAAGAAGCCGCTCGCGAGACACGTGATCGAAAGCTCCCTTGACATCAATAAAAAGTGCTGTAGTCTGTTCCCCTCTCAACTTTGCAGTCTGACGCTCGTGCAGCAGAAGCATCGCTGCATCAACCGCTGATCGCTGAGCTCGACCTCCCATCTGATACTGATCCAGGAGACAATTCTCTTCTGCAATGAACGCCATCCGATTTGCCATGATTTTCTCTGAGATTTTGCCGAGGCAATTCAGCAAAGAAATAGGCCGGTACGCTTTCGCAACAGAGTAGTCTGGCTTGTGCGGTTTTGGAATCAGAACACAGATCGCCTCGCGCCAGGCTCGAGGGTGATGGCCAGAGTCCAGCA